AGCATATTCCATAGTTTTTAGTGCTGCAAAATTTAGCAACTATTTTTTAAAAATTATTTTATCCTAACCTTAAAGTCATGTGTGTAGTGTATGACTCAAGATGTGTCTAGGCTCAGACAGGTGTGAATTAATATGACTCAAGTGTGTTTAGGTTCATAGTCAGGTATGACTAAAGTGCCTTTAATTAGGCTTTGATTCAGGTATGTATATGTGACTTATGTGTATCAAGGCTCAGGTGTGTAATATATAACTTGTGTATCAAGGCTGAGATTCAAGGGTGTAGTATAATGACAATTACTCTTTGCAGATGACCAGGCCTTGATAGCAGATACAGCCATGAAATTGCAACATCTAACATCCATGAATGAAGAATGTAAAACAAATAATATGAGAATCAAGACTGAAGACAGAAGTAATGTCAATAGGAAAAAAGAAGACAGGTCTAAACATAGCAATAGAGAACAAAGGCATTAAACAGACATCTGAGTTTAAATATCTGGGAACTACATTTACCGAAGATGGGAAATTGGATAAAGAAATTAACATTAGATGCAGTAAAGCAAACCAAGTATTGGGACAGCTAGCTCCCCTCTTACAGCATAAGACAATCCCAATCAGCACAAAGAGACATCTTATTCAAAGCAAATTTATTCCAACTCTGTGCTACCAGTGCCAGACATGGTTACTCACAACAAACCATAAAAGAAAATTGGTAACCATGGAAATGAGATGTCTGAGAAGGGCTGTAGGAGTGACCATAAGAGATAAGATCAGGAATGAGATCATAAGAGAAAAAGTTGTCACAGAACCAATTCTAAATTACATACAAAGACAGCAAGTGAAATGGTTTGCCCACTTAGAGAGAATGCCTTGTGACACCATACCATACAAAGCATACATGGAAAGAGAAGGTCGTAGAGCAAGAGGTAGACCAAGAACAAGATGGAAGGATAACATCAGAGAAGCTCTACAACAGCACAATGTGCCTATGGTCGAGGCAGCCAGAAGAGCCAGAAACAGAACCTTACATCTCCCTCGACACCCACAGCGGTAAAAGAGGAAGTGAAGAAGAAGAAGTATAATGACTGAAGTGTATCGAGGCTGAGATTCAGGGGTGTAGTATAATGATTCAGGGGTGTAGTATAATGACTGAAGTGTGTCAAGGCTGAGATTCAGGGGTGTAGTATAATGATTCAGGGGTGTAGTATAATGACTGAAGTGTATCGAAGCTCAGATTCAGGGGTGTAGTATAATGATTCAGGGGTGTAGTATAATGACTGAAGTGTGTCAAGGCTGAGATTCAGGGGTGTAGTATAATGACTGAAGTGTGTCAAGGCTTAGATCCAGGTGTGTAATATATAAATCTATGACTTTGTAATATATAAATATATGACGCAAGTCAGGTGTGTAAATACAACTCTAGTATGTCGTTTTAAAGATATCCGGCATTAACCAGCTGTCTAGGATAAAAACAATACAAACACAGTGTTATATTTATAATTGTACATCTATTTCTTAAAGCTGTTGACAACATCAATATATTTTTTTTTTTCAATTAAGTATATATGAAGACTTCTCTCACTCAAAATTGCTACACGTTAGCAACCATCACACAGCATAACACACTTAATGTAAGAAAATGCGGTTCTTAATACCTTAGTCTCCCCACCGATTGTAGGTCAACTCCATTGATAAGTTTGTTGGACTAGTCTACTGTGGTCGAGGTTATGGGTGTCGCGGTCTTTTGTTGTCTTGCAATTACATTTTTATTCTGAGAAAGAGACGGCCTGTGGCCTAGGTTTCGTCACTCTCTAGGAAGGTTGTGTGTTAGACCCAGTATCCAAATGTTTTTGTAGTGTTAAAAGCTCTGGCATGCTCTGGCATGATGAAATGTACAACATGCGATATCAGCGCCAGTGCAAAATGCCCAGTAACCTTGTGTGAAAGTCGGATCGCTCGAGGTCGACCTATCAGAAGTGAGCTAAGATGGAGGTCGACCAATCAGAAGCGAGCTAGTGTGTACCGGTGTGTAAATGGGGACAACAACCATTAATAACCAGAAATGCAACATCTCCTGTAAATTTATTTACAGAGTAACAATCACTACTGAAATATGTTCCTGTCACTCCACATTAGCCATTTTTTGCGACAAAAGTTTTCATTCACTCTCAAAAGGGCATCTATAGTGTTGTGGCACATAGCTAGGTGCTGTTTGGCTCAACATTTACAATTTCAACAAACCATTAATTAGTCGCCTTTTAAATCATACTTGTTGACAGTGGGTCTTTCTTGTTCTCAGCCAAAATGTGGCTTCAGAACCCACAAAGGGATACAAACAATTATAAACATTTGAAATTAAACAAATATTTCATGGCAGGTTAATGTCCTTTGGCATTTGGACCAGATAAACATGTACTGTATGGGGAATACTGAAGTTTTGAGTAAGGGAGACGTGATACTGTCTACATATAAAATGATCACCTGTCGCATGAGGACATAAACACATGTCACATGATCACCTGTTACACAAGGACACAAATACATGTCACCAATGATTACCTGTCGGACAAGGACACAAACATATGTCACCAATGATCACCTGTCACATAAGGACACAAACATATGTCACCAATGATCACCTGTCGCACAAGACACAAGCACACGTCACCAATGACCACATGGCTACAACTGATGGAATCGAAAAAAAACAATTCGAGTTTAGGTGGAAAGAGCTCAGTAAAGGCATATCCTGAGTACTCTGGATGGTAACCTCTGCTGCAGACCTGTATCTTTTGATCATCATCATCATCAGGTGCCTTGCCGACTGGCGTGGGCGATCATGCCTCTCCACAATCTGCAATCTTCTGCAGCATGTATCAGTTGGTGTGCCGACACACCTCCATACCATGCAACAAGACTGTCAAGAATTTTCTCTCGTTGTCTTCCTCCATCCCTCCTTCCACATATCTTTCCAGTGGTCACAACATGTTCTATTTTCCCTCTTCTCATAACATGGTCAAAACATTATGACTGTCTCCTTCTGATGTCTGTGATCAGTTGTCTTCAGGCTCCTGCCTCTTTCAAAACCTCTTGGTTGCTCTTTTTGGCTGTCCAAGGTATTCTAAGCATTCTTCTGTAAAACCACATCTCTGAGGCCTCAAAAAATTATTTGGCCTGCCTACAGATTGTCCAGGATTCAAACATATGTCACCAATGATCACCTGTCATTTAAGGACACAAACATATGTCACCGATGACCATCTGTCGCATAAAAACAGGTGATACTAATTTCAAAAGCAATGTGCATGCACTCAAGAGTATGGTTTCACTGTTTTTAAAAATCTAAGCTTGTCTATGCATTTTCTTGTCAAATGAATTGACTCAAAGCTACCATGTCTGAAATCTGGCCTCCATAAATGTAGCTTTGTCAATGCTTATAATTTCAGAAATTAAAAGTAAAGGTCCCTTTTCCACGCCTTTAAGCATATAGAGCTAGACCTACATTTGTATAGACCAATCGGCACAAGATGGGTGATGTGGTCAGCATCACGCCGGCCGCCTTTACTTTCCCGGGATTGCACCCGTTACCCACTCAAGGCTGGGTCAACCTGGGGGTCAGGGCCATTTTTGAAAAAAGTCCGGCTCCGCCAGGAAGCGAACCCACGACCTTTCGGAAATTTATGTGGTGAAAGATTCCAGATTTTCTGGATGGAGTGCTGAATCCAACTGTTTGCTTCACTGTTTAATGATTGGTTTTCTGCCTTCTTGCCCCATTCCACCATAGACAAGGAAAAAAAGAAGGAATTTGCAGCATAAACACTGTGGCCCAAGCATGGCTTTGCTTCGTTTACTTATAGCTGTGCCATGCAACTCCACTGTGGGATGCAGAACATACATGACAGATATCACACACAGATGATTGCCTCTGGTTTCAATACTCATGTATAACAAAATTGCAACAGATATCACCAATAACATGAAACAACAAGAGACTGAGCTTCCCAAACTAGTCTTATTACACCATATTAGTTATTGTTACAAAATACAATAAAAACCCACATGCCCTTCCTCCTACTTTAAAGTAGCTTAGCTGTGTTAGCTTATAATATGATTGTTTGACATAAGAATGTATGAGAAAATGAAGATGTATTTTGGCACACAGCAGCAGCATATTCATTAGTGCAATAAAAACAGATTCTGCAGGCTTACATGTTTGTTCTTCCTCGAAACCGCTCGTCGCACCTGTACAAGGTTAGGAAAATCCACTTTTACAAAACAATTTTTTATTTTCTTGCTCTCACTTTGTCATTCAAACATTTGGACATCAATCCAGCTCCATGATGTGAAAATATGCATAGGCTGAAGTGACATCAGAAAACAAAAATTGTCAACATTCTGAAGCACAAAGATCCAATCTTTGCACACTGAAGGAAGAAATATCAGTTGAGATGCTTTAACCACTTACACATGAAAGAAAGAAAAAATTAAAGAAAGAAAGAAAAAGACAGATCAGCAATTAAAACCAAACACCAAGGATCAGCAGGCAAAACTTTTATGTCAGCAAAAAGTTAGGCAGTCGAGACAAGCAAGACTAAAGAATAAACAACATAGGAAAACATTAACTGCAGGCTGTAGAGCTTTAGTGTACAATGTAATTTAGGAATCACTGCTTTCTGTCTGACATTTTCAAAAGTAATACACGTTATTCTAAAGGAGATGGAGGGGGAGAGTTGCAGTATCAAATCAGATGGTTAGTCAACTATTCTGTGAATGCAGCATGTAAATAAACACTTGTGAGTGACAGAATGAGTTAACAGCAACATTTGAGACACATTCTCACAACTGTCTCAGCACATATAAAACAATGCGACTTGTTTGTCAGGCTCACTCCAAACACTCACGTAAACACTACACCTCTCAACACCACACAACCTTTCTCTCATTAGATAAATTACTACCAAAAACAAAACAAACAAACAAAACCTATGGTTAAAGTAATGTTACTTCCATGCTGGGCCCCCACTGCTCTTGCCACCTGGGTGTTTGACACTCCCAGACTTCTTATCTTTGATGGACTCTGTGGGTTGTGAACTCTTCCTGGGTGGTCCGTGGGTTGCTGATTTGCCGCTCGTGGAGTTATCCAGTGAGCAGCCACTGACAGCTATGCTGGAGTCGGCTGACTGAAAGATACAGGGCAGATATATATACTACATTATCTGTATGAAGTTAAGTACATTCAAGCCCTTATCTGGTTAATATTTATTGATCTGAATCCTGTATCTAGGTCCATTATTTGTAATAAGTTTAGTCAAAACCTATGTGAATCCTTAGTAGCAACCCAAGGTATCTGAAGCAGGCTCATCTTTTGTCAACCTCTGCCAATTATTCAAATATTAATAAAGCAACAGACAATGTATTGATCGGCACTCATAGAAAGAAGTGGAAATATAGAAGAACACACTAACCACATAAAAACGAAAGCTATAGTTACCGTGCCGGGAATCGAACCTGTCACCTCCAGACAGCTTGTGCACCTCGGAATAGAAACAAGCGCACTAAGAACATGGTCAACTAGACACCCCCCCCCCCCCCAAAAAAAAGGTGTCTAATTGGCCATGTCTATCGTACAGCTTGAAATCCACAACTAAGGACTGTTTATTTGTGTCAATGATTCATACAGAGTGTAGAAGCAAACTAAATCTAAGCCCTGTATCTGTAATACGTTCAGGGGTAAATCCAAGCCCTGTATCTGTAACACGTTCAGGAGTAATAATTTCAGGGGTAAATCCAAGCCCTGTATCTGTAACACGTTCAGGAGTAATAATTTCAGGGGTAAATCCAAGCCCTGTATCTGTAACACGTTCAGGAGTAATAATTTCAGGGGTAAATCCAAGCCCTGTATCTGTAATACGTTCAGGAGTAATAATTTCAGGGCTAAATCCAAGCCCTGTATCTGTAATACGTTCAGGAGTAATAATTTCAGGGGTAAATCCAAGCCCTGTATCTGTAATACGTTCAGGAGTAATAATTTCAGGGGTAAATCCAAGCCCTGTATCTGTAATACGTTCAGGAGTAATAATTTCAGGGGTAAATCCAAGCCCTGTATCTGTAATACGTTCAGGAGTAATAATTTCAGGGGTAAATCCAAGCCCTGTATCTGTAATACGTTCAGGAGTAATACATTCAGGGCTAAATCCAAGCCCTGTATCTGTAATACGTTCAGGAGTAATAATTTCAGGGGTAAATCCAAGCCCTGTATCTGTAATACGTTCAGGAGTAATACATTCAGGGCTAAATCCAAGCCCTGTATCTGTAATACGTTCAGGAGTAATACATTCAGGGGTAAATCCAAGCCCTGTATCTGTAATACGTTCAGGAGTAATACATTCAGGGCTAAATCCAAGCCCTGTATCTGTAATACGTTCAGGAGTAATACATTCAGGGCTAAATCCAAGCCCTGTATCTGTAATACGTTCAGGAGTAATACATTCAGGGCTAAATCCAAGCCCTGTATCTGTAATACGTTCAGGAGTAATACATTCAGGGGTAAATCCAAGCCCTGTATCTGTAATACGTTCAGGAGTAATACATTCAGGGGTAAATCCAAGCCCAATATGTCTAAGATGCTGAATAGTAGCCTAGGTCCATTATTTGCAGCAGATTCATTATCTGAAGAAGTCTGTGAACCTAGGTCCATTATTTGCAGCAGATTCATTATCTGAAGAAGTCTGTGAACCTAGGTCCATTATTTGCAGCAGATTCATTATCTGAAGAAGTCTGTGAACCTAGGTCCATTATTTGCAGCAGATTCATTATCTGAAGAAGTCTGTGAACCTAGGTCCATTATTTGCAGCAGATTCATTATCTGAAGAAGTCTGTGAACCTAGGTCCATTAACAATAAGTTAAGTAACAACTCTAGACCATTATCTGTAACTAGTCTGGTATTTGTAAGAATTTTATTAAACTCTGGCTCACTACCCATAAGAGGTTTATTAAACAAAGATCCATTTCCGGCATCCGTAAGCAAACCCAGGCCATGGTCTGTAATTGGCCTGGTATGTAACAACTGTATTCAAACCTGGACTCAGGTTTACTGAACCTTTCTAAAATAAAAAAAAACAATTATATTGTAGCTAAAAACACAGCCGCAAACTTAGATCTTGATGGCTGGCGCAAACAATAAACCAAGACACAGGAATTTAATAATCCTATGCCCATTACCTGCTATAAGTGAGAAATGCTATCAATCTAGGTCCATCACTATAAGACATTTAATAAACCTAGAATCATTATCTTGTGGATTTTTTATTCTTCAAAATTTACCTTGGCTTCTAGGTCGACCCAGCCTAAAATGAGTACCAGGTAGTGTCCTGGGAAGTAAAGCTGGCCGGCCTGATGCTGACCGCATCTGATTGTCGATCGGCCTATAAAGAAATATAGGTCTAGCTTTATATATCAGATCCGACAAAGGCATGAGAAGGTTTAATTACCACAGTTGTCTATGAGCATGAGAAGGTTTTATTACCACTGTTATCTATGAGCATGAGAAGGTTTCATTACCACAGTTGTCTATGAGCATGAGAAGGTTTCATTACCACAGTTATCTATGAGCATGAGAAGGTTTCATTACCACAGTTATCTATGAGCATGAGAAGGTTTTATTACCACAGTTATCTATGAGCATGAGAAGGTTTTATTACCACAGTTGTCTATGAGCATGAGAAGGTTTTATTACCACTGTTATCTATGAGCATGAGAAGGTTTCATTACCACAGTTATCTATGAGCATGAGAAGGTTTAATTACCACAGTTATCTATGAGCATGAGAAGGTTTCATTACCACAGTTATCTATGAGCATGAGAAGGTTTCATTACCACTGTTATCTATGAGCATGAGAAGGTTTTATTACCACAGTTATCTATGAGCATGAGGTGGTTTCATTACCACAGTTATCTATGAGCATGAGAAGGTTTCATTACCACAGTTATCTATGAGCATGAGAAGGTTTCATTACCACAGTTATCTATGAGCATGAGAAGGTTTAATTACCACTGTTATCTATGAGCATGAGAAGGTTTAATTACCACAGTTATCTATGAGCATGAGAAGGTTTTATTACCACAGTTGTCTATGAGCATGAGAAGGTTTCATTACCACAGTTGTCTATGAGCATGAGAAGGTTTCATTACCACAGTTGTCTATGAGCATGAGAAGGTTTCATTACCACAGTTGTCTATGAGCATGAGAAGGTTTCATTACCACAGTTGTCTATGAGCATGAGAAGGTTTCATTACCACAGTTGTCTATGAGCATGAGAAGGTTTCATTACCACAGTTGTCTATGAGCATGAGAAGGTTTCATTACCACAGTTGTCTATGAGCATGAGAAGGTTTCATTACCACAGTTGTCTATGAGCATGAGAAGGTTTCATTACCACAGTTGTCTATGAGCATGAGAAGGTTTCATTACCACAGTTATCTATGAGCATGAGAAGGTTTCATTACCACAGTTGTCTATGAGCATGAGAAGGTTTCATTACCACAGTTATCTATGAGCATGAGAAGGTTTCATTACCACAGTTGTCTATGAGCATGAGAAGGTTTCATTACCACAGTTGTCTATGAGCATGAGAAGGTTTCATTACCACAGTTGTCTATGAGCATGAGAAGGTTTTATTACCACTGTTATCTATGAGCATGAGAAGGTTTCATTACCACCATTATCTATCAGCATGAGAAGGTTTCATTACCACAGTTATCTATCAGCATGAGAAGGTTTCATTACCACAGTTATCTATCAGCATGAGAAGGTTTCATTTCCACAGTTATCTATCAGCATGAGAAGGTTTCATTACCACAGTTATCTATCAGCATGAGAAAGTTTCATTACCACAGTTATCTATCAGCATGAGAAAGTTTCATTACCACTGTTATCTATGAGCCTTCTGGCAAAAATCAGAACAAGGCCGATTATATATAATCATTTTAAAAATAAGTATTTTAATTGTATATCAGCACTTTATGAAAGGCAACCTGTTTCTGAAAAACTTTCTGGCAAAACTTGACTGTCTGTAAGCATTTAAGAAAGATAACATCTATCAACTGCAACAAACTTCTTCTTCTTTTTCTCTGCATTCACAGACTGTAAACTGTGGCTTTGAAAGAAATACACCTAATCAGTCAACTTGTATGACAGGCTTGATGAGAGGGGGGGGGGGGGGGTGTCTATTTTCTCCCCCCCCCCCCCCCCCCCATCCCCCCTCCAACCACATCCCCCCAAATGGGACCCAGAAACCCATCTCATAAACTGCTACAGACAAACATCAGGAAATTATTCAACACAAATAAATGGAGATAAAATGCACACACACCTGACTTTCACTCCTGACCCTCCGAGCCTTTGTCAGATCTTTGACTTTCCGAGTCTGCTGTGAGGGGGGTGACATCTTGGCCCCCTGCTGTTTCCTGTCATCTTTCCCTGAGACATTCTCAGCACTGCAAAGTTCACCAAACAGAACCATTGTCAACAAATGAAGGAGTGCAGAACTGCTCAACTTGACAATAATTAGACCTATTAATCATATATGTTATATATTTTAACAAATGTTTACAATAAACTTTATAGTGGGTAGGGAAAGATAGATAAATAACTGGATGGCTCGGCCACATGAGGCAAAATAAGTGCACTGACCTGATCAGTGATATTGGTGATCATGTGGGATGGTGGAACATGATAGTCTGCACTTATCTGCAGTGCACATGATGATAATATATGGATATAAAACAAACACACATGCACACACACACACATAATGTTTAATAAAGTATATGTACAATGTTTACCTGTAAACATGACGTACTCTTAAAAATGGAATAATGTTTAGGGATGTAGAAACAATAATAATTTTAAAAAAAACTAAGTGTGTTTCAGTCATTAATTTGTGGCTCTGTGAAACAGATGTTTGCAAACGCGTTTAACAATTCCATGATCCTCAAGAACTAGGGTTCCATTTCTGTGGTGGACGGTTCATTTTTTCTCTTCAAAGGCCATTTTCATGGTCTTTGAAGAGTAGCATGAGAGTTGCACTGTTGAAGAAACTGAGGCCTAACTACGTTATATTCCTAAAGACAACAGCTGCTGGACTGGAACCAATCTTCATTGTGAAGATGGCACAGCATTGTTGTCCCCGATATTTTTAACTGATTAACTGTTGTAATTAACTAAAGTAGTCTTAACTCTTTATATATTCTAAAATATTTAAATTTAAAGCAATTCAAGTTTGACAGTTATAAGTTTATTGTGTTTGTCACGTGTCCATGCCTATATATATATATATATATAGTGTGTGCGTGTTTGTATTTATGTATATATATATATGTGTGTGTGTGTGTGTGTGTGTGTGTGTGTGTGTGTGTGTGTGTGTTTGTATGTATGTATATATATGTGTGTGTGTGTGTGTGTATATATATATATATTTTTTTTTTAAGTAACAATACACTTTACACCTGCCTAAAGAAACTGACAAACATGAGATGAATAAAAGAAAGGCAATAAATTGTAGAAATGTCTGAAAAGCTGGTGGTTAAACATTTAAAACGAAAGAAGATAGAAAAATACAGGGCAGGTACTGAGACAAAGCAGACAAATAAAAGCAAAACAATCATCAAAATGAGAAACAAATGAGTTGTTTGAAGAAGCAAAAACATTCAAGAGAAACCCCATGATGATATTTATGAGGAAGGCAATGGTGTTGGATTAAAGCTTATAACCAATATAGAAAGAGTTGCTGAGGAAAGGTTGGAAAAGAAAAATAATGTATGAGCAAGGTGATGATGATGATGAACCATGCCCCACACACAGCAATAAGTTATTCTGTAACAAAACCAAATAATCAGTTACACACACTTTTAAAGCATTCTACTGTACTCCTAAGATTGTACGACCCAGCCTTGAATGTCTACCAGGTCAAGTCCAGGCAAGTAAAGGTGACCAGCGTGATGTTGACTACATCACCCATCAATAAAATATAGGTCTAGCTATACATGCCCAATCTGCCTAACGGGGTGGAAATGGGTCCTTTACATTTATGTTTGCTAGCCACTGCACTGACTCAGCTATCCTAAATTAATCAGACAATTCATTTATGCAAACTAGAGATTAACTGAAGATACATCTTGCCTTTTAACAGCAACAAAACTAATATTAACAAATAATATGTTTGGCAAATGAAGAAATCATAATACACAGGAGACAGACAATATTTGTAGAGACCAACCTGGCACTTGCTGTAGCCTCCTTGAGGGTATCCAGCAACTGGCTTGTCACACTGACCTGGCCAGCTATTTCTGGATCTCTGTGGCTAGGGACAAAGCAAACAAAATACTGATAATGATTTCTGTCAATTGGTGAAATTATGTAGAAACTTCTGGCTTATCACAGAGTTTAAGTACGTAATTGTTTTACTACCACTATACTTTCGTTGATTTTAGGTTTTTGCTCTGGGTCCATTTCTGATCTTCCTCTAAGCTCTGGTAAAAAGGTAATGGTAAAAACTTGATGGTGTTTATACATGTACAATGTCTTCTTCATCAAAAGTTCAGAACCACTTTGTAATGCTAGGCTATCTAGTCTTCTTCTTCTTCTTCGCGTTAACCGGCTGTAAACTTAAGTGGAAAGTTCTGGTTATTCGTCCACCTCTGGACTTTTATTCCAGAACCTGAGTGTTTTGTACACATCCGTTTTAATAGATCTGGCTTATGTGTATGAAAACTGCTGGTTCCTTGCCTCTCTGGCAGATTCACTCTGACTTAGAAGGACGCTCCCAATTAGTCAACTATTTGACATGCTTATTGGGCAGGCAGTTGTTTTATTCTTGTTTCCCCAAAATAGAGCCCGGATCCCACATGGTGACACTATCTAGTCTGAAGACTGGGAGTGACAACCATTGTCACTCCTACCTTTCACATTTGTAGCATGTTCATAAACTTATCACTTAGAATATAAACTTTTGGTTTCCACATCCACACTGGTAGCTTGTGACCTCTAGTTCTGACAGAATTTCAGGCTGTCAAGACATGTCTGTGCCCTCCCTAATCTGCTGTGATGTAGAGTTATCCATTTATTCCAATGTTTACTCAGTTCCCTCAAATGTGTTTGCCACACTTGTGCACTGTAAACCCTCTACTACTACCCCCCCCCCCCCCCCCCCCCCCCCCCCACCCCTCTTTTCAAACCAAGAGTCCGTCAGGAGATTGTCTTCATCATACTGAGCTCACTACAGCATTGCTCACACTATCCTATACACTACAGCATTGCTCACACTATCCTATACACTACAGCATTGCTCACACTATCCTATACACTACAGCATTGCTCACACTATCCCATACACTACAGGATTGCTCACACTATCCCATACACTACAGCATTGCTCACACTATCCCATACACTACAGCATTGCTCACACTATCCCATACACTACAGCATTGCTCACACTATCCCATACACTACAGCATTGCTCACACTATCCCATACACTACAGATGCTCACACTATCCCATACACTACAGCATTGCTCACACTATCCCATACACTACAGCTGCTCACACTATCCTATACACTACAGCATTGCTCACACTATCCCATACACTACAGCATTGCTCACACTATCCCATACACTACAGCATTGCTCACACTATCCCATACACTACAGCATTGCTCACACTATCCCATACACTACAGCATTGCTCACACTATCCCATACACTACAGCATTGCTCACACTATCCTATACACTACAGCATTGCTCACACTATCCCATACACTACAGCATTGCTCACACTATCCCATACACTACAGCATTGCTCACACTATCCCATACACTACAGCATTGCTCACACTATCCCATACACTACAGCATTGCTCACACTATCCCATACACTACAGCATTGCTCACACTATCCCATACACTACAGCATTGCTCACACTATCCCATACACTACAGCATTGCTCACACTATCCCATACACTACAGCATTGCTCACACTATCCCATACACTACAGCATTGCTCACACTATCCCATACACTACAGCATTGCTCACACTATCCCATACACTACAGCATTGCTCACACTATCCCATACACTACAGCATTGCTCACACTATCCCATACACTACAGCATTGCTCACACTATCCCATACACTACAGCATTGCTCACACTATCCCATACACTACAGCATTGCTCACACTATCCCATACACTACAGCATTGCTCACACTATCCCATACACTACAGCATTGCTCACACTATCCCATACACTACAGCATTGCTCACACAAGCATCCCATACACTACAGCATTGCTCACACTATCCCATTCACTACAGCATTGCTCACACTATCCCATACACTACAGCATTGCTCACACTATCCCATTCACTACAGCATTGCTCACACTATCCCATACACTACAGGACCACTGTAATAAACTAAGTAACATGTCTTGTTTGAAGACAAACTGAGAATACAGTGCTAGTGTCTTATTTTTAACTCTTTCAGTACCAAACAAGGCACCATATTTTTCCTGGTCACTCCAAAGATAATGTAATGCTCTGGCCGTCACCTATTATAGATAGATGTTATTTTAACCCTTTAATATTTGAAATATTAGTTTAAACTTTTTTTTTTTTTTTTTTTTTTTTGGTTCTACAGTTTCTCTGTTTTAACTCATTCAGAACTAAGCATTTATTGATTTTAATACAACCGTGGGGTAGAAAATATTCAATTAACAACTACTTGGAACTGAAAAGTTTATACCAATTAGCATATCAACCACCTTTACTTTCTAGAACATTTCTGGCACTTGTTTTTCGGTTTGATTGATCTGGCTTTGACTGATCTGGGTGTGACTCCATCTTTATCTAAATTAGTGCCCAAGTTGGCATATGAATCCACATCTTGGAGTGGGATACCATTAAGAGAAACCAAATTAATATTTGCCTGTACCACTGAAGACAGAACATAATGTCTGTGCCATCTCCACAATAAAAGTTGGCTAGAGTGTACCACTGTTGTCTATAGAAATATGACATGGTGAGGATCCCATCTCTTCCATGGTGCAACTTTTTTACTACTGTCCAACAACTATGAGAACCATTTGTTACAACTTGTCTATCACAGGATTCGAACCCTAGTATTTGAAGATCATGAAATATCACTGTGATAAGGCAAAATACCATTCAATTACCCTATAAAAAATGGTGAGTGATTACTGTGTATTCATTATTATAATTCAGCTTTTTTGTGTGTGTACGGTACCACATATTCCATTATTACTATTTATGCATTTAACATTTTTTTTTAAATAGCTGTTTTTTTTTGTATTAATGAACACTCTGGTCTCCTATTTGTGCACTGAACTGAGTGTTTACTGTAAAACATTCAACAAATATAGATATAAATATATATATATACACACACACACATTATCATTATTATTATGCAGCAAATAGGAGAGTTAAAAAGAATACTTAAAATTTACAGGACGTTGCAGAATCAACCCCAGCACTTTCTGGCTGTTGCGGTTTTTCTAGGCAAATCTACATCCAGTAGCTTGCCATTGATTTCTTGACGGTCGGCACCACGGTCCAAACCATCGCTAGACAAACCGTCCACAGCAGGGATCGAACCCAGCACCCCGACATTACAAAGCACGTTCATAACGCCTAAACCACAGACACTGACTTAAAGAAAACTACAGAGAGAAAAAATTTACACTGTGAATAAAAACAAGAACCCCACTAACTAAAAAATGAAAAGATTTACTAAATTAAATAAACTGAAAGAAAACAGAAACCACACAACAAATTAAAAGAAACAGAGAAATAAGAATATCCTAAAATTTTAAATAAACAAACTGACAACAATTGAGAAAACACTAAAACATAAATAACAAGACCAAAAGCAGCAACAACAAAAAGTGAAAGAAACAAATTTCATGAACATACCTGTATAAGTTGATTACTCTGGATATTTCTGATAAGCGCTGGGATGAAATAATACCAGTGTCATCAAAGAACTCTGATAACTGACTGACAAGGCTCTCATTTGATTGGCTAGTACTAGGAGGAGGCTGCATTCTGGGATTTCTACTAACCACTGTCCTTGTTGCCTGTGCAAGAATACAACATTTAAATGTCAAGTCCACAAAGAAAGCTCAAAGTTAACAAATGTAATGCTGAATGTGAATAGATTTCTCTTATTGCTTAGCTTCCTATTGTGTACAAAGCTCGAGCAGATCTTATGCGGTGAGATCCATTCTATGATTCTCCTCGCTAGCACATACTGGAGAAGGGACAAATATAGACTTTTCTGTGAATATCAAACTAAAATTGAAACAACAAAAAGATGAGTTTAAAAAAAAAAAGATGAATATTGGTGTGGACAAATACTGGAGTTCCAGTGTAGCTGTAATTACTTCATGGTTACGAATACTAAGTAAGGAGCCCTTCAAGTAAGGTGATGCAGTATCAGAGACAGGATAACTGGGTTATAGTTTAAAATAACAAGTGGATGTTTGTTAATGGTAGACAGCTCCCTGAGATTAGAGAAAGAGTCGAGTTGAGTCAAGGATTGACATCACAGCACTTGGGGCATTCCGACGCATGCTCCGTACTCATCTTCAGCAGCCAGCGCAGAGTTCCAATACTGATGGTCCCGGTCACAATCTGGTTTTATATCCGTCTTACCTTTCCTCTGAGTGTACTGAGCCGACCAGACCCTCTGGTTAAACCTAGATGCCTCATTCTCTCCAGGCCACAAATAATCTTCTATCTCTATCGATTCCGTTGCTTGTTCCCAAAGGGGCCTTGACAACATCTGCCTTGACATGTATCAATTCACCACCCAGTGCTGCAGACCCAACCAATCTGTCTACCTGTTGGGGTAAGATTCATGATCCATCAAAAGAAGAGAACTAGACCCCTCAAGTGAAGATTCCCTAGATCCAACAACTCCAGCCAAAATGTAGATTTGTCTGTATTTTGTGCAGCTGTTTCCCTTTCGTTGAGCTTTTTATAGTCACAGTTCATTGGATTAATTTCTTGGTATTAGTTTGACTGCAGTCCCCCCTGTTTTCTTCTAAAACCTGGCGTGTTGGATATCTACTGCTGTAGTCCAGTCCACTCCTGAGCTGTAGAGGGCTTTTCCTGGAAAAGAAGGGCACGAGAATCTGATAATCACCAGTGATAAATGTATAAACTTATGCTCAACAGTACGGGCCAATTATAAGTACGCCTAAAATAGTAAGCTAAACAAGCTGGTTGACTTAAGTGTTAATTTCCTGAATGCAAATAGTCTGTTTAGTCAGTAGAGACAATTTATCTATTAATACAGATGGCTAGCAGCCTGCCAAGAGCGTTAGCACACAGTGCAAACTCTATAGCTCCAGCAACAAACCGCGGGGCTTTCCCCAAGAAAAATGACACAGTCTAGAGAAGGAACCCATGACCTTTAGAGCAAGAGATATTTGGCTTGAACACTTAGGCACACAGAGAACTAGACTGTTCATTAATATTAAGCCAATAAAGACAGTTCATTTTCTCAGTGACGACCATTAAGTTTTTCAGTACAAAAAAATGGACAAGTGATAGGAGGAGCTGGTAGGTAGCTATCTTTACAAAATAATCTCAAATTGTTGTGTCACAACCACTGGTTGGTGGAAAACAGCATAAACTCTGCCCTGCTGTCTTGAAGGATTTGTTTCTTTAAACAAAGCAGATTTTAACTGAAAACAGACTGGCAGATGGCAAAAAGCAGACAACAGAGAATAATACTTGTACAGCTGACTGTAAATGTACTGGAAAACAAATGCCTGAGGAAAAAGTTGAATATACAAGTGGATGAATTCAAAAGGGGTGTAGTAATAAGAGAAATGTCTGGGCAACCACTAGTAACAACAGTTATAAGACAAAGAAGATGGTGCTTTACTTGACACATCCTGAGAAGAAATGAGCAGAAAATCATCAATCAGGCACTAAAATGGGAAACCCAGAAAGGGAAGATGTGCACACAAAAAACTTTTAAAAAACAAACGCTGATGAAAGATGTCAAAGATGTTGGACAGGATTCCAACCATGATACTGAACTGACTGCACAGGACAGAATGGAGGAACAGACTATGAGCCATATGTGACATATAAGGGCACAATGGGGCAATGATGATGATGATGGCTAAGCACATGACACAATACAGACCTGACCTGAGACTGGTGACTGTATTATAGAGTGAATCTTTACCAACCAGGCTTGTTGGCATTACACACAAGATGACAATGACTACCCAAAATGCACGTGTGATCATACTGTGCAGCAATCTTCACATGTGATCACACTGCAGCAATCTTCACATGTGATCATACTGTGCAGCAATTTTCACATGTGATCATACATTTTACGTTTAATCTAGTGATTAGAGCAAATGAAAGCCTAGCTAATTTTCTCACTGAAGACATACCTGTACTTCCTTTTCTCTAAAATGCTGAATCACCTGTTGTTCTCTCTTTCTCAGTTGCTGAAGCCGGTTCAGCTGTGAGGTCAACTCCTCTGCTGTGGCTGTATCAGTCAGATCCAAGTCCACTAAACAAATATGAACAGCCGTTTAAAAAAACAAACTTTTAAACAATTGCTCAAGCTGTATCCTGGCTAAATTAAGTGGAGAAATCTCTTCTCTGTTATACTGACTAAACTGACTGAACACATTTCTAGATTCTTTTACAGGTGAAATTAAGCCAACAAACTATAAAAGTTGAAAGCCTAAGATGCATGAAAAATGCATGATCTCAGGATTTTTACTTTAACCAATTTACTAGTGCTTTGCAAATAGTTTTTCATGCTGTTTAATTTCTCTGTGTCGGCGTCTGTGGCTTAGGCGTTGCAAACGCCCTTCATAATGTCAGGGTGCTGGGTTCGATCCCTGCTACGGACGGTTTGTCTTGCAATTGTTTCAACAGTGGTACCGAGAGCCTACCGTCCAAAAAGCAATGGCAAACTACTGGATGTAAATTTGCTTAGAAAAACCACAACAGCCAGGAAGTGCTTGGGTTGGTTCTGCAACGTCCTGTAAAGGATACACAACTTATTTTTAATCTCTCTGCATTGCTAATGCAAGTCTTCTTCTGACTTCTTTTAAGCAGTCACCACTGTTGTTTACTAAAAAGCCCAAGTATTCCAAATCTGTTATATTCTCTATTTCTTCATTTTCGATTGTGATATGTTATTGGTGTGCTGTATTTAATGAGGACATAGATTTTTTTTTTTAATTCAGAAAAAGATTCACTTCTTCGCTGTGCTTTTTAACGGCTAGAATTTATTTTTCTAAACCCTGTACACAGTTGGAAAGGAAAACTGGGATAGGATTATCTCCAATTGTGAGTGGACCGAAGCTTTCACATGCCTCATCGCTAATTGCATTTCTTATAACATTTTCAGCACAAAAGTTAAAGAGGGAAAGAAAAAGAATGTAGCCCTGTCCTACTCCTGTCTGCACTTCAAACCATTCTGACCGCTGCTAGTTGTTCATAGTAAAGAGATTCCATTAAGTGCACCAGATGTTTTGGAAATTCAATGCCTCTCATTATATGCTAGTTTATGGTGTTGCACACAGTCAAATGAATTGCTGTAGTCTATGAAACAAGTGTAAAAGATTTATCTTGTATTCTCTACACTTCTCTAGGATGATTCTCATATTGAAAATATGGTCTCTTGTTCCTCTGCCACGTTTAAAACCTGCTTGTGTTTCTTGTAGTTCATATTTCAATTTATTCCCAATCCTCTTCAAAATGATATGCACAAGAATTTTGCTGGCATAACTAATTAGAGCTATAGTGTGATTATTGTTACATCGACACGGAATCAAAATAGCCATTGCTGCCCATCAAACAACGGATCGCAAACTGTTCCTCCCCACAACGCTTAATGGCAGAAGTAGAAACTGATGATGGATGGTTTAAAAGACAAACAAACCTGTGAGATCCCGGGAAGATTCCAGAATCTCAGGGTCCGAATACTGTCTGTCCCTTTCTGGTTCACTACACACACTTCCTGGAGCTTTCTGGAGTAACTGTACAATTTAGAGAAGACAGTGATTATCAAACCAGCACCAATATTGTTGAAAGGGTAGTTTATACATCACCATCCTGTCATGTGACCTACAGTCCATGTGTATGAGTGTAAAGGGTGGTGAATTCCTCAACATCCTGTAATGTGACCTACAGTCCATGTATATGAGTGTAAAGGGTATTGTATACATCACCATCCTGTCATGTGACCTACTGTCCATGTGTATTTTGTAAAGGGTGGTGTATACCTCAACATCATGTCAGGTGACCTACAGTCCATGTATATGAGTGTAAAGGTTGGTGTATCCCTCACCACCCTGTCATGTGACCTACAGTCCATCTGTATGAGTGTACAACATGAGTGAGTATGATAGCAGTAAATGTAACTAGCTTAGCAACAGATGTCACCCATGAAGTACGTTTTGGGTTTTTCCAGTAAAGTTGAAGTGAACAGATGGAGACACTACGTGACAAGAGAAGGGGAAAAAAAAGGAAGTTGGAGTGTTTTGGACTTAGGCAGAAGACTGATGATTTTGTTGTTTTTAGCAAGCATCACTCTCAATCGATAGCCGCCATTGCCCACTTGTTACCTCATAACCTTCTGGCGGGTCTTATTAGCGACTGTGTCTGAGCTGCGTTGCATATGTATTGTGAGAATGGCTGCATGAGGTCAGGATGCTGGTTTGTGACTATGGATTCCTGGAAAGAAGGCAGCGATTGTATTGAATCCTTGGGTGCAGTCAGGCTTTGGTCAAGAAGGCCGACCATTCTAACATATGCTGTTACACTGATTGCCCAATAAAGATCACTTGAGAACTCAGCCAACTTTGCATGTGTTGGTGATGGTGGGATGGTGTGATGTTGTAAAATGAGGAGTGATAGTGGGATGTTGCTAAAGGAGGAGTGATGGTGGGATGTTGCTAAAGGAGGAGTGATGGTGTGATGTTGTTAAAGGAGGAGTAATAATGGGATGTTGCTAAAGTAGGAGTGATAGTGTGATGTAGCTAAAGAAGGAGTGATGGTGTGATGTTGTTAAAGGAGGAGTAATAATGGGATGTTGCTAAAGTAGGAGTGATAGTGTGATGTAGCTAAAGAAGGAGTGATGGTGTGATGTTGCTAAAGGAGAAATGATGGTGGGATGCTGCTAAAGAAGTGATGGTGGGATGAGAAAAGGGACACGCAGAGAAGGAGATGCAGGCAGAGAGATGTAGACAAAAAAGAGGGAGAGACAGCAGGCGATATACAGAGGCAAACAGACAGAGGGTGAGAAATTCAGAGTGTGAAATGCTGAGCAAGACCTACAACATAATGACGTCTAATGCAGAAATGCGTTATTATCAGTACTGCTTGAGTCAAATGCCAAAACAGAAATATCAATGGGGTAATAAATTATCCCTATGACTAGAGGCAGTCTAATCCTCATTACTACTGCAGCGATCCCCCTATCTCCTGTATCATTACCTTTACAGTACTCCCTCACATTTATACTACAGCAATTTCGCTTCCCTTAAACCTCCCCCTCCCACATCATCATTACTACTACAACAATTCCCGACCGCCCCCCACCCCCCACACACAAACATCAGCCTCATTACTACAATTCTTCCTCTCTGGAATGTTCCCACCTCAAACAAAATAAAGCTGTATGGTAAACAGGGAGATCTGAAATACCAAGATAGCTTTTATCAAGGCTACTGGCTTCCTAATATAAGCTTTCTGACAGAATGATCAATGAAAAAGTAGAAGAGAAAATGAAGAATAAAAAGATCATGATAATGACATACCATTCTGACATAATGCTGTAGCTCTCCCTGTCGGTTCTGATGATCTTCCATGTGACTGGACAGCTGGCTAAAGTCGGCTCCCAGTCTGAGGGATCAAGAAAGCAAGCAGTCATAAGAGATTCAATTATTGTACGGCAATCATTATTAATATCTCGTACTGTACTTAGATTATTCCGTTGAACTGTCGTTCCAGGTCCATGCCATACTAATTCCAAGTAACTTACTACTCTAAGGTTAACAAATGCCAAACCCAACGACAGGTGGAAAAACGCCACCAACAAGGTCAACTGTTGAAACTTCCACATTTGAGAACACGTTGTTGACAGGCAATATCAATACATTTATTCAGCAGTTCTCCACAGATATAATGTGTGTCCATGAAATGAATATGTTACGATCGCTGTACTTAATGACTGTAAGATAATTCCTTTCCTCCAACATGGAGCTCTGAGACTTTGCTCTCCCGCGAACTGCGGCATCAGGACATATCAATACAAGCCTCTGCCCTTCCTACCTTTCTTGTAACTGTCTTCTGTTCAATTCTTCTGTCGGCAAGCGATGTCGTGTCTCTCGTAATATCTCATGTTCATTAGCGGTCGTCAACAGTGTGAATCTTCAGACTGCACACAACAATGATCCACCCAGTCTTGCAACAAACTACAACCAAAGGCTTGGCAGGGGTGGCAAAAACTGGCTAAAGCATCCGGTAGAAAACTTTAAGTACTTAGGTACCCTGATAACAGCAGATGGAAGATGTATTAAAGAAGTTAAATTTAGAGTAAGGCAAAGAATTTCTACGCAATTTTTCATTTTATCAACTGAGATGAGAAAAAGAATTCGCAAGAGTTACATACATCCTATCGTGATATTCAAAAGTGAACCAGGGACAGCTGGACGATCAGTGAAAAATTATTTGGAAGCAGCGGTTTAATTAGGCGAATGATGAGAATACCCTAGACAGATTAAAAAAAAGTAATGAAGATGTCTTGAAAGAAACTGACTCAAGAAGACGAACTGACTACCCATATCAGAATGAGACAATTGACATTCTTCGGTCATGTCATGAGAAGGAGAAAAGTGGAGTACATCATTACCGTGGGAAAGTTAGAGTGGAAAAGAAGGCAAAGGGAGACCGAGAGATAAGATGGTTGTTAGTTCATCATGGTACGGAAGATCATCTGTGTCAAAACTAACTGAAATATACGAGACAAAAGTGGTGGATAGACATGACTACCAACACCAACCAGCATGGACAATAAGAAGAAGAAAACTTGAGGTACAAGCAATCTTCTTCTTCTTTCACTAGTTTGAACTAGATTTCTACATCTGCAATGTTGTCTTTTTTTTTTTATAAATACTCAAGCGATCTTGAACTCTTTAAAGGACTTGGTAATAGTTGATTAAGAGCACTAACTGCACTGGACAGAAACTGCTGAAGTTATAAGTGACTATTTGTTTATATAATGACTGTCTGGTTTAGGAAATGCTGTAGTAATTAATGAAGGAAACAACATAAAAATTACTGAGATATATGGAGTTAACAACTGTGTTAACCTCTAGTATTGATGTTTCTTATGTTTGACGGGTACTTTTCTGTCTGTCCAGATGACAGTGTTATACTGTGCTATGAGGGGGCATTGGACTCACAGCCCATGGTGATGGTGAGTGTGACTAGCAAGACCCGCCCGTGTTAAGAAAAGTCTTCCATGATTATAGTATAGGATTTCAGGACCGTTGTTGTCAACATTTGTGTTTAGTCTGTTACTTCTCAGATGCTCAGCTCTCATCCTTTCTGTGACCATTGACTTAGCTGTATTGAATAATAATACCTGCTGGCATCAAGGGAGCCACTGCTGGCCTCATTGGCACTATCAGAGCTGTGATCTCTTTCTGCTGGCTGCTTCACAGGTGGGGATAAATTGTCATTCAGGTCATCTGGAAATATGAAGGTCGCATACACGTAATTTCTAAAGAAAATATACTACATATTACGACACTGAAAATTCTACTGGGAATATTTAGGCACACACATAATTGCTTTTAGTTTAGAATTGAAGATAAGTCGCTCAAATTTAGATTTTGATGTTTAGACACAAAACCTAACTGGCCACTATTCGTGTTTAGACACATCACTAATATTTAGCCTGTTAATGTTTAGATACCACACTTAACCCTTTCATCCCGGTGGACCCCCCCCCCCCCCCTCCTCCCCCCACACACACAACAAACCAAACCAAGACCCCAGATCCTTTTCTTTTCCAGAAAAAATCTTAGCAAAACAAATATTTTATATGTATAAAAATTTTTAAAAATTCTTATAAATACAATTTGTCATCCAAATCACAAACAAACACTATACAGAGTAAGGGGAAAAGCAATAAGAATGATGGCAGCAAAGAATCAACTTGCTTACATGGCTTGAGGCCCGTAAACTAATTACAGAGGGACACTGACATGACTCTGTACCCAATCATTCATCATCCCAGACAAGCTGAATGTTCCAGTCACAGATGCAATGAATTTTGTTAGCTAGAAGTCTCCTGACAAGTCTCTACGGTGAGTCAGGAAACTTGTTCTTGCTGGGAAATGGAACCAACCGGATGTGTTGGTTCTGTGTTTTCTAGGGGTGAAAGGCTTAAATCATCACTTTTGGTGTTTTGACACATCACCAAGATTTGGGTTGCCAATGTTTAGACACTGCTTCAATCACAATTTTTGTTTTGTTTTGATACACTAAGCTCTGGGGTGCAAATGTTTAGATACAAGGCTTCAATCACCACTTTTGGTGTTTTGATACATCACCAAGATTTTGCGTTGCAAGTGTTTAGATACAAGGCTTAAATCACCACTTTTGGTGTTTTGATACATCACCAAGATTTGCATTGCCAATGTTTAGATACAAGGCTTCAATCACCACTTTTGGTGTTTTGATACATCACCAAGATTTTGGTTGGAAATGTTTAGATACAAGGCTTCAATCACCACTTTTGGTGTTTTGATACATCACCAAGATTTTGGTTGCAAATGTTTAGATACAAGGCTTCAATCACCATTGTTGGTGTTTTGAGACACATCACTAAGATTTGCATTATTTCTGTTTAGATGGATGAAGGCTTAAATGCACCTCTTTGGTGTTTTGATACAAAACCAAGATCAGTGTGGTAAATGTTTAGGACAACCTTAAATCGCCACTTTTGGTGTTTCGACACATCACCAAGATTTGAGTTGCAAATATTTACACAAGCCTTAAATCACCACTTTCAGTGTTTTTATACATCACCAAGATTTGCGTTGCCATTTTTAGATACAAGGATTAAATTACCACTTATGGTGTTTTGATACATCACCAAGATTTGGGTTGCCAATATTTAGATACAAGGCTTCCTTTGATTGACACAGGGGTGAACTTAACAACGACAACAAACAACTCTCACTCACTCTTTCTCTCTCTGACTGACTGACTGGCTGGCTCGCTGATTGGCTTGCTGACTGGCGAGTGCACACGTGCACACACAGATATACACAAACACACACAAACCATAAGGAAGAGACAAAATCCACAAAACTGAAAAAACACAGAAAAAACACAAAAAACTCACCAATCTGTCTTGTCTGTTGGTTTCTTCTTGGCCGGCCTCTTTTCACAGGTGTTTCTGCAATAAACAGTGTCTGGTTCGTAGCAGTCCGGCCTGGTGAAGAGATGCTTCCTGCAGTCAAGGCTGGAACACTGGGATGGTGCTGTATGGTCACATTACCAGGGGGTGACCAGTGGTTGGTAGTGTGGCCAGGAGGGCTAGAGATGCAGTGTGGACTGTCTGGCCGGAACAGGTTGATATTGGCAGCTAATTGACAAATAGAAACAATATAAATCATTGATGATGCATACAAGAATAGGTAAATAATTTATACTGACAACTTATGGAAGAAACAAAAAAGTAAGTAAGTCTTGTCTTTTACAATCTACCAGAGGGGAAGCCAGCTCTAACTCACACTTTCTCTTAAACCTGTGGAGTTTGGGGAACTATTACGGGGAAGTTATGGGAGCCTACACTTGTATTCTAGCGCCAGATGTATTACCTAGCTTTCATTGTAACCTTCTACGTATAGTGTACCTTTATGTTGTCTACCTATTGTTACTCCTCTTCTTATTAGGAACATATCTACAAGCACAAGCATTCTGATGCCAACACCCGATGGAATCAACTAATGATCACTTGTCCTGGTGAGAAAAGCAAACCTGCATACTACTGCAATTTAACAACTCTTATGTGATTCATTGATCTGGGCGACTGAAAAATTAATATGAAAATAGGGAAACTAGCTGAAAGAACTAGGAACTTTTGGACCCTGGAAGTAACATATCCCACAGATCAATCAATGTTGCTTTTGTTGTTTTTACTTTCACTATTTGTGTGTGTGGCAATACTTTTGCTGAATAAGAATGCTTATTCAGTTCTCCATTTTTCGACCATACAAACAGATATTGTCTGACTGAAACAAAATGGTGATATTTAATGACAGATTTATTCTCACTTAAAACAGAATGGAAAATTCTCACATCAAGACATGTAATGACAGATTTATTCTGACTTAAAACAGAATGGAAAATTCTCACATCAAGCCAGAGAAAGGCAGAACAATGGACAACTTATTTAAAGCTAGCATAAAAAGAACTTCTCATTTGAAGAAAAAAGAAAACCAACCCCCACTTAAAACAGAAAAAAAAAGAAGGTGCTTTTGTGAGGTAAGGTGTAAAAATAACTGTCTTACAGGACTCCTTACCTGAATCGACTACAAGGACAGTAAAAAAATTTCACCTATGATTGATGTACGGGGACATCTTCCAAATGAGGCAAACATAAGAACTACTACTCACCTGAAGAAGAAGTCAGCTTTACTTCCTTATGGTCACCAAAGTCTCCAGCCATAGGCCTGACCACTCGACCGTGACTATTGGAGCTGAAATATGCTGGAGGCTGCTGCTGGGGTGAACGCTGAGACTTCTGCTCGTTGTGGTGGTGAGACTGATAACTTTGGTGTTGGCGTGGAGGGGTAAAACCCTGAGCAAGGTGACTGTTGAAGACAAAGTGTTGGTTGGGAGGGACTGCTGCTGGTTGATCTGCCGCTGCTGTGGTAGAATTCTGACTGGAATCTGCAATGATTCAGACAAATAAGAAACAAATAAATATGTGTGAGTTCTGGGGCTACCCTTTTGGTGGAATAAAGAATAAATAAAGAAGGATAAAGATGGAAAGATAATATCACACAAATTCTAAAACAGCACGATGTATCTATAGGCGAGGCAGCCTGAAGAGCAAGATGCAGATCCTTATGTTTCCTTCAACACCTGAAGCAGTAAAAGAGGAAGTGAAGAAGAGGAAGAAGAAGAAAAGAGGGAATAGGTTCACTGCTTCACTAACAAGACTCACTGCCCCCCCCCCCCCCCCCTTTTCAACAAGCATGTGATAAAAAGCACTAATTAGAGGTTTTTCTTCAAAGTTGGAGGGCATCTGCCTGAGAGATGAGGGACTAAAAGTCAGCATTATAGTAAACCACTTCTGTAAAACGAATGTGTATGCAAAACCTAAATTCTGGAACAAGACTAATTTCCAAAACATACCACCAGAGTTTACAGCCGATAAACAGAAAGAAGAAGATATAAATATGTGTATTAAGTTGGTAATTTGTGCTTCTCAAACTAATTATCCAGTAGGCAACTGTTTACTGACTGCAAAAGTCATACGGCTTTGTCTACTTAAACACCAACAGCTACTTAACAATGCTTTGACCAAGCGGAGAAAACTCTAATGAATACAGCATCTTTCAAATACCAGTACTCCCCATGTGGGTTTGGGGCCCCACTGGAGGGGGATGGGGGCAATACATCCCTTCAATACACATCTTCTCTTGTTCTTAGCATATCAACTGTAAACTCCAGCCGAAAGTTCTGTTTGTTCCTACACTTCTAGACTTTGGTCTTGATCCATCTGTTTTACACGTCAAGCTTATCTGTAAGCAGACTGCTGGTTCCTTGCCTCACAGGCAGAAACACTCCGACTTTAAAGTCGCCACCTACGACATGTGTTGTTGAGGGAACAGCTGACCTATTCCTTGTTCTCCAAAATGGAACCAACACGGAGATGTATAGAATATCAATCACTCATAAATTTCACCGCCAAAACTGCCCAATCATACAAAATCAAGGACCCTTTTAACCCCACTCAGACATATGATGCTAGTCCCATTTTTTAATGACCAATCAGAACTCAGTGGCTGATGTGATCAACATCAAGCCAGCCACTTTTACTTTCATTTTTGGGTACCCATTTTTTAGCTGGGTTAGCCTGAAATCATATAAAACTATTCACATAGTACTAACATGTCCAAGTCTGTTCACAGAGTAGAAGACACCTACCACCAATATCTGTACATAGAACAGATCATGTGGCATAGCAGAATACTGAGTGCATGCACAAACAGCCAACTTCATATTACCAGCAAAAGAACTATAAGCTCTGTAAAACTAGTTATAAACCAGATCAAAGCAAGAAATACAACACATAAGCTCAACAAGTTTAGTTATGAACAGCAACAAAGCTAGAAATACAACACATAAGCTCCACAAGTTAAGTTATGAACAAAAACAAAGCAATATACAAGCTCCATAACTCTAGTTAAGAACAGCTGCAAAGCTTGAAATACTAGCATCTCTACCTGAACTGTATCTGGAGGACTGCTGGGGAGACCTCATTGCCACAGCTTGATACCTTGGTTCAGGTCTTGCTAGATGGCCAGAAACTGTGACAAGTGATTTCATGCTGGGGCCTGCCACATAACCGTGGGTATAAGAGAGGCGAGACTGGCTCAGGTTGTTGGATGGCTAGAGAAGAAAATATCCACTGTCATTTACACAATCAAGGAATTCATTTATAGCAGACAAACAAAGAAAACCGAACTTTGTAAAGCTTTGTGCAGTGGTTGGTTAAATCTGTTGATACCCTTAAGTACGCCTTGACCTGTGCGACTTTGTATCTGCTAGTCATTGTTGGTAAACCCAGGACATAACGCATGGCAGGAGGTGTCTTTTGTGCAGCCAAGAATAAGTCTCATGGCCTCATTTTGTACTCGGCCCAGTCTTTCTAGCTGGGTTTTGCTGACATTGAGGACTACAGTCAATGATGCTTAATACAAGCCATTGATAGAGAAGGACAAGTAGGCATTGTTCAATATCAGCAGCTGCTAGCACAATGAGTGCTGTCAGACCTTTCCTTGCTCTACGTAAGACGTTATGTACGTGACACTTGTATGACAATCATCTGTTAAATGTCATACCCATTCTCTTGATGTCCTCACCACACATGCTTACGACTGAGGTAGGTGTAATGACAATGTACGTATTCAGAGAGAACCCTGTTAAGGAGGCCTTTGTCAGTTCACTTGTGCTCTCGATTCCTGGCACCACTCACTGAGTCTGTCTAGTTCGTGTTGTAGCGTGTTTGTAATTTCGTGCCTGTTTCTACCTCGATGATTCACAAGGATATCATCTGCATACAACATTGTTCTGCCCAGGCCTACGCTTTCAGAACTGGCGAAATTGGTGATAGCTGGGGCAGACTCATTAGGACGCACGGAGGTTTCGATGCCCATGCCCCACATCGCAGCAACGCTGCTCTTTTGAACACAAGCACGCACACACACATTCAGGCACACACAAACACACACTCTCTGTCTCTCTCTCTCTCTCTGTCTCTCACATGCATGCACACACACGAGCCATATACCATGTGCCACTCCTCCCCCCCCCTCCCACCCCAGACTAGGACATTTGAAAATACTTAATTATAATTGATATTACCATATATTTGAAGCATTAATGTCATTAGTGATTATTTATTTATATTTGTTTATACATTCATTACTTTTGTATTCAATATGTCCATTGTGTCTTTGAACTAAATCTATTTAGCTCAGTGTTTCCTAAACTTTTTTTGTTTTGTGTGTCATGCTTCATGCTTCACCCAAGCCAGTTCTTGGTTTTTTTTCCTCCTTCAAGTCATAGGTCACGGGGCAGTCAAATATCTCAGGGTGTTCCCAAAATAGACAGAAAAATCTTTACCAATGTCAAGCTGAAGTTGTTGTTGACACGTACGCTAAGCGCTGCTCTTGCCACCTGCAGCAGGGCGGGTGATAGATAGTTAGTAATTTGGCATGTCAATTGTTATGCAGTTTTTTTGTGTGTCTTGACTCAGGTTGTGAAAAGTGCGTTGTTGTTGTTTTTTTTTTTGGTGTACATTTGGGCGGATGAAGTTATTTACAGTTGTGGGTGGTGTCTGTTTTTGCTTTTTCCTGTTTTTCTGTATGTTGGTGCAATCGGGAGGATGAATTTTTGCGGTTTGGATGGTTTCTATTTGTTATTGTGTTCTCCTGCTGGGCAGGAGGACCTAGGCTAGACATAGGTGGGTTGGGGTGGGTTGGGGTTAGGGTCAGCAGTTGTGGATGTTGTGGAATCGTTTGGGCATATGTTTTAGAGTCGTTTGGTGGACTTGGATGAATTGGGGTTAGGGTCAGCAGTTGTGGATGTAGTGGGGTCGTTTGGTGGATGTAGGTGGATTGGGGTTAGGGTCAGCAGCTGTGGATGTTGTGGGGTTCGTTTGAGTGGATGTTAGGGGTCATCTGGTGCAAGTAGGTGGGGTGGGGTTAGGATCAGCAGTTGTGGATGTTGTGGGGTCATTTGGTGCACGTAGGTGGGTTGGGGTTAGGGTCAGCAGTTGTGGATGTTGGGGGTTTGTTTGGGTGGATGTTTTGGAGTCGTCTGGAATACAGAACGCCTGATGTGCCGGCAGGCGACAACGCATTTTTTTGTGTGTGCAATCGGGTATAGAGTGCCAACTGGGGTACTGTGAGGGTGGCCCTAAAAAGAGCCAATCATTCTAGATGTATACTGCTGGGTTCAAGCTTGAATTGGCAATCACAACAATTTCACATGTTAGTAGATCTGGACAGAGATCTGCTATTGCGGCACTATTGTTTTATGTGGCCAGAAAGCAACAATGTATGCCAGGAGTGTCGCAAACAGGTCGCGACCCGAGTGTTTAGCGCGTCTACACCACATGAACTTGCTCAAGAAGGAGTTTAGTAAATTTTTATGAGTGCCATTCTGGCACTTTTTTCTCTCCTTTGCCGACCTCCACATGGGCTCGATGCATTGCGTATGGGCACCTGTCGTGGGGTCAACAAAATTTATGGAGTAATTGACAGTGAGATGCGTCAATCCCAAAATATTTTTAATTCCATTGTAAGCACGCCACATGTCGGAGACTACTGTCGTGCCTGGTCTAATGTTTGTGAAAATAAAGCAAAGACTCCACCGAATACCAAGTGTTTTGGAAACACTTGTCCCACATGATTTTTCCATTTTGCAAACAGACTTTCATCAATTTCAACAGTGGTATTCTCTCCCCTCATCACTGCAGGAATCAATTATAATTTATTAGCACACACCTCCTGTATGTAGTTGCTCCACTCCACAGTTGTAGCCCTCGACATGCCCAGCTCTACTTGGCCAAATTTAATGCTTGTCAACTTTTGCGACCAATAGTATAGAAACAGAATGATTTGTCTGTAAAGCAGGTGCAAAACTTCCAGGCATGTCCCTTTCGGTAACAGTCTGCTGTCCAGACAGCTTGATTTTCAACACCGCCATCGCCCTCTTTTTCCCCCATCAGGGGATACCAGCATCACATGATTATTGGGACAACGTCTGGTGATATGCAGAATAACATGATGTTGCAGAAACCGACACTACTCTTCTTGTCAGGCACGGTTTCTGCTAATTCCAGGAAATTCATAGCGATGAAGACAAACACACATAAGTCCCTGGAGAGACACCCACTGTGGGAATGACGACTGAACACACAATGAACGCGCCAAATGTGGAGAGACGCCTGCCACGCCGCAGTTGTCAATGGCAACATTTAGCAACATGTGCCAACTAATGATCTCTCTGCGAAAACCCCATCTTATCACAACCTGAGATATTTGATTGTCACGTGACCTATGACTTGGGGGAAACAAAACAAAAAAAAAACAAGTATCCCCAAGCCTCCCTAAAATCCCCCCTCCCCCTTTTCTGGTTGAGTCCATTTTTTAATTAACCCCCCCCCCCCCCCCCTTTTCCAATAATCAAAGTGCCTCCATCCTGATGATCTTAACAAGGACTTGTATTTGGGGTAGGGCTCATGTTAAAAGAGCATCCTGAAAAAAAAAATCATTATTTTCAAGTCAGGTGTTTTTGGGGGGCATACACAGTATCAGAGAGGAAGTAACACATAACTATGACAAACCTTCCCAAGAAAATCATCTCCCCCTGACTCCTGGGCAGACACGTTCCCAGATGAGTGGTGCTTCTGCATGAGTACATTGTTGTAGTTGTCGCTGGCACTGTTGTTGGGGGCGGAGGAGTCAGGCCCATTGCCTTGATTTGCTTCGGAAAGCTGCAGCTGACTTCTTATTGTGGCAGTCTCATTTCTCATGACCGGTATGTCCATATTGTGGGGAAGTCTGGCCAGTATAAACAACAAGTCTTTTAAACACACATCACAAATTACCATTTTGGTCACTACAAACAAATTTAGAACAGTTCTACAGCAACTAGTTTGATTTCAGAAATCCTTGTGTGGGTTCTGGGGCCTCATTGCGAGGGGAAAGGGGGGGAGAATAAGAATAGACCCACTTTTTTCTAACAAGCACGTCTTAAGAGACGACTAACTGGGAGGTGGATAAATAACCAGAACTTTCCGCTGGAGTTTACAGCCAGTGAATGCGAAAAAGAAGAGGAAGATTTTAGAAAAACATTCCATCAATTATCAAATCCATTAAGTTTCATAGAAAGATATAGTAGTTTAACAGTAAAATCTAGAAAATAAACAATGAATATATAAATGACTAAACTTTTTCTACATAAGCAGTCTCCATAGTGAAGTGGTCAAGTCATCTGCCTCACGCTCCGAACGTCATGGGTTCATTTCATGACTGTGTTGCTCGGTTCATGGGTGCATATTTCACACAGACAACTGGGAATTGTTGCTGGAGCAATAGTTTTTGTGCTTTTTGCACCACTCTTAGCGGGCGGCAGGTCATTCTGATGAGACGGACTGAGCCATGGGACAAAACCTGATGCAGTGAATTCAACTCTCTAGACCAGTGTTTCCCAAACTTGTCTTAGTCGCAGCGCCTTTTTTCCAATTAAAATTCATCCACAGCAACCTAAACTATGTAAAAGTATGACTATTGGCATGTAAGAGATTTAAAAAATAAAAAACTTGTGTATCTTCAAATATTTTGCCGGGGCGCTGCAGTGGAGAGTTTGGGAATCACTGCTCTAGACTTTTAACCTTTTTAACTCCATGAATATACATAATGGCATATCCCCAAGCCTCATGTAAACAACCTCATGTACATAGATGACATAACCAAATCCTTGATGCTCATCTGAAAAATATACATAAAAACAGCATCTGACAGCAGGCAAAATTTTTACTCATAACTTAGTCAACCAAGACAACAAATTATAAATTAAAACTCACACAATACACTCAGATATTTATTATAACAAAATTAACACACAAATAATTATTGTAACTTGGCCATCATCCATACACACCAACAAAAACAAGATATTACACATTATAACTCACTTTATACAGCTGTAAATAAAAATCTAATCAATATACAAAAACTACACAATAATCTGGACAAAAGTACATAATTACACAATTTCAATAAATAAGCAGCTTAAAGTGATAGCAGAAGAAACAACTTTTAAAAAATCTTACGCACAAGTGAAAACAACAAATTAGAACAACAAAGCTAAACTTGAAAGTATGCTTTAGTTGTTTCAATACTAAAATCCACAAATTTAACAATGAATATATAAATCACAAAAATATATTCTTACGATCTTAACAATGAAATAAACAGCAAATATCAGTCTGAACAAATTCTGAATATCAAACAATGAAACTAAAAAACTTCATTAACCAAAGTTCTAAGACATGATTTCTGAAGGAAGTATTAAACATAAGGAAGTAAAGTGAAGGACCTTTATCATGCATTTGCAGGTCGAGCATGTGGTGCTACATTCCTATTTTTACAGACCCCAACATCACTCGCTGGGCCAACATCATGCTAATTACTTTTACTTCTTATGTTATTTCCTGGTTTCCTTTTTAGGTATTTTAAATTAATTTTCTTTATTTCAACTGAGATAATGATTGGCACTGGCAGCAGAGTTTTGGCAGAAAAAAAAAACTATTTATCCCTTTTTTTAAATTAAACTTCTGTTGTGCTTAATTCTGAGAATGTTTTGCCAATATATTGGCCCGACAATCCGCCCTATTTTGCCATATTGCCGATTTATCGGCTTCTGGCACAGACACTAATATTGTTTCATTTGGTAGGAAAATGAATTTGTATGAACCTGTAGATCTATTTCAGCGGCCCTAGAATCCATACAGGGCAATCTACTATATTGACACACAGTTATAAAATGTTCCCAGCCTAAAATGGGTACCAGGATGGGCTGTCCTGGGAAAGTAAAGACAGCCGGCGTAATGCTGACCACATTACCCACAGTGCTGATGGTCTGTAAAAATATGGGACGCTCTGCCCATATGCCCGATGCGCCGAAAGGCGTGAAAAGGGATCTTTACTTTTTTTTTACTTACATAATTTGTCAACATCACATAAAAGTACATTCAACATTGGCACACACACAATACCTCTGTAAATATTCCTCCACTCTGTCCATCCTCTCCCTCTCCTCCTGTCGTTCACCCTTCTCATTTTCCAAAACCGCGGTCGAGACTGTAGTTGGGCGTCTGAGAACATCAGGGTTATCATGAGCCTGGCTTTCGCTTTCTGGCTTTCTCATCCCTGACCCTGAGGTGACCAAACCGAGGCTGGTGACAGAGGTGCTGCTCCCAGTGACTGCTGGAGCTGAAGCTAGCTGTCCACTGCTTTGGTTCGATAGAAAGGATCCATTCAAACTCTGGAAGACAAAGAGAGTGGCTTATCTTTCCTATTTAACCCTGAGGTAACATTTTCTTTACAGTTTTCTTTAGTATTTATCTATTCTTTTCTGGCATGTACAAAGGTGTTTAGTACTTTTTTACTACAGGTTCATTAGTTGGTTTGAAGACAATGCCTATTTCTGACTCTTTCAAAGCCAATGGTTATTACATTAACTTGGAAAGCACAGGCAGACTTTTAATCAGGTCACAGCTGGTACTGTTTGCACTTCAACTCTTTCATTATCCACTTAGGAAGGAGACACAGTACATGTGGGAATGCCCTAAGTGCAGTGATATCAGCTATTTTATCCATTCATTCATTTATCTGAATTGTTAGTTTCACTCCTTCCCTGTCCCCAATGTTACTGCTTTAAATTCTTTAGACTCAAACATTGGCTACTTTTAACTTAAACTTAGCTGGATAGAAGAGGTTAAAGTAATCACAGGCTGGTATTGAAAGAGTTAAAGGAAAGAAGTTCTACAAAATGGACAAATTCTGATTGTGTCTTAACTCTGTGTCTTAACTCTTTTGGTCCCAAGGAACAGATCATGCCTACAATAATAACTACCCAGAGGCCCAATCAGCACATGACGGGTATCTAGTTTTAATTTACCACTGACCAGTTTAAAAACATGAACTGGACAATTTGAATGTTCCTTCTGGTTTTGTTGTGTTTAGATCATATGTGGACTGCACCCATTCAATTTGATGAGTTTCTAAGACTTATAAACTATTTTTAGTGTGGTCTTCTGAGTTACTGGCAATTTATTTTAAACAATATAACTGCTCAGTCATTGTCTTCACATCAACCAATGCAATTTATGGCTTTAGAAACCTCTAATTTAAAAATTAAAAAAACAGCATGCTAATTAGATTTATGTGAAGTGACATGAATAAAGTAGTGAAGTAGTAGTCTCAAGTCACTTATAGTGTCAAGCTTTGACGACGGATAGCTCTGTTATATACCTCAAACAAAGCATACAAAGATGGCAGAGTCAATGGTACAATGAGCATAAATATTAGTTGAAACGCAATTTTTTTTTCTTTTCAAGTGTCGGTTAGTTTTAGTGCTATTCTTCTTACTCTTTAGAAACCTAGCTGCAAAATAACATGGAAGTTGAGTTTTAATAAAGTTCTTTTTGTGTGATGACACTACTTGCTTTGGAAAGTCATTTTTGTACCAAATAATGGTGCTGTGTGATTATATTCCAAAATTTCTCTGGAACAAGATCTGATGTACACGTGTTAAAATTTTATTTATACACAATTAGATAATTAAATTTTATTTGTGATTCATTCTGGGATCCTTCAAATCATGAATGAATGGCTAATCACAGTGTGCTTGGGGGCGGAAAACGCTACTAGAAACCGTTCTGTATATATTTCACTGAGTTTCCCTTGAGCACCATACAGGTAAGGGAAACATTATTATTTTGTCTGACTAAAGTATCTGAACATGCCATCTGTTTATTTACTAATATTTAATATACTAATATTATTTGTTGTTGCAGCAGTATTCTAATGTTATTTCTTAACATTTCCTGGTCACTTTGATATTTAGTATGTATATATGTTGTACACTAACTGTAGTTGTATCATCTTTCTTCTTCTTCTTCTCTGTTGACCGGCTGTGAGCTCCAGTGGAAAGTCCTGGCTGTTCATCTATTGTTGCTCGGGCAGATGTATTCCGACTTTGAAGAAAGTCCCTAATTAGTCAACTCCTACGACATGCTTGTTGGGGAGGCAGTGGGTCTATTCTTGTTTTCCCCACAATGGGGCCTAGAACCCACACAGGGGCTGACCTGTTTGAATGGGTTACAATTGTGAAATTTCAAAATGCCACTACCACTCCTTGGTCCTCTGATATGAAACCCCCAGCACCGAAAGAGTCGAGGAGCATAATACTACTTCCAGCACTGACCAACATATTTATTAATGTGCTTGATAAATGGTGATTCAGTCCTTACCCGTTTCTGTGGGGTAGTGACTAGCAGAGAGACAGCCTCATTCCATTGGGACTGCATCATGTACTGAAGCTTGGTAAGGATCTCCATTCTGCAGCATTACAACACAAAATAATTAGTTTACTTGTGCCTTCTTTCTACGAAACACATATGATTTTTTTCAAGGTACTTTAAAGTGGATTTAATAAATAATGTTATACTTTCAAATGGATATAATAATTTATACAGGGGAAACATTAAGAAGTCGAAGTCACTGATGACTAACTGAAAGATTTATTTGATGAAAAAAGAAGAAAAAGAAAGATGTATTCTAACTTTTCTGTACTTCTTCTTCTTCTGCATTTGCCCTTCAAAAAGGCATCTGTGTTGTGGTTTACAATTAGGCTGCGATATCTGCATCATTTGGCTGACACAACTGATTGAATAAACCCTCAATTAGTCACCTTTTACTATAGAATCCTCAGGTGGCAGTGGGTCTTTTCCTTTTTTACCTAAAATAGGCTCCCGAACCACACAAGCTATTTCTTATTTGAAGATCCCCAAATTGTTTAGACCAGTAGCTCTCAACCTTCCTTATTTAATACAGTTCCCCATGTTGTGGCGACCCCCAACCATACAATTATTTTCGCTGCTACTTCATAACTTCAGTGAATATGCGTTTTCCTATGGTCTTTGGCGACTCCTGTGAAAGGGTCGTTTGACCTCCTAAAAGGGTCATGGCCCACAGGTTGAGAATGGCTGGTTTAGACTAAAGTCTCCACGACAAGCAAGTCCTGCATTCCGAAGATTATGAGCTTGTTTTTGCTCAGTGTTGTCCAACTTATAGGTGGCCTTTATTCTGAAATCCCTAGCGGTCATTGTTAAAGGTACAGAGTTTGTGTTGTGTTGTTTACAGGGGGTACTTGTCTTAAATCCCCAGTGGTCACTGCTGAAGGTACAGTTTGTATTGCGTTGTGTTGTTTACAGAGGGTAATTTTCTTAAATCCCCAGGGGTCACTGCTGAAGATACAGAGTTTGTGTTGTGTAGTTTACAGAGGGTACTTTTATTAAATCCCTAGTAGTGCTGAAGGTACTGAGTTTGTGCTATGTGCAATGATCAGTCATTTTGCTGAGCGATACTGAATCAGTCAGGAATGCATAAACTACCATGATTAAGTTGATCCTCTCAACCACACATCACCTTGAAAGACTTTGATAGCCCAGATTAGTTAGTGGATAGTCAAGGTTCCAACTTCACTGCTGAAAAGTGCCCCGTTCCCATGCCAGCAGAAATCACACAAAACATCTTTCACCCTCCAATATAAAAAACTAGTGATAAACGTAATAGTCAGCACAAAATCTTAAAGCTGCACACAAAAAAAGTAAATGCATAAGGTAGCCATCACATGTGCCAATACTAACAGTCTCCCACCAGAATTGCTACTCACTGTTGATGCAAGCAGGCAATCATGAAAATTGGCATTTGCACATGCAATACTGCATAAGTACATACCTTACTGAACAAATTTTACTACCCACCATTTTTAGTGCAGTTCACAATACATAAGTGCCATGAGCACAATAGAAAAAACATTCCAAATGTATCCACAACTAATGGTCTCACAACAAGCACTCAGCAAGACAGAATCTTTGTAATCCTTGTCCAGAAATGGGAATATGACCTCAGCACAAGCAGCTACAAATAAATAATTTTTCAAAGTGTTCCGTGTTCAGCTCTCCGCTGTACTGAACAAGAACTTATCCAAAATTACTAACTGACACACGACATTAGCAACAAATATTTCTCTAATCTTAATTAAATTATTATTTTTTTTTTAATTTTATAAACACAACATCATACCTTTGAGACTCTAACTTTATTTTCGACTGTCCTAGGGCCAAGTTTTCAGTTCTCATTTCTTGCAACCTGATTGAGAAATTAAGTTAACATTATCTGCACAACCAGTTATGAGCGTGTACACAATTACAGCAACATTACTATAAGATACATCAACAGCTCAGTTCAGAAAAGAAAGCCGGCATGTACCCATTCCATTCATGGGGGTTTCCGTGGCAAAGTGGTCAAGCCGTCTGCCTCGTGCTCTGAAGGTCATGGGTTCGTTTCCCAGCTACATCGTTCAGTTTAAAAGTGCAGTTTTTAAGGAGATCCCTGGGGATCGTCACCAGAGTTACAGTGTTCATGCTCTGTGAGGTGCTCTCGGCAGGCAGCTAGCCATTCTGCGGAGAGAGACCGAGCCATATGGGAAAAATCCCAGTGTAATGAATTCTTCTTCTTCTTCTTTGCGTTTGGTTTCGTATGCTCAGATCAGACCATCAGGTGGGTTGCCTCTATGAACTTGCATGTCAGTAGCAGGTCCCTCATGGTTCCCCAGTGTTTGCTCTGCACACTTTGCTCTTGAGGCTAGGTGTCTTTTTGAAGTTGTAGTTAGAGTGGGCAGGTCTGCAGAATGTGCTCATGTGTTTGTGGTCCTGTTTGACAGGCACACTGTGGAGACTGCAATCTTTATTTTATGTATGTGGTAGTTAAGCCTGCAGTGTGTGTCCTGTTCGTAGACAGAAAATTGTTGTATGTTGCTTTCTGTTGAGTCTACTGATGGGATCTTGTGGATGTTTACTGTTAGTTTGTTCTCTCCACAATTCTTTGTGTTTTCCTTTGATAAGTGTTTTGATTTATGATAATGACAATAATTAGGCATGTTGTTTCTCCTTTGTTCCATTTTTTGCAAGTCTGTCTGCTTACTTATTTCCTGGTATGCTGCAGTGAGCCGGGATCCAGTGGAGAACGATTTGATTGTTTTCTGTGAGTCTGTTAAGCTGGCAGGTTAGTTGTCTCTCCAGGGTGTTTCGTGGATCCCAATTTTGTTGTTTTTAATTTTTCTTTCCACGATCACTTTGGCTGAATCAATAATTGCTTGCTGCACTGCTCGAAGTTTGTTGAGAGTCTTCCTGAGGCGCGTGACGTTTCTACTGTGGTCCCATCTTGCAGCATGATGACCGATCCAGATCCTCTGGTTTTTTCTGCTCCCTCCAATGATCCATCGCTGTATACATGTGTCCATTCAGGTTTTAAGGGTCTTTGCCTGCAGTACTAGTTGACATTCTTCAGCCTTTCTGTCTATGCCTGGAATTGTGACTGTATAGTTAGGCTGTAGGTCTATGCTGTATGCCTGGATCATTTCCCATGTTAAAGGATCTTTAGAAAGGATTTCACTGATTTTTTTTCTGTGTAGTACAATTCTGATAGATGGTGAAAGCTTTGTCTTTTCAGCCGGTTCTTAGTTAAGTTGTTTGCTATTCTGTGCATGGGGTTGTTGTTCATGTGTTTAAATTTTTCTCTTAGGGTAAGCCACATTTCTTTCCTTCGAAGGTTCAGCTCTGGAGGCCAGAAGTTGCCTTCAGCTCAAGGATTGATATGTTTCTCATACCTCCAGAGATGATTCTGAGACCAGTGTTCTGTATTTTATCCAGTTTGTGTAGGTTTGGTTTGGCTGCAGTGGAGTATGCTCCCATGCCATACACCAGTTTTGGTCGCCATGTATCCTGTGCATACTTGTTGTACAGCGTTGGCATCTGCACCACAGCCAATGAAGTTGATCCTCATGACTTTAAACTTTAACTTTTATACCTATTTAAACTTAAGTCTTGTTCCAAGACTTGAGTGTTGTATGCATAGTCATTTTACAGATCTTGCTTATATGGGTGCACACTGTTGGTTTCTCGCCTCTCACGCAGATGCACTCAGACTTGGGAGGAAACATCAGTGATTTCTATGCTGGCAAGGCTTCCAGCAGGGAACCTGTTTCTAGAATGACCACACAGAAATATGGGAGATCTCGACCAGTATCAGCCCTGGTCGTGGTGCCCCACCATATTTTGTTGAACACCTCTACCTGCCACATAAAACTAAACCATACACTGATGCAGTGTTCTGAGCAAACTTTGTCATAACACACTACTCACTTATCTTCCAGCTCCTTTAGTTGTCTTCGATAATCCTCCTCTTTCTTCTGTCTCTCTTCATTCAGTGCAGCAGCCTGCCTCTCCATGTCACGCTGGTGCCTGCTCTGTAATTCTGCCACCTGCTTTCGATGCCGTCCGGCAACCTCTTCCAAAGATGTTTCTATTCGAGAGTGGAATTCTGCAGCCTGGTCAGCAATCTGCTCATTCAGAGAGAGAGAGAGAGAGAGAGAGAAGATCAAAAGAATTATCATGTCTTTTATCTTCTTCTGCATTTTCCTTTAAAAGTGTAGCTGGCATACTGCGTTGTGGTTTGCAGCTAGGCAGCAACATATATGATATCAGCAAATCCATATTCAGCTGCCTCTCACAACATGCTTGTTAGGGTGCAGTGGGTCTATTCTTTTGTTCCCCCATAACTGGGCCTCAGAATCAACATGGGCAATGATCATGTTAACATGGTGAAGTAGTTAATCTCTTTGCTTCATGCTCTAAAGGGGTGGGTGCGTATAAAATCCTTAAAAGTTGTTGCTGGAGCAACGGATGTAGTGCTTTGTGCATCACCCCTGCAAGCAACCAGCCACTCTACTGAAGAGATACTATTGGCTGCCTCGAGATACAAAGATAAGTGATATTGTGTATTTGTATAGTATTGTCTAACTTATGTATGTGCTCAATGAGGCTCCATAGCGGTAACGTTCTCATTTTGTTTGTTTTTGTTATACTGTGAAGCTCACTGATATACTTTTCGTTCGGTTTTATACCTTACTGAAGAGAGAGCAATCTGGGATAAAAATCCAAGGATATGAGGTCAATCCTCTCACATTTAAACACCCTTTCAAATATGTATTATTTTGGTTTCTCCAATCTGACACTCTTCTCTTTTAATCGACCTCTCAGAACCTCAAGAGTTATGCTACCATGACTTAATTCTGTAGAAGTGATTCCTTCATTTTATCATATTTATTGTCGTGAAGGGTTCTAAAAGTTTATAGACAACAATAGGAATAAGAATTTCACTGAAACTTTTGTTTGTGTGGCGGCAAAGGCCAGCATAGTTTTTACAAATAAAATGGAACACACAAACAGCTTTCTTAAATATTAATACACATCTGTCTTGAAATATTTCATATTATTTCATCTTCTTGCCACTGGACTTAGATGAACTTGGCCGAGAGAGTGACGTCTACGAACTGCACAACTCTTCCTCACTTAAATCAAAACCACAGCAAAAGTCATCCTTTCACCCGTTTCATTCATCCCTTTAAAAAAAAAAAAAGCTATCTGCACACTCAAAAAACCTAACTGAGTCTCACCAATAGATCAAAAAGACTGGTCATAATCACCTAAGCTGGATGAACTACAACAACAACAATACAACAACAATTTCGAATTAACTCTTTGAGACCCAGGGGGTTTAACATCACAGGCTCAGAAGGTAATAAGGAGAGTCATAAAATTGGTGCATCATGAGTTCATTGGGCTTCTAGGTAGGAAACCTATGAACGTATAATGTGTTCCTTGGGACTCAAAGAGTTAATGTTATAATATTAAACGTGTGGCTTAAAATAACTATTTGGCATCAATCCTGCGACTTTATTATTCTATATTCAAGAGTATATGTATTATACAATATATATTAAACTGGATGTAAGGAAAAGTCATGTGCAATAGGCATTAATGTAAGATTTAAAACTAAATAAATTCATCGTTTTGTTTCTCATCTGCAATGTACCCTGTCACTGGGCCGCATTAGCGCAGTTGATAGGAGACTCGCTTTCAAATCCAACTGCAACTCGCTGCAGCCCACGGCCGGTGTTCAAAACCAGGCGGTTTCCAGGGTTCACCCAGCCTTTAGGAAATGGGTACCAGAGTTAACACTTTGGGGTAAATGGAGGAACATCGCTGCAGCTACGGAGTTACGTGCGAACGCCGACACAGGGGGACAATTTCTTATCAGCTGTCCGTACTGGTGGCAGAGCACTTATGGTTTATAACCGAGTGTAATGACGCTGGTTCACATCTCCTGACTATACCTTTACTTTTAATGTGCCCTATACTTTTCCTCAGCTTATTCACAACAGGCCTTCCTATCCTTTGGAACTCACTTTATGCCCATGATGTTCATCTCTATTTCCAATTCTATTCTGCCTTGATTTCTTCTTTCCCAGCTCATTTCATTATTATCAAGATTTCTCTAAAAGTGTCCTATCCTTTGCCAACATGTTTTGTTTACTCACCTCTTGATCCACTGAAATCTGTTTACACCTCTCGCAAACTCCCTATTAGTGATTCTGACAAACTATTTCATTCTTTCTATTCTACAGACACCAGTTAATATATTCAAACCAAATCCAGTTAATCATCTTTAGACTTATAGTTACACCAACTAACCATTACCTCAAAGAAGCTGTGTTACTTAGTTTAACTCTTTCTGTCCCTAGCTATGTGTGATTAAGAATTATTCATGTATTCCAGTCAACACTTTATGAATAGTTAACATCTTATGTTTGACCAGAGACTACAGAATTTTGACAACATAGTTGTTTCCTACAAGGGTTGTGTATTTGGCCTATGTAACAGTAGAACATCTACTAGTTTGCCTTCCCCGGACATCAGCTTTACCTTTCTGGGATTACACACTGACCAGCCTTGAGTGGGTACAATGTAAGTACCTGGGAAGCAGAAAAGCGCGCAGTCTGCATGAAAACTATTAGACAGTGAAAAAAAATCAGTCCAAGATATACTTATGGTGTTCTGTATCAAAAGAAGAAACTTCATTGACAGTAGTTCTTACAAATTACCTCTTTCTCCATTTGGGCATGCAAATCTGCCTCCAGTTTCCTCTGTGCATTCTCAAATTTGGCCTCCATGATGGCAACCTCAACCTTCTGACTCTCCTGCAGAACAAATATTTATTTATTTCCTTTCTCACATGCACAACCTACAAACAAGGTTGTTTACAATAATCAGGAATAATGACCTTGCCTCCCACACTGACTCAGCCTTGAGTGGGTACCAGGTGTAGTCCTGGGAAGAAAAGGCAGCTGGCATGATGCTGACCACATCACCCACCGAGTACCGACTGATCTATTTATAAAATATAGGTCTAGCCCTGTATGCCCATACGCCTTGAAAGTGTGGAAAAGGGTCCTTTACTTTTTACACTAATCGAGCTAAGAGAATGTAACAGCTTGCTAACACAAACGTTTTGCATCAATCATCAAATTAGTCTATAATTTTTCTGATCACATGTGACTCTTGAGTTGACAAAATGAGCCAAGGAAAGCAGCAAGTACTGGAACTGGCCAAACCTCTCTAATAAAGCAGCAGCTTACTACACATACAAATTCATTCCTTCAAACTTCTTTAGCAGCACCACTTTAAAATTCTAAACTTTATTTTTCTCTGCAAGACTGTACAACCATTGCTTAGCAAAAGGTTAATTTTAAGTTCATCATGTTTCACAGTAAAAAAATACAGAATATTAAATCACTGTCCAAACTATGATAATAACTGTTTCTTTCACTGTGAAGAAATACAATCGACACATTTTTGCAGGATTCAAACATGCAGCTGAACTGGCAAGCAAACAGCAAAGCCTTTCAGAAACTCAAATACTTCTGCCATATTAAACATCAAAATATTTTCAGAAAGCAGTAATGGAGAGTAACATTCACGGAAGAGATGGCAGTGGTCAGCCAGCATGACAACTGGAGAGAGGATTCAACAGCTGTAACACCCTGTGTGAAAAACTTAATGTGGATGTGCAACTGATAAGGCACTAAGTGATATTCTGGTGTGCCCAGGTGAGAGCAATGTACGGCAAAAAATACCTGCTATAAGATTATGGTATTTTTTCTATTTGACAATACTTTAATGAAAGCAGTTCACCTAGGCCACTCTCCGTTTCTTCTGTGGTGACTGTGAAACTTAAAATAATGTAAATGGTGCTTTCAATTTCTCAGTAGGAAGAAAAAGAATTCCTAAAATAATACTTCTTGTGTAGTAATGTATGCTTTTATTCACAATGTTTATAGGGGTTTCTTTCAGAGTTCAATCCCGGATGAGCGTCCAATTTCTAATTGTTACCTTCTCCCTGATCAGCTGTTCCACGTCAAGGATCACCTTCTTTAGTTCAGCTTTCATCTCTTCACTCTCAGCCTCTGCTTCTTCTCGTTTCTTCTTCTGCTCCTCAAATTTTATCTGTAACATATTACAACAGATGATACATTCAAAAATCAAGTTATCCTGTAAACTGGTATGGATTATCTTGCTTCTCTGCAAACTGCAATCTCAAAAAGCTTAACCCAATTTGCTTGCTGATAAGCTTTTAAGTTTTAGCAAACATTAGTTTACAACTAATGCGATCGGCTGACGTAAACCCCATGTGATCATTACTTAGGTCGCCCGCCCCATGTTCAAATTGTGACTTTTGCAATAAATGTAGCTTAAGCCTTTAGTCCACTTATTTATGTTTCCTTAAAGGAAACAACTTTGTCATGCTCAAAGTAAATTTTTCATGAATTTTATAACTTGTCGATTACTTAAGGCTGCAGTTTTTATGATGCCGCCTTAATGTCAGAGCTGTCACAGAATCGCGGTGGCAACATTTTTTTGGGGCCATCATTTTCTAAGCTGCGGGTGCTTTTTATGATTTTTTATAGGAAAGCGAAGGTGAAGACATTGCTAAACAGTTTGAAGACTGTGACTTTTATCATTCTTATACGCTTACCAAAGAATCAGCAATAGAGTTCCTGCCTAGGTACAAATCGTGGCAAAACTAGGATCGGCTCAGAATAATGAAACAAATGCTCTAACAGGGTCTCAGCGATATGTTAATTGCAGACCAGTTTCTACGACTATGCCGCAGTGCCGACAGGATCCCCCGCGCCGCTACGCGCGGCATGGATGGGGCTAAACTAGATGGCTGGGACTCACGAGCAGCAGCTACCGCATATCCTGCAACTTCCTCCAGTTTATTTGCTCATGAGTCCTAGGTTTAGATCCCCATCCGCACTGCGCGGAGTGGCGCAGGGGATACGCTCGGCAGTGAGTTTAATCAGAAGAACACTATAGCCAATCTACGTTGGAGCGCGTGGTCTCCCCGCCATCTCCCTATAATCGTCTGCAATGTTGCGTGTATGGAAATTGTCAAAGGTCACTAGTATCGTCTGCAAAAACGCTCAAAATTATCAACGGTCGCTATTATTGTCTGCAGTTTTGCGTGTCGTAACATTGTCAAGTAATCCTAGTTTTGCCGCGTTGTGTTCGTCGGAGGAAGTCTGCATTTTACACACAATTGAGGCCCTGTTAGGGTATTTGTTTGGCCACCATAATATGGGGTAGAAGTTCGGAGGAGAGCCCTATTATGTTATATGTGTATGTGTAAACTCTTACATGCATGTGCTTGAGGTGTGTATTGTTAGATATGTCTGTTAGTATAGATTATGTACATTATGGCTCTGTGGCTTAGAGTTTAGTGAAAATTGTTTCACAACGCAATCCTCAACATTTACCAGGCATCATTCCTGTGATGCACATTTTGAGAAAAGATATTTTTTGTGGCTATTTAAGTTTGAAAATTCAGTCATACTGTAACAGAAGTTCTTGGTGCAAAAACAAACAGCCACTGACTGAAATTGCAGAATTCTTTTTTCACAGTTAGGCAGAGCTCTCATCAAGGATTATTTCAGAGAGAAAAAATTTAGTTATTTTGGTGTCAGACCATTTTTCAGTTGCCTAATTTTTTCGTACCAACGTAGAGCCGTATGATGATGATGTACAACAAGATTACACAAAATTGTATCATTAAAATTTGTTTTGTGCGTAATATATCTTGTGTGGTGTCATATGGTGTGTGGTTTAGTGAGATACACTGGTGCACACTACATCACATTTTAAAACACTATCATGTAATAATATCACAGGAACAGTTGCTCAGTACAAGCAACAACCAGAAGATATCATCAGAGGGTAACAAACACCAGTAAGCAACAGTTAATATACCAGAAACATACTTTCATCCAAGTCCCATAAACCTGTGAGCATGCTACAGAACAATGAACAAAACTGAACATATCACAGTCATGCTGAAGATAACTGGTCACTTCATGATTATCTACACTTAAGTGAGCACACGGAGTCATACCTTTTCCATGTTTAATGTTCTCTGGCTAACTTCTTGCATGTCAGTTATTTTCCCCAAGAGCTCCTGCTCCTTCTTAAGCCAATTCTCTTGTTCCTGAAAGTAATTCACACCTTAATCCACACCAAAGTATAGCTTGTGGAAACATACAAGTAAATACAGTATGGCTACTATCTAAATATTGCATGCAAAAAGACAGTCTTGCTCAATGTGTCAAGCTAGCTTTTATCATGTGGTACTTATAATGAAATTCCATGACTGTATGAACTTGCAATTCTGTAGGATATCTGCTTAACCTAAGTGTACTTGAAACCACATTCTCCCACTTCTGCTACTATAGACTTATTATACTGATACGATAGATAATGAAAAATCATCTCTCTCTCTCTCTCACACACACACACACACACAGAACAGAAAGAGACAGAGGGAGGGAGAGACAGAGAGAGAGACAGACAACGGACAGATTAATGGATGGACACACTAGACAGAGGACGGACACACCAGACAGATGGACGGACGGATACATGTACACAAACAGAGACAGACAGAGACAAAGGGAGACAGACAGACAGGCAGGCAGGCAGAGCACATAATACCAGTATACAACCACAAAATACACACAAAATGTGAAGGTCTGCATCAGGGAAGTGTGAGAAATTCACCTGTATTAATCTTTCTTGAGCCTGGGTAGCTCTCTGGTCTGCCAGATCCCTAGATGCTTTCAGATCCTCCCACTCTGAAATCACTGTTGCATGTTTTTTCCTCTCAGCATTCAAAGTTGCCTCTACATGTTCTTTCTCTTTCTGAGCTTCAGCCAGCTGTTGATGAAAACAGTACAATGAAACTGACAATATTTATAACTTGTAGTCTATTGGACCACAATTCTATCAGATAATGTAAGAAATAAAGACAGTTGTGTGTGTGTGTAAATCTTGTGGGGGTACATGAAAACTGCATGACACCAGTAAGGAGAGGTGGACTGATTCATTAGCAGTTAATAATCCATCACAATGCCTAGTTTGAGAATGGAGGTAGAAGCAGTCACTGCTGTACACACATCTAAATTGTAAATGACTCACAGAGCGTCTTGAGAAAGGTGGAGACAGGCATGCTTTGTGCAGAGTGGCAGGCATCACATCAGAGGTCCAGATAGTTAGCAAACTTTTGATATTATCTCCAGGTCATGCTGATGTGTTGGGAAATGAGCAGGCAGATAGACTGGCCGGTTCTGCACCACTTGGTGATGAAGTGTTATATGACAAACTAGACCTTTTGAGGGCCCTTTGGGAGTGAGTGAACAGTGAGGAGGTACAAACAGATTATTATGGTCAGAGAAGAATGGCGCAGCAGGAAGTTACCAGGGGTCCGGCCAACACTCAACACTCAAGGGAAAGGCAAGACAGATGTAAAATCAGACAGTTACTGTTACAATCAGAATTGAAACTCTTCACTTGCAACTGAAGATTAGGACAAAGTGCGTATAGGACCGTCCTGAGTGCTATAAAGTCAATTCTTACTTGAACATTCATTCCCTTAACAATCCTTCCAGCAGATACCACCAACATAATGCAGTAAGTTCTCTGCAGATTGCCACTCTGATTACAGCCACCAGAAAAATGTGGGGTGTCCCCCCCCCCCCCCCCCCCCCCCCCCATTTACAACTATATTGCCCCAGGGTCAATACAAATGTTATGGAAAGACTGTGAATGAAAAGAGAATTATTGAATAAAATAAAAAAGAGACAACTGAAATACTTTGGACATAATGTGCTTTTAAAAACCATACGGAGAATAAGATTTCGGGCAAGACAGCAAGAGGTAGATAATGATACAAGTGGGAGGACAACATAGAGAGATGGATGAACAGCAATATGAGAGAGTGCACTACCAAGACAAGAGATGGAGCATGTTGGAGCCAAAATTCACTGTGGAGATGGCACCTGATTGATGGTGACTACCCCAGGAAAATTCCAGTCATGGTAAATAGCAGATATAATGATCTTTGCATTCCCCGTTAGAATCCATGAGTTGCTATGCCTTGCATACAAACATCTCTGAGTTTCAGACAGCTACAGATTGAGAGATTATCATTCCAGTCCATATTCTAGATACTGTCATGCTCTGTGCACAAATGTTATTGTAAAGTTTCAGAGAATTGTAGACTGAACAATCATTTCAGTCAATATTTTAGACAAATTCATACTTTAAACTCAACCGTTAAACTAGCAAACTTTTACATCAGGAGGCAAGTTTTTCACCAGATCAGTAAAGCAAAGATGTTTTTAATCAAAGAAATCATTTTTTAACATCCTAACCCTTCATGGCAACAACTACAATAACACATCAACACAAATGTCCTTAAGAGGAGCACTTAAAGGGAACTTAAAAAGGAAAATAACCGTCTTGGATGTATTATTGTTATCAGTCTCCAGTTAGCACAATTATCTTTAACATAAACTAGATTTTCAGTCCCTGAATTTGTGTTAATGAGGTTTTACAGTAGTTCAATCAACTTTATGCTTTAATAATTTAAACCCTCCCACTAATTAACAAGGAGAAAATATTGCAGTGACAGCGTTTTCATTGTTGTTGTTTTTTTTTAGTCCATACTTCCAAAACTATTTCCAAATTGTTGGTTAATTATATATATGAAACTAAATCCTTGATATTAACTATGTCTTTCTAAGGTAATGAAAACTGTTTTTATAAACAAACATAAAATGAAAGTGAATCCATCTTTAACCTCTGAGATACAGGGAACCTAACACAAATGAAAGTCAATAAACCTTTGAAACAAACCAATACACCAATGTCAATTAATGTCACTTAAGTATGTAACATTCAGATCCCTAAAGTTATTAGAGGGACCAGTAGAGGGGAAGAGGAGGAAAGCCAGACCAGGAAAGACGTGGATACAGAGCTTGACTGAATGGACAAGCCTTGGGCAAGAAGTCCAATGCAACTGACCATCAAAGGTGGAGGGGCAGACAATCAACACCAACTGGTGACCCAATGACATGCACTGCTACAGGACAATGATGATGATGATGATGATAAAAGATGTTAAACAGTAAAGCTAATTAAAAATTTCATAAAAGGATATTCATATTAGACTTCCATTACAGAAATGTACCTCAGTCTTCAAATTGTTTATCATTTCAGTAGCTTTCTCCTTCTCTTTTTTCAGTTCTTCAGCAGTCAATGAGAGTTGTTGCTCCACCTTGTTCATCATCTATTTTTGACATAACAGATTACCATTAATATGTACACATGGTAAAGTTGAAGTCATCTGGGGGAAAAATGCTAGGACTCTTCCACACCTTGCGGTATTTTGAGTTATCGTGCTAACCCTAAACTGTTGTAGACTAACTGGTATTGAATGGGTGACATGGTGAAAATATATCAGCTGCTTTGATTTTTCAACACATTTTCTAGTACCCACTTTAGATTGTGCATTCTAAACTCTTTCAGTCCCTGGAAGTTTAGCATCAGAGGCCCAAGGGATAATAAAGAGACATAAAATCAGCGGGCTTCTAGGTAGGAACCTATGAAAGTATGATGCGTTCCTTGAGATTGAAAGATTTAAGGTGGGTACAATAATTTTAACGGTGACGTCACGGGAAACATTCAAATAATTTCCAGGGGGTTAAGGTTGGGGGGATTTTTTCCTTCTAGAGTGCATCACAAAAGCTGGTTGCAGCAGTTTTAATCTCTGTTTGCCGTTCATACCAGCCATGAATTTTCTACAATTAGTAGCATCTGTACAAGACAAGGAGACCAGCATTGCCTTCCTGCCACAGCAGGAACGAGACTTTGCAGAAACAACCACCAGATAGATGGTATATTATCGCTGTCGGAAAGACACACGACCGTTTGCTGGTGTCGAAAGTGCACCTGTCATCTGGACATACCCGTATGGCTGATTGCGGACCTCTTTCCGGCGACTATACTGCCACCGCCGAGTGTAACCCCAGCGCCGCTACCAGCGGCGCGGAGCGGGGCTAAACTAGATGGCTGGGACTCACAAGCAGCAGCAACCGCATCTCCTTCAGTTTTCTCCTTTTTATTTGCTCGTGAGTCCCAACCATCTAGTTTAGCTCCCTCTGTGCCGCGCGTAGCGGCGCTGGGGATACTCTCAGCGGTGGCAGTATAGTAGCCGGAAAGAGGTCCAAAATTTACATGTGACTGAGGCCCTTGTAGGGTATATTTTCGGCCTCGATAATTTGGGACCGTTATTTGGAGGATAGCAAAAAAAAAAAATTTACATTTAATTTTTTTTTTTAAGAAATACAAATTTTTAAAGAAAAAGAAAAATGGCACTTTGGGATTGAACGCACACCTTTCATTTATAAGGTGGCTATATCAACTACACTACAAATTCACATGACAAAATAATATAAAAACATGACCAGTATTGTACACCGGGCAATTGCTCATCAACAAGCAGCCGTCTGCGCACCAACAGACAGATATATGCCACACCAAAAAACACTAGAAGATAAACGGCAGCAACAGCACACTTGCATTCCTTGAAATAGTGGACTGTCAAGTCAGCTGTTGAATTTCCACGGATTCCCCGTGTTTGGGGTACGTAAAAAATATTGCACGGTTAAGGTGTAAGAGATGACGGACATAACTGAAACAGGAAGTCAAAACCAGGGTCTTAGTGTGAACAGCAGAAAAACAGAAGTAATGGTAACCGCAAAAAATATTGGACCCTTCAAACTGCAGCATCAAAGTTAGTGGGACTATCCTAATGCAAGTTGATATGTTTAAGCACTTGGGTACCCTGATAATGGAAGATGGAAGCTGTATTAAAGAAGTTAAATGTAGAATAGCTCAAATGAAGGCAGCATTTACCAAAAGAAGAATATTCTATGCAATCTTTCTTTGTCAACTGAGACAAGAAAGAGAATTCTCAAGAGCTATATAAATCTTATATTGATATATGGAAGTGAATCATGGACAGTTTGATGATTAGTGAAAGATTATTTGCAAGTGGCAGAGATGTGGTTTCACAGATAAATTATGAGAATACCCTGGACAAATAAAAAGAGTAATGAAGATGTTATGAAAAAAATTGACTTACAAAGACAAACACTGCCAACATCAGAAGGAGACAATCTACATTCTTTGGTCATGTGATGAGTAGGAGAAAATTTAGTACACTGTGATGGTGGAGAAGTTGAAGGAGAAAAAGAAACAGAGGTAGACTGAGAAAGAAGATGCTGGACAGTTTGACATCATGGTATGGATGATCATCTGCGTTAGAACCGATTAAAGGTGCAGAAGGTTATGGATAGACATGACTATAACCGCCACATGGCACGGACTATAAGAATAAAACAAAAAAAGAACAAAAAATTAAATAACAAGTAAAAGAAATAAAAAAATAAAAAAAATAAGAAGATTCTTAAGGTTTAAGGTAACAATGCATGAAAGGACATTTACTCATCCAACCTTCTTATAAAAGAACGTGTGTGTGTGTGTGTGTGTGTGTGTGTGTGAGTGAATGAGTGAGAGAGAAGGAGAGAGAGAGAGATCCTTCCAAACTCTAACAAAGAATGAGCATATGTCAAGGACATTATTAGCTAAGTGTAGATAAAGCATAAACATCCCACCTTACACCACAGAGACACTCCGGGACACTAAACCAACCATTATTCAAAAGCATGGCATCCTAAACTTACCGTCTGCTGGCTCTGCAAGGATTCCTCCATGCGTTGCTTCTCCTGGCTCAAAGCTTTCAGCAACTCATCTTTCTCTGTTTCTCTTTTCTTCCAGCCTTCTACTACCTTAGCCAGTTGCTGAAGAGCATCATAAAACACTGTATTCATGTATATCCTTTTTTTGTTTGTTTTAAAAAAAAACATTTATGCGAACTTTATTTCATGGTAAATAGAAAAGAGTTATCTGAAAAAATAAATTCCTAGGGTGTTGTAGCATATTATGGAAGGAAAAAGCTATGGATTAGCTGAGACTGGAGTGGAAGAAAGGGAGGGGGGAGCTCAAAGCATTGCTGGAAATATTACATAAAAGTAGAAAATGATGGTTAAAAGAAACAAAATGGTAGAAATGGGAAGGTTTACATACAAAAAAGAGAAGATAACATAAGTCAACTCTATTATTATATTAGTTTTTTAAACTGTTACTATGCACATTTCAAAGTGCATAACTCTTGTCACACGATCTATGCTGCGCCATACAGTCATAACTTCTTTAATGGCTGCAAAATGTGTTTTTTCAAAAGCTGTTATCTAGCATGTCATTCTAACATGCAACTTTATATCATCAATTACATCATGCAACTTTAGTGTAGCAGTAAAAATGTACCATAATATTACATCAATATTTATAATGTCATGTAACTCAACCTCGTCAGCTGCAATCTTGAGTGCAACTTTACATTGATTAGAATCTAACATACAAGTCTACTTCGCTATTTAAAATCTAGCACAAAACTCTACAGCATCAATTCAAATCGACCCTGAAACTCTCATCTCGTCAGTTAATACGTTCTTGTAACTACTACTGTGTCCGTGAATACTAGTTTATTAACTGAACCATTTAACCTAATATGTAAATTCCACATTATTAGTTGATCAAGTAACTACCTTCTAAGTTAAGTAATTAAAACTTTTCAGTTAAATTCAACCTTATTAGTTTCTACCTACCACTGACCAGGTAACTTTTCCTATCAGTAAAAAAGTTTATAACTGTTGTGTAAATTCTACATTATTAATTACAGTCAACAATGTAACTCCACCTCCAGTTGAGTTGATTCAAGAACCGACATCACAGCCCTTGGGGCATTCCCATAAGCACTGTATCCCCATCTTTAGCAGCCAGCATAGCGTTCCAATACCAACTGTATCAGCAGAAATCTAATTATATATTTGTCTTGCTTTTCCTCTGGGCATCAAGTATCAGCCAGATTCCCTTGTCACTCCTCACTGCATCACTCTCCCCAGTCTGGGTCCATTTGCTCCGGGGGAATTGAACATGTGCTCCCATAAGGCCTTAACCACGTCCGCCTTATCGTGCATCAATATTCCACCAAGTTGTACAGAGCCTGTAAATTTGTCTGCCTGTTTATTTCCCAACATATCAGCATGCCCAGGAGAAGAAAGGCAGATAATGCTCCTCACCTGTGACCTCTGAAGCATAGCTTGTCACTCTGCAAGAAGCATGCCTGTACTAATCTTCCTCAGCATGCTTTCTGAGTCAGTTACTTTACATTGTTAGTTAAACAGTAGAAATCTGCTATGCAAGTTCTACATTATCAAGCTATATTTGACCGTGTAACTCTACACAGTCATTTTAACTTTTGAATCTATCATGTAAATTCTACATTATCAGTTTATACCTATCAGTTTATTATGACACTCTAAACGATCAGTTAACATTTAAATCTCCCATCAAGTAAACTCTAAATTATTAGTCACAGTCAACAATGAAACTTGACTGTCAGTTAGCCCACCATGTAACCATAGCTTAACAAATATAATCTATTATGTAACTTACAGCTTCTCAGATAAATTCTGTCATAAGCAACTGTATAGTATAATTTCATAAAACTCTACTGATTTATTGACAAAGTTCAAATCTATTTAGTAATTCTGCTGTCGCAACTGAAATGATAAATCAAGATCAACTTAAACAATGCATTAGAAAGAGTATTATCTTCCCCCTCAAACACTTTGATGAGGTAAGGGGAGAAAAAAGAAGCTATTAAAATGTGTCATGTAACTACATTCCTAGTTTCAATCTACCATGTAATTCTACTATGCTGTGTAGTACCTACCTTGTCCAGTTGTTCTATCATCAGATCTTTACGTTTGTCTGTAGAGACAGCTACTGCCAGTTGCTGCTGAAGTTCCAATAACTGGAAATAAAAGCAAAAATTCTAATGGCACTATCTCTGATCCAGTTTTAACTCACTCACCACACGCGTGTTACTGGGACCATAACCTTTTCAAATTAGAAACTGGGGGTGGGGAGGGGAGGGACAGAACTTGGGAACCGCAACCCCCCCCCCCCCCCTTTTCAAGTGTATTAATTCTTTTATAACAGTTGTTTTTTTAACTCTAAAGGAAATACATGATGAGGAGTAATCAATAAAAAGCTAACAGAGCTGAGAATTAAATGAATTTCCTTAGTCTGAAAAAAAAAATTATAGAGACCCCCGCCCCCCGCTAAGTGATGAGGGAAGGTTGAACAGTAAATTCTGCCATAATGACTAAAACATATATTTTTTTAACAACAACAACCCCCCCCCCCCCCCCCTTTCAGGGCATTAACACTAACAATACTATATACACACAGGCAAACCTTTATGCAACATTAAAGCCCACATATTTTAAAAATATAACATGCTTGCGCTTAAACAATACACACACACAGAGATCCTTATTAGCACAGGACTGAAAGTGACATTGAGTTTGTGTCATCACTTGTGCTTAAACAATACACACACACAGAGATCCTTATTAGCACAGGACTGCAAGTGACATTGAGTTTGTGTGATCGTTATAGGTGCCCTGATTAAAACTTTCTTAGAGCCTTGTACCCCCGGCACTGATACATTTTTAGTCTTACAGTATCAAACCTTCAGGTCCTGTTGGTCTGCCATCCAGACTGAGATCTTTGAATCTCAGGGAGTCAAACTGGAGGCGATAAACAGCATGCACAGTGCACACATACAATACTATTTATTTTATGGACTACTCACATAAGCAATATAAAAATACTAACAGGTTTTGAACAATGGATCAACATTGTGGGTTTCTTGGTTTTTTTTTTGTTGTTTGTTACTGCTTCATAGGTGTCATATGGCGTTTATAGTCATGTCTATCCATAACCTTCTGTCTCGAGTACTTTCAATCAATTCTAACACAGATGATCCTCCATGTCATGATGTAAAACTGTCCAGCATCTTTTCTCTCAGTCTCCCTTTGCCTCTCCTGCCCTCCAACTTTCCTACTGTCATGATGTACAACAATAATAATACCAACAATAATACATGCAATAATACAAACAACAATTACAAACAAAAAATATGACCCCGCCATCATCATCATTATCATCAACCGGTCCTTTGTAGAAAGTCACTCTCGTTTACAAGACTCTCTAACCAATTTTCCAGCCATATGTCCAGGCTACGTGCAAGGACGAAGGTGCACACGAGATGCCTCAGGGATTTTCTGTTTGCGGATGATGCAGCCATTGTGGCACATTCAGAGGATGATCTGCAGATCCTGATCAATCGCTTTGCAAATGCTTGCAAAGAATTTGGGCTCACCATCAGTCTGAACAAAACACAAGTGATGGGATTGAATGTTGGAAATCCACCAAACATTAGTGTGTATGACCATCAGCTGCTGGCTGTAAATGAGTTTGAGTACCTAGGCTCATGTATCTCAAGCAATCATTCTCTGGATGCAGAACTAAACAAACGTATAGGAAAGGCCTCTGCTATGTTTACAAATCTCACAAAGAGAGTCTGGTCAAACAAAAAGCTAACTGATAATACAAAAATGAAGGTTTATGAGTCTTGTGTCCTGAGCTCATTACTGTACGGCTGAAAAAAATGGACTCTCTATGCTCCACAGGAAAAAAGACTGAATACCTTCCATATGCGCTGTCTGAGACGCATCCTTGGTATATTATGGCGAGACCTTGTCTCCAATGAATGTGTGCTGACAAGAGCAAAAATACCATCAATGTATTGTATACTGAAGCAAAGACGTCTGCGCTGGCTGGGACATGTCTCCCGCATGGAGGATGGTCGTATTCCAAAAGATCTCCTATATGGTGAATTGGTAACTGGGAATAGACCTACAGGAAGGCCAAAGCTGCGCTATAAAGATGTATGCAAACGTGACCTAATAGATACCAACATAGGCACAGAGACATGGGAAAAATCAGCTGCAGATCGACTACTATGGAGACAGAAAGTGAAAGATGGACTGTCACATTTTGAAAGAAACCGAAAACAACGAGCTGTGGAGAGGAGGCACCGGAGAGTAAAACTGCCTCACAACGAGGGAGTATCTGCTTTTGTGTGTATCCTGTGTGGCAAAGACTGCCATTCCCGAATCGGACTTTACAGTCACAGCAGATGCTGTTCCCAAAGCCAGCGGCACATCTCCATAGTCCCCCGGGACTGACGGATGCCATTACTTGCATCTTCAATGTCCTGTATCCAGATTCAAAGAGGTCTGCCTCTGACTCATTTTTTAGAAACTGTACCCGTTATCAATATTCTCTCCAGGCCCACCATGATGTTTAATTTGGCCTAAATATCTCAACTTTCTTTATCCAGACATCATCATCCTCATGTAGCAGGCTCTTTGCAGAACATCGCTCCCATCACTGTCTGCCTGAAACTTGGTCTCTCGCCAGCTCTCCCATCTCATTTACTTTTATATTTAAGGAGTCACTTATATCCTGTGCCCATCTTTGTGTTGGTCAGCCGCTGCCCCTCCTTCCTGGCACCCTGCCTTCTGCTATTATTTTTTCCAATCCATTGTGGTGCTTGATATGACCAAAATTTTCATCTTCCGTGACAAGATGCCATTTATCAGTATTTCTCCGCGTCTTTGTCCATCTTTCTATAGCATTTCAGCTCAAAAGCCTATATTTTCTTTCTTAAAGACTGGGAGATAGTCCAGACATACAAAGTCAAATAAATAATCAATCATATTTCCCAAGATAACACAAGGAAAATCTACCTTTGTATTCTGTTTCTGAATATGCTCTTCACAATGCTTTCTCCTGTATCTTTCTTTCTCCAAAGTGTCTCGTAAATACTGGTTCTCTCCATGGCTAACTGAATCACTCCTATTACTTAATACTGGCATGTCAGAAAAAATCTTGGATGAAAATGCTGGAAAATTTTCCAAGATGTCTGACATATCATCAGGATGGCTTTTTCTGAAATAGAATGAATTAGGATATATTTATTTTAAAATTTTAGGAATAATTTTAATTCTATTTTAGAAGAGTGAAAAAGAATGAATTAAGATATATTTTTTTTTAAATTATAGGAATAATTTCTAATTTTGTTTGACAAGAAATGAAATAGAATGAATTAAGATATATTTATTTTAAAATTACAGGAATAATTCTAATTTTGTTTTATAAGAATGAAACTAAATTTCTTTTTAAACTAGTTCAAGTTTAAATTGACTCTGGCATTTCAAAAGGAATTAGAGATGTCACCTTTAACTGATACTGAAATTATAGAAGGAATTCTAATTAAGTACTGTAATAATTAGACTAAACTTATACAAATAATTCTAGACTAATTGCAGATGTATTCTGAAATAGTAGACATAACTGTAAAAGTAAAGGACCCTTTTCACGCCTTCAGGCCTATTATGCATATGGAGCTAGACTTATATTTTACAGACCGACCAGCACTTGGTGGGGGACATGGTTAACATCATGCCGGCCACCTTTACTTCCCAAGACTTGCACCCGGTACCCACTTAAGGCTGGAATGACCTTACAATCAAGGTCATTTTTGACAAAAGTTCGGCTCTGTCTGGACCCAGTCCCATGACCTTCCTTCTGCTACACCACGTCGGCTCCTCAATTTGCAACTATTTCCAACTTAACCATTCAAAACTCAAGTGTCTTTCACTCTTGTTCAGTATCAAACAAGTCATCCAACAATGTAACGTCTTGGCCATTCCAAAGATACCATTCCATGGTGCTGGTGCCTTGTCGTGGCAGGATGGCTTGAGTTCCCTTATGACTCTCAGAGCTATGCCGGCAGGGGACTTGTTCCTTTGGCAGGTTTAACCATGTTGAACTGATCTTGAAAAGAAGAGTCAGACAAAAATAGGACCCTGGTCCTCCAGGTTGGGGGTTGGACAAAGGGTTGACAACCCATTACCCTTAAAAAAAAAAATACTTTGTTATGGAAACAGGAACAAGTGAAATCACTGAACTGGTGGAAAGAAGTGAAGCTTGCCAGATATCTGGTGGAATGACGGCTTAGGATCAAAGCCGAAAGAACGGGAGGGTTATATGAAGGAATGTAAACTGACATGGGATACCATGGGCAGAAAAGCAGCATAGAGATCACTTGTGAATGCCTTATGTGTCAACAGTGAATATGAAGAGGATATAGATTCCAAAGATAATATCATGCTCTTGCTGCACCCATCACAGACAATTCTCAAATTAACCCTTTTATCTGAATTTCTAGCTCAACTACTTCTGCCCTACCCATTGTGTTTGCTACAATCAAGCTCAACTCCTATCATTAAATAAAGTTAAAGTAATAACTACTTGGTACTAAAAGAGTTGAGTGATCATAAGACACACACATTAAACAAACAACATTTTCTTGAATACACAAGAATCGGCCAATTATATTATTTGGAAATATACAAATGATGCAGTCCTTCATATTGTATAGCCATGTGGTTTCTTTTTTAAATGGTTAAATTAAATCATCTGGGGTGTTTTCTTTTTCTGCTCATTGGGGTGAGGGGGAGGGGCTTATTCTCCACTACTCCTGACCCTTCCACACGTATATAGTACTTTCCAGTGTCTCTGACATTTCTGTGGTCCATGTTCTGTGTGGTTGACCTCTGGATCTAATATCACTGTTTTTGTATGACATTGCTTTCTGTGGTGCTTGTCTGTTACCAATCTTGTTATGTGGCCAAACCATTTGATTTTTGTCTACCAATAAAGTTCATTATTTGTTCTGTGCCGACTATTATCCTGATGTCATCATTCCTAATTCAAACTTTCCTTAACACCTACAACCATGACTGTAAAGAGATTAGTGCAGTGTTACCAACAAAGAGGTTTATAATTCTGTATCTCCTTCTTTATTTTTCCTCAACAAGGCAACTGGCACATTGAGTTGTAGTTAACAGCTAAGATGCAAAATCTGCACCTTTCAGCCAAACACATTAGCTCTTTAGGGCGGAAGGTGCGCATCTAGCCCCTACGCTACTGTGGCTCCTCTGTCTTTCTTTAGTAAGTCTTTCCATCATGTTGCCCGTCATTTCCTTAAAACTTGTTAACCTGTGATGATTATCTCAGAACAAAATAAAACTGAGTTAAAACAGCATCTAAGCTAATTATAACAAATATACCTGACAAGCAGGACTCAGCTCCCAAATGTAACATAGTGTGAAGATGGCTCCTTACTTCCTCTATACCTTGAATATCGTTGTCCAGGTGTGGACGCTGAGAATTCAACTTCAGAAAAAATTTTTAAAAATCACATAACAGAATATAAACTTTCAAGGTAGTCTGTAGACAACTGCCTACAACCCCAACAACAAATATAAACCACATTAAAGATGGGAGGGAACATAGGGAAAGTCGAGGTAACACAGGGAATTTAGCATATTTGCCTATAGGTCCAGCAGCCATACGTTTGAATACCCATCATCCAGCCTAAAATCAGTACCAGGAAATGTCCTGGGAAGGTAAAGCAGTCAGCATGATACAGATCACATAACACCCTAAGTGCTGAGTGGTTGACAAAATATTGGTATAGCAACATATACCAAAGCCAAAAGGGTGAAAAGGCTCATTTACTTATAGCAGAATACATCTGATCAAACAACACAGACTCATACAAAGAGTAATAGACACATACAATCAGGTATACATTCTTAACCCGGTCACCCCAAGAGCAAAACTTCTGGCTGGGGACAATTCTCGGTATATGTCATTTTACCTACTTTTCTAAAATTACCTGTTTATAAGACACAAAGTTAAGACTAGCTGGCTGTGTTCACATCTGCGCAAACATTTATGAGGTCAGGGTGTGAATGCTTAAACTAATAATAGCAGTGGTTGGGGGGAGGGTGGTCATAACAGTTTTTATTTAAAGCCAATCTGATGTTAAAAAAAAAAGATTTATGTAAGCCTCAGTGATAGAGGTCACAGGGTCATGGCACAAGTCACCCAATACATACATTTTTTAGGGAGTGCATTCAATTTAATGCTTCTCTCTGTTCATGTTTACTCCTTTTATTTATCTTTATATATTTCAGAAAGGGGTGAGGGAGAGGGAGGGGGGGGGGGTTGTAGATAAATAAATACTACAAGAAATGTATTGGTGACCCGTATGAAATTGTTGTTTTTTAAGTTACCATGGTGAAAGGGTTAAGGCAAGCGCATTGTGTAGTGTTTTATCGCACATGGGTTAGTCTATCTACACAGAAGTGGGTGGCTGTCCATGAAGGCAATGAACAAGGTACGAACTTCACAGCTCCAGCAGTAACCTCCAGGGGTCTCCAAAACACAGGCGCTCATGCAAACCAAAAGACAGAGACTGCAATTGAACCCACAATTTTCAGAGCATGAAGCAAAGGGCTTCATAACTTTGTCACAGAGACTCACATGTCAACCATATAATTCAGACATTTAATCAAATTCTAGTGTTGTACTGTTTGAGTTGGCACCATTAACTGCTGCCTTATGCATTTAATGTGCATGTATGCTGTTGGATTTGATAAGACTGCACTCCATGTCAATTTTTTGTTTCACAAGAACAGTGATGGATATTCGTGTTGTTTTCATTGGCACAGGAATGGAGCAACTATGGGGTGATCCGTCTGCTATGAAGCTGGAACCGTGAATACCCGATTCATTGAAATGCAAAGAAAGATATCATATAGGAACATCAAATATGTTACCTACCATGACAAAACATCCCAGAAGGTAACCACAAGAGTGAAGGACACATGCCTACACTTACTATTTACTGATGCAGAATCAGTTCACAAATAGTAACAGACTATAGATAATATGTTCATAATCTTCTGAAAATACTTTAGCTTCATCTACTGGTAATTCTTGTGCTTCTGAAAAGTTTATTTTCTCCGCAACTCAACAGCTGTCAAAAGAACATTTAAAACTTGTAATTCTTGTGCTTTAGAAAATACCAAGTTTCTCCTGTCTGGAACCCAGCGTGTTAACCGAGTTTCATTAAAACCCTGAGTCAAATGTGGTTCTCCAGACCTGCAGTTTTGTAAGTCATGAACAGGATCAGCAATATTTGGTGGATTCTGAACATGTGCTCCCAAAGATTGCTGCTTGATGAATGTTTGGGGTTTGTGGGACTCCAATTGAGGACTAACAGCTGGATGTGTTCTGTCAGATGAATTGGGAAGATGAGGCAGCAGCTGATTATTCTGTTGAGGGTTCGCAGCACTAGTATGTGTACTGTGAGCAAGTGTGTGACCACTATCTCCCACACAACCAGTTAATCTCTGAGCCATGGTCATAGGATGATTTGGTTCAGATCTAGCAACAAATGGAGCAGCTCCTCGAGTTGTTATCTGAGTGTTTGTGGACATGTAAGATTCCTTGCCGACTCCACCAACCCTGCTATTAGTGCTACTGCCATTTGAAGCAAGTGATGTGTGAGAGTTAGAGCGAGATGCTATAGAGAACCCAGACATTGGACCTGGTGGTATCCTGGACTGTACAGTACTCCCAGATGACAATCCACTGTTGTTTCCTTTAACCTGCTCTATTCCAGTATTTCGTCTAACAACTGCCGTGTTGCCTCTTCCATTGGCATCACTATGACTTCCTGATTTCATAGGTGGTACATTTTTCCTGATTGCAGCTGCACCCTGGCGGGGGTTTACAGTTAGTGGTTTTCTGTTTTCACCAGATGAAGCTGAACCTTGCACAGCAGGTCTACGAGTGTGAATTTTACTGACACCTTGTCTTCTTGCAGGTGGATTAGAATCCACAGCAGGCTTCTGATCTGAGGCAAAGAAGCTACCAGCTCCTGCTTGTCTTTCATCCATGTGTACATCTACTCCATCCCCTTCTACTTGACTGGAAGCATCAGAATCATTTTTAGGGAAACCTTGACTCAATACATGGTTTCTGGCAAGTGAATCAGAGGGTATATGGTGTACTGACCTGTTGTTGAACAAACAGAACTGGCTGCTATTTTGTGCCAGAATTCGGCTGTTGATTCTGTCATTTTGTGCCTGAGTTCCATTTCCAAAAGAGGTTGGTGCAGTCGTAATACTGCTGGCTGATACTGGTTGTGCATACATTTGAGTTGTATGTGACAAACCTTCTTCACTAAGTTCAAGAGTCAGTGCATCTGTGTTATCATTTTCTACATCTCGAACATCTCCATAGCCACCCAAGACACCTTCTCCAATGATTCCATCACCTCTTCTCTTAGGGGCAAACAAGCCTGAGATGTCCATCTGAAAATTTCGAGATGGGCTCTGATTTCTTGAGAAATTCTGCTCACCACCATGCCCACCATTGAGATGCTGCTGTGAATGGGGGAGGTAGTTCCCGTGGTCAGAACTGTCATCCTGAGCCCAAAGTGAATCACAGTCAGGAACTTGGGAGTTTGCTACAACCAGTGACATGCTGCCAGCACTGAAATACTCAGAGCTATTGTTTTCCATAATGCGGTCATCAGTTTCCTCATACAAACTAGACCCATCCTCTCTTTCTAAACTATCATATAAATTATGGGCTTCGTCATCCATTCTGCTGCTATTTCCTGAATTCAAATTAACTGGAGACATTAGAGGCAGATGAACCATCTGAGGCTGTAGAAAATTAAACCCAAAAGTTCCACTGCTGTCGTCCAGCAGTGATGAGTCATGGCCCTCAATAATCCGTACGTTCTGAACCTGGTCTTGGGCTATGGGCATGCCACCATACGCCCCATGTTCAGTCATGTCTGAACCATTGACAACTCGTCTATGAGGTAGGTATTCTCGGTTTCCTACAGTACTGTTATCTACAGTGTCAGTCACAACTTCTAAACTATCTTCATTGTCATTATCATCATAATCTTCATAGTCGCAATGGTTATCAAAATGCAGTCTCTGCACTGGGTTAAATACTACATCATTGTCATTAGAAGCTTCCAGCGATGTGGAGCTACTAACATTTCCATCTTGTATATGTATAGCCTGCCTAATAACAGTATCTTGAGAATGGGGTTCAAAATATGCGCCCCCATCATCATCTAGACTCAGTGAGCTGCGCTGACCATCTGGCTGTTCGGAATCATCATCTAAAACACTCACGTGCTCCAAATTATCGCCCATGGCTAATGTTGCAGAATCCATGTAACCTGAGGAATCTTCAGCTCCTGTCTCTTCCTCTTCTTTACTCCCTTCATCACAACCAGCTGCTCCTGCGGCACTGTTGACATGACCATTCATTCTGACCTCAGATGCAATCCACTTCCTCAGAAATTTGTTTCTGATAAACTGAACTTCATCAAGTAAATGCCATCACAATGAACAGTGAACTAGATAGAAGAACAAAACAAGAAAAGGATTGTTTTAGCTAGTTCAAATTAACTCTAATTCAAAAAATTGTTTTTGCAATGAAACTGTAATGAAAGTAATAAGTTAAACTGATGTAAATACAGTAAAGCCCATTTGAATGATAATAAGCCATCTCAGGAAAATAATGTAACCTGAAATATGCGGACAAATTACTGCCGCTTAAAAAGAGCCAGGAAAGACCTTTTCACACTAGTGATGCATTGTGTTTATGGTGCTAGATTCATATTTTATAAATCAATTGGCACTTAATGGGTGATATGTTCAATGTCTTGCCTGTCACCTTTTCTTTTCACTGTAACAGAATCACCATTACCTTATGCTTGCACTACAGACAGGGCAGCATTTCATGTCATAAGACATACAGAGCATACTGTGTTAGCTCTACATTTACTGATCAATCAACATTCAAGAGCTGGTGGGAACAATAGGATATGAGCTGCTACTACTCGCAGAACTATTCTTGGAGCACATTTAGGCTGAGTTAACTGGGGAGTGTAGATACAATTTCTTCTTCTTAGCGTTCACCAGCTTTAACGCCTTTGGAAAGTTATGGCTGTTCGTCAAGTCTTGGAATTTGGTTGGTCTTTATGCAGAAATTTAGTTGTTTGTACACATCCATTTTACAGACCTGGCTTATTTGTATGCAGACTGTTGGCTCCTTGCCTCTCAAGCAGATGGAATATGACTTTTGAGGAAACACACCGATTTAGTCAACTCCGATGACATGCTTGTTGGAGAGAGTGGGATGGGGGCAGTGAGTCTATTCTTAGATCTTCAAAACTTAGCCTGGGAACCTACATGGGAATAGTTACATTTTAAAACCTGTCTCAAAAGGGACACAAACCTATGACCAATGGGTCGGCACTCAAGCATGCTAGTGACTGCACCACCATACCACCCTTGGTCTGACAGCACCCATACTAATACTAAAAGACTGATTGGCCTCCATCCATAATGCAGTCCTTTTGGCCCCTGGAGAAAAACGATAGTGCTATTTTTAACACTACCATCCTGCATGATCTAAACATTGAGGAGAACTGGCTCATAAACAACATCCTGTCCCCATAAACTGGGGTATTTTTGCCATGTTAAAAGCTGTGATGGCCTGAAGATGAAGAAAGCAACGATGGAGGATACAGTTTCCAGAGGACGAGGCAGAGTGGGAAAAAAAACTTCTGCTAAGGTGGATACAAGACACTGAAGATGCATTGGCTATAAAAGCACATTTGCCTGGAGAACTGGCCAGAGAAAAAAAAAAAGACCTTCAGGCATGCCGTTATGGGGGCGACGTTCTGTAAAGGACCTGCTGACTGATGAGAATGACAGTGCTATTTGTATATTTTTATTTCTCCAATCTTGTCTAAACATAATATTTTTAAAGGGAATTAACTGTATATTAGGCAGGTAAATTAATCATACATATGTTTATTAATAATATTAATAAAATAATAAATTAAATGACAATTCGGCACTCTTCCAAATAATGGTCCTAAATTATTCTCTGCCAAAAACATCCCTCTGAGAGCCTCAATAGGTTATGTAGTAAAAACATTTAGGCCATCATCCTCAGTTTTCACTTCTGCTGTTATTGCTCGATGGATTGCAATGTTTAGACATTAAGCTAAGCACCGTGATGAGGAATAGTTTTAGATCCATCAAAGCGTCATGGGGAGGTATATAAATTGATCAATTTTTTAAGCGATGTGGGGAGGAGTACTTTTCGATCCATTGTTTACATTACCCGTGAAACCCCTTGTGGGTTCTAGGGAAAAATGTTTGAGAAAAAAAAAATTATAAAGCCACTGCTCCCTAAAAATTATGTTGTAAAAGACGACAAAATAGACTTAGCAGAAGTCAGATGTGTTAGGGCGATAGGTGCAGATATCGCTGTAACAGAGAGCGCTGTGCGAATTGTGTATCAATATAACGGGTCAAAATCAACAACCTTCCAGAACTTTGTTTTTCCGGCCCAAAACCAAGCCATTGACGTCATAGATGTCTCCATTTCCCGCCAAAACTACCTATTGACGTCAAACTCGGGCATTTGGCCTTGTCCTGTTTTTCTAAAAGTTACTAAATTTATTTATTTCATCATGTGACCCAACCTTATAGTACTAGTAAATAGGTTGTTGACTAAAAATGCCCCCTGTTTTAAGAGGTTTTTGTATTTTTGATGCGCAGTCGCCAGGTGTTCTCGACATCCTTCGCAATTTCTACAACATTCCAGAGCTGGGCCTATAAAAAGGGAGCCCCTAGTTAGGTAGAGAGATACAGAGGCGCACACAGACACAGACAGAGGCAGACAGAGGGAGGACAGAGTTCAGAATGACAGAGGGAGAGATAGAGGCACACATAGCGGGAGACTGAGAGGGAGAGGACACTCAGATGGACTAGAGGTGGACTTGGAGTGGCTTGGGCAAGCTTAAACTTAGATTGATAGAAGCACTATTCAGCAACGGTATCTTCGTAGCTTTTCACTAGGCGCTTTGTCAATATTGTTTTGGAAGTTGCCATTTTTTAAAATATAGATTAAATAAAGGTACATTGTTACTTTGAAAAAGCATCGATGGTTTACATATAGTTGTACATTAGACGACGTGGTGGTTTGGTTGATATGACAGTGGTGATGAGAGACGAGAGAGGAGAAGAAGAAGTGTTTCCACTGCGAAATGTCCAACTTGAAGTGATAGTACAACAGCCAGTAGAGCCAGGAGAAGAAGACTCTGGCATAGAAATAGACGATGAAATGAGTGAAGAAGAGGAGGAAGGAGCAGAACAGTGATATACCACGCTTCCCCAACCAGCCTTAATCGAGAGTCCCTGTTACATCGCAGCCTAGCTGTAAACCACAAAACAACGTGCTAACCACTCTTTTAGGGATAAAAAAAATATATCACCCAGCAGGGAATCAACACTGGTCACCCGTGTGACATGAAGAATACTTACAACTGTACTAACGAAGACTCGCGAGTTTCGTTCCCATGAAATTACATAATAATGCAAAGCATAGTTCCTAGTGTTTCTGTTCCATATTTTCACTATATGACCTCTTGAGGCCCTGAATAGGATTTTTTTAACAGAGAATAGAGAATAATTTGGGACCGGTATTCGGAAGAGTGCCGACAATTCCTAGCCTGCACAAGACGACATCAGGTTGGTTTTACTAGTAAATTAAAATACTACTGTGACGAGTACAGTACTCAAATTAAAACGTCTTTGGGGCTGAACGCGTTATACACGGACTGTTGGTTAGCAATTCAGATTAACCCACTGACTACCAACATTGCACGTTATGCGACGAGGCGACGTTTACTTCCTGTCACCAACGTCGCACGCTTTGCGATTTTAGCTTTGGACGCTCGCCGTCATGTTAAAATCGCGATTTTTATGATGGATTTAGTTGAAACCTCTAGCTTATTCATTTCTGTATGGTTAATTAAGGGAAATAACTTCGTAGTGCTTGAAGTAAATATTTGACGAATTTTTTTAGTTAGCTCCCATGACAGTGAGACATTGACGAAAAATTCATCATGGCGTCAAATTATCGGAACCACCGTGGTGGTCATATCTCTCCTAATTTTTCTAATGATGCATTCGTTTTTCTTGATTTTGCTTCAAAAAGTGAATTTGAAGACACTTCTGAACAGTTTGATGGCTATGACTATAATAAATTTAACGAAGTGCCATTCAAAACATCGTTGACTGTAAAACGACAGCATGAAGCTTCGAAGTCAAGTCTGACAAAGACAGTGTTGTCGGCTGCAAGTACTGGTGCCGCAGTTTATGATGCTGATAGTTCTTGTAAGAGTATTCAGTCAAAGCCCACAGATTATAAAGATTTTGTGCGTGAGTCTGCACATGACGTAGATATCATTGCCGCTTTTGATTCGGAATCATCATCATCTGACGAGTCCGGGGAAGATGTGCCATGCCCCCCCAATGGTTGATGACTGTCATTGTGATTTAGAAGGCTTTCCTGGAGTACTCCCATTTACTGGCACTTTTGGTTTATTTCTGCCAGCAGGAACAAATGAACCACTGAATATTTTCTGCAGTAAAGAAATTCTGGCTGTGTTTGCTAAAGAAACAAACCGTTATGCTAAGGCAAAGATTGGTGCGAAACCAGACACCTGTTTTCCCAAGAACTGGAAACACACAACCCCAAATGAAGTGACAGGGTTTCTTGTACTGTTGCGTCACATGTGTTGTGAAAAAGCCGTCTATTTCAGACTACTGGAGTCTATATCCATCTATCCACTCATCATTTGCTGCCACCATCACGTCACGGGGGCGTTTTCTATATATTGCTGTCAGATAACAGATTTGTCTGTTGCCTTTTCAGCACCATATCTACAGCCACATGATGATGATATAAAACAGTATATCTACATATGTCTTGATATTTGTTATCTATTTAATTTGGTGCAAACAATATCAGATAGGATAAGTGATATTGAACAGTTGTGAAGCTGTGACATTTTTTGGGAGTCTGAATTATTGTCAGATAAAGGATTTTTCAGTTGCCTTTTTTGCAACAATCTACAGCCACATGATGATGATGATTATGGCAGAAAAAATAAACCCCATTTTTTTTCTTCACATTGTTCTCGGTTCAATTTTGTGCAAAAATACAAAATGTAATATATGTTTGTTGAATATTTTTGAAAAAAAAATCATCACTATCAGTCTTTATTGTTGTCAGATAAAAGATTTTCAGTTGCCTTTTTTGCAACAATCTACAGCCACATGATGATGATGACTATGTCAGAGTAAACCTTATTTTTATTTTCTTTAAATGGGTTCTTGGTTTAATTTTGTGCAAAAATACAAAATATTATACATTTTTGTTAAATATTTTTTGAAAATAAGACATTTTTGTTAGTCTTTATTGTTGTCAGATAAAAGATTTTTCGGTTGCCTTTTTTGCACTAATCTACAGCCACATGATGATGATGCAAAACAAAATAAACAACTTTGTTCTTTATTCAGTTTGGTGCAAAAATACAAAATATTGTGAAATTATATCAAATAGTTGTGAAGCTATGGCATTTTTAGTAAACACTAAAATACGTGGTGGTATCTGGGGAAATGCAAGGGTTAATGGGCTTGGTAGTCAGTGGGTTAGGTTTAGTCATTTCAGGATGATAAAACTTTCGGGTAGCAGATTTAATCTAACAGGAGAAAACGCCGGGAATGAAGGAACAGTTGAAAATGGCATCAATCAAAATCAAAAATAGTAAAATAGTTAAAACAGTTCAATAATATTTATAATACAAATCACGACTGAAATCAAAGTGATGCATAATTTAACTAAATTTATTCATTTTTTACCCTGGAGGTTTCCCTGACAACAGTGTTACAACAAAATAAACAAACAGCAATACTGCTGGAGTTCATTTGTGCACAAAATCTCAACGCTGCTACAGCTATCCGGGGTAGACATCAGATAGACAGACTGGTGACATTAACGACAAGTTACCTCTTGTAGCCCGTCTGCTCCACTTCTGTTGACAGTTTCTAACATTCTCCAATGGCGCATGCGCGGATACTAATCCGAGATCATATTCATTTTCCTGACTGCATTTCTTTACATCTTGTTCGTTATGTCAACAATTATTATAGTCCAATTACAGGCAGACGTTGGAAAGGAGTATATTGAGAGATGAAAATTGTGAGTACTTTGTGACCATGAATCAACATTTCTTTAAATTAATAAAGATCTGCAGGCCCAGGTATGAGAGCAACCAGGAGTATTCGAAATCGTGTCAATCAGCGTATGCAGGGCTTTTTTCTGGCGGTACTAATGAATGAAAAGCTAGATGTTGAGAAGGCTCTTTTAGAGCGAATGAACAGTGCCGAGGCACACATAGATCATTACGGTCTGTGGAGAATGGCGCTGCGAGGAGTTTACAGGGGATTTGGCTGACACTCAACACTGAGGTGAAAGACGAGACTGATATAGAATCAGACAGTTACTGATGTCATCGGAATTGGAACTCTTCGCTTGCTGCTGAAGATGGGGGAGGAGCACTTTTGGGAGCGTCCCAAGTGCTGTGATGTTGATTTTTAATTTAAAATTGTTGGCGGTACCCAGTACCTGAACCTCTTTTTTTTTTTTTATGCATCATTTTTGTCATCGCTACTGTATAGACTCTTTGTGGTAAGCATAGGCCCCAGAACCTTGGAACTCAGGCACTCGAGCTCACCATTTTTTTTTTTTTTTTTTTTGACTTTTGGGAGAAAGGGGGTGGGATGAGCCTCCAAATAATTAGCGTAACTTCTTTGTTGAAGGTGGCTATTTTAACCATCTGTCCACCAACTTCCCTTTACTGCGGTTAAAATAAATAGACACGATAGCCGTGTGTCATTTTGCCCTAATTTTTGGTGCAGCCAAATATGACAGGAGGCACCTCCCCCCCCCCCCCCCCTTTTCAGTATCACTCAAGTTCCTTACCATATTCCACCCCCCCCCCCCCCCCTTTTTCAAATTATTTGGCTTCACAAATTGTAATGCAATCTAATGAGGGCGGGAAAAGGGAGGGGGGAGGGGGTGGGGTTATAGAGTGGTTTATAAAGACTTTATTTTTTGTTTTGTTTCGTTATTAGCACCGCCCCATATTTATACTTTCAGTACATAGTAATGAAACTGTGAAATTTATAGAAACAACATAAGCAACTTTTGTTTGTATTTTTAGACGACTGATAATAATAATAATTTAAATTAATAACGATGACAATATTCAACTTTTATTTGTTTGATCGACATGGAACGTGTTTATATTACACAGAGTGGAGTCGAAAAAAACAACTGACAATGAGCAAGGATGAGGTAATTAATTATAATTATACTTAGAGACTACTGGTTAGTAACAAACATCATAATAATACAATAATAAAGTATAGGATATTATATAATAATAATATAGTGTTTGGTCAAAATCCGAGAGATGAAAATAAAATCCGTTTTATTTTTGTCTCAAAATTAATTTTGGGAAATTTAAAAAAAATTGGCTGAGCTAGCGTAAAAGCTGGAAAAAAAATGAATCAAAACATAAATCAAATTTAAGACTCGGCTCTCCTCTCGGAGGAGAGCCTAAGACTCTGGCTCTCTACCACACCAAAAAACCAAAAAAAAAGTCGACGGACTGTGGCTGACTACTGACACGGACCGCGCCACCGGTGCGGACATTTTAGCTGGCGCGGAGGAGAGCCTAAGACTCTGGCTCCTTTCAACTTCGGCCGGTAGACAAACATCGACGGCCGGTTAGTCAGAGTTATGTCCCCTTGCTACAGTGGAATTACGGACTGAAGACGGCACGAATCAAACAACACAGTGAGGTCGACATGCAGACCCCGCGATGCCACTCAAATTAGCGACCGTGTTCAATTACCGCTTCTTTCAATGCATTACGGAGTGGACTAGAGGGAACGAGACAAGTGACATAGTTACTGTGTGTCGGCGATAGGCAGCGTGCAGTGCCCTAGGGTTAGGGTTAGGGTTAGGGTTTGGGTTGCTACTATGAGTTTGTGCGAAGACGAGATGTGGCGATAGTAACCTTAACCCACACCCTAAACCTAATCCTACCGCTAAACCAAACCCTAGCCCTAAACCTAACCCTACCCCTAAACCAAACCCTAACCCAAAAACCGTAACCGTATGCTGTCTATCGGCAACACACAGTAATTATGCCATTTGTTTCGTTCCCTCCTGTCCAGTCCGTAATTGCACTGTAGCAAGGGGACATAACTCCGACTAACCGGCCGTCGATGTTTGTCTACCGGCCGAAGTTGAAAGGAGAGCCCCGAAATATCCATTTTTGTGAGAGTTAGTTATATTGCCCAGTCCAGTACTGTAAAGTGTTAATGAATGTTAAGGAAGAATCGAAAGTTGTCAGAAGCCACACCCCTAATAATCGGCTATCCTCTGAATAACGGCACCTGATGATGATACTTTATTGTCTCCTTCAGCTCCCTCCATATTCTCTCAGTATTATTCAACTCTGTCTCTAATTATCTCCATGGTTTCTTTTAGGTCTCCCCTCTGTTTCTCTCTTTTCCTTAAGTTCTTGAAAAATCACTTTCTAGTTATACTGTTAACAGGGGTGATGGGTGTTTCCTATCTAACATCTTTTCCTCACTTCTTGATTCACTGTATTTGGTTAGTTCTCTACATGAATTTAAAATTAGTGGCTCTGATATACTACTTATTCTGTACATGTTTTGTATATTTTTAGGGTTTATATTATGTATGTAATTTCATACGCACCCACATGTATGTATGCAGTGTGTAATATTGTGTGTTTATGTGTAATTGTGTTTTTATGTGGGTGGATCGTTAGATGAAAGCATACACAAATTATGTTTCAGTGTATGTTGTAGGGTGTTTATGTGTGTATTAATTTATGAATGTCTCATAGCATCCCAGCTGCTGGCGATTTGATAGCAGACCATCTTGCATTGGTTTTGAGTGTCTAGTGTTCAGAAAGCAATTCGAACTACTAAGCGTACATTTACATTAAAAAAAACATAACAGCCAAAAATGCTGGGGTTGGTTCTGCAACGTCTTGTAAAAGATACGTAACTAACTCACAGCATGTTTACTCTGTATAATGCATATGCTCATTATTCATATTATGCATGTTTATCTGTGAGTGTAAGATCATGCCTGCATGTATATATGTTTAGTCCATACTGTGTATTGCCTTGCATTCCTTTTGTTATATCTGCCTCTGTCTGATTTAAGATGTTTTTTGCTCAGCCCCTAATTAATAAACTGTAAAAAGAAAGTTTAATTGGGCTGAATGTAAGACAGGCCTGCTTGTCCAGTTTCTAACACTTTTATGATAACTTATTTTTGCCTATCCTCCGAATAACGCTCCCAAATTATTGAGGCCGAAAATATACCCTATCAGGGCCTCGGTCACATGTAAATTGCGGACTTCCACCACCGCCGAGTGTATCTCCCATGCCACTACGCGCAGCGTGGATTGGGGCTAAACTAGATGGCTGGGACTCACGAGCAAATAAAATGAAAGAAGCTCCAGGAGATGCGGCAGCTGCTGCTCCTGAATTCCAGCCATCTAGTTTAGCCCCAATCCGCGCGTAGCAGCGTGGGTGATATTCGTGGCGGTGGCGGAAGTCACCGAAAGTTCCCAATTTGAGTTGCCGGAAGTCCACAATTTACATGTGACTGAGGCCCTGTTAGGGTATATTTTCGGCCTCGATAATTTGAGACCGTTATTCGGAAGATAGCCCTTTTTTTCATTTATTTATAGTTTCTCAGTAGACCTTCTTTCCAGACCTTGTCAAAGGCTCTCTTCAGGTCTATCCATGCTGCAAGCACCAGCTCCTTTTCCTGGAAGGCATCCTCAGTTTCTTGTGAAAGTTAAGTTGTCTGATCTTCTGTGGAATAGAACTGTCTAAAGTCTGCCTGCTGCAACATGAAGATATTTTCACCATATCCAAGATCGCCTTAAGTGTTCTGCACTGTATGCTAATTTCACATCTTCATTATCTGCTTGGGATTGCTCGTGTCCTTTTTCCTTTCAGTATTTTTGGTCATTGTTTTTCTTTTAATGAGCTATAATTGCTGTATAATTTGCACCTAGGAGTTGCATTAAAACATTTTTAACACATCTTCAGGAATTCAAGTTGATGTATGGGATGATCTTTTCCATCAAGTCATTTGCAAGCAGATTGTCTCCAACAGACATGTATCCTTGCTATTTTTGATTTATTAGTTTGTCATAACAAGCTACTTAAAGGAGGACAAGAAAAAGACATGCACAAATACAGTCAGTCCTTTTGACCAGAGTCTTTATCAACAGACAAAAACACAGACTGTTTAATGAACTGCTCGGTTGTTTTTATGCATTTGTTTTCTTTCTCTTTGCTGAACTTTCTAGTGGTAGTTTATGTTTAAGTTACTTCTTGATAGCAGTCTCCTATTTACATCATAATCATTTTATGAGGTTGGCTTGACCACAGTATCTAACCAGTCCAGGATCTGGGCATCAAATGTTTGAAGACGTCAGATGTGTCGACCGAAAGGCCATACTGTAGACAAGCACAACGCGCATACATCCTCGGATGAGTGCAAAAGAAGAAACTTTCTTGAAGATAAAATACAAATCTGGTGAATACTTGGAATTTAATCTTCGTCTTTTCCCGAGTTCTGGGGTCCCGATATAGGGAAAACAAGAATAGACCCACTGCCTACCCAAAAGCATGTTGTAAGAGTCGACTAATTGGGAGCTTCCTTCGAAGTCGAAGTGTATCTGCCTGAGAGGCAAGAAACCAACAACAGTCTGCACACAAGTTGGTCAGATCTGTCAAACGGATGCACACTCAGGTTCTGAAACAGGACTGCAGTCCAAAAGTGGATGAACAACCAGAACTTTCCGCTGGAGTTTACAGCTAATGAACGCGAAGAAGAAGAATCTTTATCTTCTTCTTTACCTTCACCAGAAGTAAACTGTGATGCAGAGTTCTGGTTTCTCATCCACTGCTCGACTTTGTTCTTGATCCCACTGCTTGACTTTGGTCTTGATCCCACTTCTCGACTTTGGTCTTGATCCCACTGCTCGACTTTGGTCTTGATCCCACTGCTCGACTTTGGTCTTGATCCCACTGCTCGACTTTGGTCTTGATCCCACTGCTCGACTTTGGTCTTGATCCCACTTCTCGACTTTGGTCTTGATCCCACTGCTTGACTTTGGTCTTGATCCCACTACTCGACTTTGGTCTTGATCCCAGTGCTCGACTTTGGTCTTGATCCCACTGCTCGACTTTGGTCTTGATCCCACTGCTCGACTTTGGTCTTGATCCCACTGCTCGACTTTGGTCTTGATCCCACTGCTCGACTTTGGTCTTGATCCAGAGCTTCAGTGTTGCGTGCACATCTGTTTTACAGATCTGGCTTTTGTTTTTTGTTTTTTTGTTATTAGACTTTTGGTTCCTTGCCTCTTAGGCAGGAGCACTTCTACTATGAAGGAAACACTCCTAATTAGTCGCCTCCTATGGCATGCTTGTTAGGTGGGCATTAGGCCTGTTCTTTTTTTCTTCAGATTGGAGCCACAGAACCCACACGAGGGGTATTGAATCTAAAACCACTGTTAAGCCAGTGTTCTACACACTCACTCCCACAGTTACATTGATTTATAGAAGAAATGAGCAGTGTCACCTTATTCCTTAACTTTGGAACACTAGGAAGGAAGGTTTTCTCAACTTCACCACGAGTAAGTACAAGCTACACTTCTTTGAGACACCAAGTGGGCTGAAGTTTATCATGAACACAGATCTTTCTGTGGGTGGAATGAAGGATGTGTTACATCAGATTTTTAGCTCTGTAAGTTTCTTGATTTCTTTTTTGTTCATCTATAAAATTTGTGTGCAGTAATGTATTTATTTTTAGATTGATTGCATTAAATTGTACGAATGAATCTCAACCCCACCAGGACATCCATTAAGTGATAAACATCCAGTGACACAAAGTGCCACCATGCGGATGAGGATCACCAGGGGAGAGGTCCCAAAAAACCCGTTCAACCATTAGATTATATTAGGGCCCCCTACCGCAGCCGGGGTGGGGCTTTAAAATAACGAAAAATTGTGTCCCATATTGAGATGGCTGATAATAATTGAATTAGATTTTTAGCTCTCAAAGTTTCTTGGGTTTTCTTCTTCACATTTTACGTGCAATGATATTTTTGTTTTAAGATTTATTGCTATTGATTTTTAACTCCAAGTTTTTGGTATCTATTTTCATAATTTATATGCATTATTGTTTTCATTTATTGTCAAATTTATTGCATTGAGTTTGAAGTTCCAAGTTTATTGTTTCTGTTTTAGATTCATTTTATGTTTTCCGGCCCAGAAAGAGAGTGACTTCCCTTGCCATTCATGCCTTGTTGGGTCGCAGGACCTCTCCTATATTGGAGAGGGGTGGGGTTGATATGGCTTGGTTTAGCGTATATAATGTTTGTGGGAGGTTGTGTTGTCTTGAGTCTATTTCTAGTACGGAAGGTGCCTGTGTACAAGTAAGAAGTACTGTAGGGGGAGGCGCCGCAGGCGCGACGATTCTTGAGTTTCGAAACTTGGATTTATTTTATTTCTACGTTCGTAGCCAGCCTTCCTCTGAGGCACAAATATATCAGTATGGTCTGAGGAGAATGGCGCTGCGAGGAGTTACCAGGGGATCCGGCCGATGCTCAACAGTCAAGGGAAAGGTGAGACGGATTACAATCAGACAGTTACTGGTACCATCAGAATTGGAGCTCTTCGTTTGCTGCTAAAGATGGGGATGGAGTGTTTATGGGAGTGTCCTGAGTGCTATGATATTGATTTAACAATCAATATGTTTGGACTTCACATTCATGATTCTGATATATGTGGAAGAAGTGCTCAGCTTTATTCCTTATCAACTATCCTTCACAGACAATTTTTTGAAAATTATATGCCAGTTTTCTCTATTTGGGTTCCAGGGCCCCATTATGGGGGGGGGGGGGGGGGGGGGGGGGTAGGAATAGACGCACTGTCCCATAACAAGCATGTCAAAATAGTCAACTAGTTATGAATGTTTCTTTTGAAAATGGAGTACCTCTGTCTGAGAGGTGAGGCGCTAACAGTGTGCATACAGATAATCATCATCATCATCAGGTGCCTTGCCGACTGGCGTGGGCGATCATGCCTCTCCATAATCTGCGACCTCCTGCAGCATGTATCACTTCGTGTGCCGACACACCTCCATTCCATGCAACAAGACTGTCAAGCATCTTCTCTCGTTGTCTACCTCTTTCTCTCCTTCCACATATCTTTCCAGTGGTCACAACATGTTCTATTTTCCCTCTTCTCATAACATGGCCGAAAAATGATGACTGTCTCCTTCTGATGTCTGTGATAAGTTGTCTTTGGGCTCCCGCCTCTTTCAAAACCTCTTGGTTGCTCTTTTTGGCTGTCCAAGGTATTCTAAGCATTCTTCTGTAAAACCACATCTCCGAGGCCTCCAGGAATTGTTTGGCCTGCCTACCTATTGTCCAGGATTCACAGCCATATTTTAAAACTGGATGTATGTAGCAAGCAAGAATTCTTTTTCTAACTCTCAATGACAAGGATATATTGCACAAGATGTTTTTCATTTGATAAAATGCAGTTTTTGCCTGTCCTATTCTGTTTCCTATCTCAGTTATGCATCTTCCATCTGATGTTATCCATGTGCCCAGATACTTAAATTTCTGTACTTGTCCTAAAATAACACCATCAACTTTTATTACACACTTAGGAATAATTCGTTTCTTTGATACCACCATTACTTCTGTCTTCCCATTATTCAAACTGAGGCCCATTCTTCCACTTTCTAACACCACAATGTCTATCATTTCCTGTAGTTCTTTCTGACTTGTTGCTATCAAGACTGTGTCATCAGCATAAAGTAAATTATTTATATTGTGCCCACCAACCACAATTCCGGGCATACCAATTAAAGCTCTCATTATATATTCACTGTATAGTGAAAACAAATCAGGTGACAGTACACATCCTTGTCGTACGCCCCTCTTTATGCTTTGAAATGTACCTAAACAGTTGTTAATTCTTATAGCTGCTGTTTGCTGCCAATACATATTCTTTATTAGATCTTTCCCATCAAAGTTTAATTTTTCTAACAGTTTGATTACTTCTTCATGCTTCACACAGTCAAACGGTTTTGTATAGTCTATGAAGCATATGTACAAATCAGTCTTTACTTCTATAGCTCTTTCTGACAATGTCCTTAGGATTTATATGGCATTGTTTGTACCTTTTCCTTCTACAAATCCACATTGTTCATCGCTGATTTCTGGTTTAATTTTGTTTCTTATGCATACAGATAAGCCAGATCTAAAATAGGGATGTGCACTCAAAACTCAAGTTCTGGAGCAAGACTAAAGACCAGAAGTGGACAAACAACCAGAATTGTCCACCTGTGTTAACAGCCGGTGAACAATAAGAAGAAGATGTGCCAATTTTTATTAGGCTGGGTTAACCCCAGCGCTGAACTGATCAGAACCAATTCTGATTCTGCTGTGGACTAAACCCAGCCCACTGTCTTAGAAGGCAAGCACACAGACCACTGTGGGGAATATAGCATCACTGTGCAGAATATAGCGTAGTAAAAAGACACCACTGTTTAATGAAATATGTAATATGAAAAACTCATTTCTGTTAATTTCAGCTCTATGTGGAATATATAGTCAAAAACCCCCTGTGTGACATGGACCAGCCCATCACAAGTGAGCTGTTTAAAAATAAACTGGATGAATATGTCAGAGCCCTGCCTCAGTTTTCTACAAAAGTTGCATCATGATCAAGTATTGCAGCGTTGACCTGGTTTATTGTCCATGAAACAGAGAATGAATTAATGTAAATGTAAAAAATTCAAGTTTATCCCATGGCAGATGCTGCCATAGGAGTGCGAAAGTAAAGAGCATCATATACACTTGTCATCATTTGCCGTGCTGATAAGCATACACCAGGGTTATTCTGGGGCCAAAAGTTTCAAAATGGGAGTTGTCACGGGCCCGAGCCGCAACATAGAAATATTAATAGAATACAGCTGGAAATGATGTGCAGGCTACTTGCTAGGCCTCTGTGGGACAGATTCGGCCTGCTAGTTGAATGGACATAGCATAGGCAGTCACAGTTCACCATCTTACATGATCTCCCAAGTAGTTTGTGTGTTTATGTGTGTGTGTGTGTGCCTTGTGATTAGGTCATCTGCATATTTCTATTTCAGTATCTTCCCTTTGATCTTTTCCCATGAGGTTTGTCATTTGTCACTAAACTTTAAGTTAATTTTTTTCTCTTCAAAACATGCCCTAAGAATCTTTACTGTCTACATCTATTTTCTATCTACACGTTATTGTATGCTGTGGATTCCCTGTGAGGGTTCTCATCCCCATTGGTGGAGGGGGGGGGGGGGGGGGGGGGGGAATTGACTAAATATATAGAGTGCCTCTGCCTGAGAGGTGAGGAACCAGCAGTCTGCATACTAATAAGCTAGATCTGTGAAACTGATGTGCATGTAAGTTCTGAAATAAGACTAAAGTTCAGAAGTGGATGAACAACCAGAACTTTCTGCCAGAGTTTACAGCCGGTGAACATGAAAAAGAAGAAGATGGACACTAGGTCATGATATTAATTTGTAGTGGGGGGGGGGGGGAAGGACCAGACCAACCGCTCTGAGTAGCAAGCGGTGCAGATATTGTAAACCACAGTACAGTGTGTCAACTGCCCGTTTAATGCTGAATATAGAAGATGTATCATTATGGAAACATTAAGTTTACAGCATATGAAGTTAAGTTTGATGTGTGATGATCAAAGTCTGCTCTGCTTTTCATGTATGCATAGTTTGCATTGTCCATTATGTGTATTTGTTTTAGTTCTGCAATAAAAACATTTATTGCGATCCTAGAATTTCTCTTACTGCATTGCAGAAATAATTTTTTTTTTTTATATCTCAAGTTTGCATGTGTTTTGCAAGTCACTCTCTATGCAGAGAGTGCTCTAACAGTGAATTAATTACAAAAGCCTGCACTAAATCATCACCATCATGTACTATGTAGATAAACATAGGCAGTCATTGTTCACAATCACACAGTCATGTCTTGGGCAAGGATTTCCTAGTGTGGATTCTTAGGCAATACTGGCGGGGAAGGGGGGGGGGGGGGGGGGGGACGGAATAGAATAACTGCTTCTTAACAAATATATCATTAAAAATGGGTAGGGTGGGTGTAAAGAACCACTGCTTCCTAACAAGCATGTCAGGTGCATGCAGTAGCAAAGGATAGAACAACCTGACCTCAGTTGGTTGAGGGCCTGTGCTTAGTTGGGGGATATAATGCATGAGAAAAAAAAGGAGAATAGAGTATAAATATCTTACTTTCCTCAGCATCCTAAAAAAGGTCAAGGCAGTCTCATAACAGACTGCCATCGACGTGTGAAGAGTTAAGGCCTTCATAGACAAGTTTCAGATAATGGTAAACGTAACGTTAATTTCCCCCCATGCCCCACCCATATACACACTAGCTCACTTCTGATTGGTAGTTCCTGAACCTGTCACCTTGGCACGAGGGTGTTCCGCAATGCAATTGATATCGTGTGTTGTATATTTCAACACGCCAGTGCTTTTAACGCTTCAAAAACATGGAGAAACTGGCCCTAACACAACCCTCCACGAGAGTACACAACCTATGTCACAGGCATTCTCTTTCTCGGAATGAAAACGTAAATGCAAAACAGCACAGAAAGCAAACAATAGAGAGGGACACACCTGTAACCTTCAGGAAGTTGACCAGCCCAACAAACTTGTGAATGAAAAGTGACCTACTTTGCTTGGGGAGATGTACGTGAACCTAACCCAGATAATTGTAAAAATTATTTGGTACTTCCCTTTTTTGGTTCTGGAGCCCCATTTTAGGGAGACAAAGAACAGACCCACCCTAACAAGCATGTCATAGGGGGCAACTGATTAGGGGTATTTTCCCTATGGACTAAGTGACTAATTAAGGTTTACTTAAATTAAAAGTGTTTTGCTGAAAGGCATATATATCGCAGCTAAGCTGTAAACCACAAATCACTGTTCCAGCCGACCATTTCAAGGTAAATACAGAAGGATGAGATCAGATTTATGCTCTTGTCTCAGAAAGGTGAAATTTGGTTCAATGTTTATTCCTTTTCACCATAGCCACCTCTCAGATTTAAACATTTCTGCCAACTCTGCTCGACCTTGGAAGGATCTTGGGAATAGAACACCCCGACTATGAAAGAAATGACATATAAGGTGAAATTTGGTAATGTTTATTCCCTTTCATCATAGCCACCTCTGCTTGATCTTGAAAGGACCTTGGGACTAGAACATCATATTTTTATAGCTTACCCTGTTATCTCACGCCAATGTCACTTCTTCATCACTCATTCATTCATTCATTCAGTAGCATGTCCCTCGCGGAACCTCGCTGCCATAACAACCCTCCGGAAAACCTTCCTATCCTGAGCAAGATGTCCTGTGTCTGATACACCCATCTGGAGATCATCTGCCACATCCTGCACCCATCTTCTCCTTGGCCTTCCTCTTCCTCTCTTCCCAGGCATATACCCCTCCATTATTGTTCTCTCTAGACTTCCATGACGTTTCAAGTGACCAAAATATTTCAATTTTCTTTGTTTTATTGTCTTTACTAGCTAACCCTCTTCAATATTCAGCTCTTGAAGTATGGATGCATTTGTTCTTTTCTTTACCCAATTTATTCTTAGAACCTGTCTGTAACATTTATATTCAAATGCATTTATGCGCTGTTCCGCTTGTTTAGTAAGTGTCCAGGTCTCACAGGCGTATGTTGCAATGGGAAAGATGCATGCTCTTAAAAATCTGACCTTTGTAATTCTATCTGTACAATTCCATAATTTATTCAGTTGTTTTAGTCTTTGAAGAGCAATTGATAGTCGCCGTTTAATTTCTTTCATTGTGTCACCATTTTTGGTAACCAGTGACCCAAGATATTCGAAATTTTCCACCACTTCCAATCTTTCCTCATTAACATATATTTCCTTCTCCATGGCAGTTTTGTTTGTATGCATTATCTTTGTTTTTGCTATGTTAAGAAATAAGTTATGATTTTCACTATTTCTTTGGAGTGAGGTTAATAAGTTTTCTAAAACCATTTTGTGATGTTGATAGTAATACTGTATCATCAGCATAACGAATTTCTGGTATTTCATGACCACCGATGTTTAGGGCATCATATTGTTCCTTGTTTATATCATCTCTTACATTTCTCATTATATTTTCGGCGTACAGGTTGAACAAATACGGTGACAGCACACATCCCTGACGGACTCCTTGCTTGATGCCAAACCAGTCTGATGTCTCTCCATCTATTCTGACTGCTGCTTGTTGGTCTTGATAGAGCATTTTAATGAGCTGCACTATATGTGATGGAAAGCCCATATTCCTCATGATTTCCCAAAGCTTCTGATGTTCTTCATCACTGGCAAACTGAATTCCTTTTATCTGCTTTTCAATGTTTGGGAAAAGAAAAACGTCAGAGACTGCCAAATCTGGTGAAAATGGCTGTGAGGAAAAATATCGGAATTCAGATTGTTGCCTGTTGTCTTGACGCAAAGAGAGATTTTGAGTGCTTGAAATCCCTTGTTTTCTTGCTAAACTTTTCAAAGTTTTGTAAGGAGGCACGAATAATACTATCCATTAACAGTCTTGCCCTTCCAATAGAAGATACCAATACATTTGACATCGCCCCCTCCCCCACCCAAAAAAAAAAAAACTATCAGCATCATTTTCCTTGCACATTTCAGTGCTCTTCATTTGTCAGGTGTTGGGTCACCTGAAGTGCTCCAGTGCATGCTGGCAACTTTAAATTTATTGTGATTATGGTGAAATAAGTTTCATCTAATGTTACAGTAGTCATCAAAATATTTTCTGACAGACTCATGTTGAGTAAATGTTGAAGCATGTTACCCTCGTTTTCTTCTGTTCTCTGGGGGGAGGGCCTGGAGGTCCCAGGTTCAGGCCGCAGTGAAGGCTGGGATTTTTTTCACGTGAACTTCTAGTAATGTCCCCTGGTCTCTGGGTAGTAAGATCGGATGCCCGTATGTATTGTTGCGCACATAAACAAATTCCTTGGCAGTCAGAAATCAAAAGGAGTAGCCTAACAGCGCTGCCCAGGCAAAATTTGGAGTTAAAAATCTACCAAACGTTAGGGACTAAGTCGGGGCTGTAAGGTGTATGCTCCCGCCCCAGATGGTTAATTTTCTCCTGAGTTAATCGAGCCATATGTGGTCTGTCATTGTCATGAAGGAGCAGTTGTCCTCTAGTCAACAGGCCTCCGTCGACAATTTTAGAGTGTCCTTGAAATTTTTTTTTAGCCAAATGCACCGCTTTAGGGAAAAAACATTTGTCAGCATAAAATGGAAGCATTTCCTTATGAATATTCTTTGCAGGCTGCCCTTTTTCATTTATTTTTATCTATCCATGCATGGTATCTTTGCATTTTGGATCATTCTTCAGATATGGTGACAAATTTATAGGACTCATGACTATTGTTTAGTATTCTACTCCACTTATACACTTGCTGGACTGAACCTCCATTCACTGATGACTTTCTATAGGTTCTACCAATAAACCTCTAACAAAACAAAATGCTGCTCTTTGATGCATGTCATTATGAAATCACCATGTTTGTCTGCACTGTGGTGTCACATGCTTAATACTCTTAACATCCAAGCAATGGCATGGTTATTGTAATTTCTGTCACAATTTTAAGGTTTTCATTTGCAACCCCTTTGTATGTCCATCTTGCCTTCCCCCCGAGTGTTGAGTGTGAGCCAGATCCCTTAGTTACTCCCTTCTACTGCATTCTCTTCAGACAGTAATGATCTCTATGTGTGTCTGCACTGTTCACTCGCTCCCAGACAGTCTTTAATAACATCTGGCTTATCAGTATCAATTTACCACCAAGTGGTGCAGAACACGCCATCTTGCCTGTCTGTTCATTTTTCAACACACTAGCATCCTCTGGAAAAAATATCCTAGGAACACTAACTACCTAGGACCTCTGAACTAATGCTTGCCATTATGCATGGAGCCTACCTGTCTCCACTTTTCTCAACATGCTTTGTGGGTCTGTTACACTCACATGTGTGTACAGCTGTTTCTCAAGCCACCGGAAGGCTGCTGTTCATGTGAATGAGAGACCCTTTACCAAAATCCAAAGCAAAACTATGACTACAGCAACAAAAGATTACTTCTCATGGCTGCCTTATGTGTTTAATTGTGCATGTATGATATTGGCTTTTTCTGAGACTGCAGTCTGTGAGTGCGTATGGTTGTTCACAAGGAACACTGATGGACATTCTGTGAGGTTTTCATTGGCACAGGAAGGGAGCAACAATGGGGTGAACCGTTTGCTATGATGTTGGAACTGCAGTTACCTGATGTACATACCAAACCACAAAGAGCTTGCCCTAGCATTATAACGTGTGCCGTGGTAGAACTGGCTATCACATATGAATGCTAACCAAGTGGTTGAAGGTTCAAACCCCCAACAGGGTGGCTTGAATTTACCTAGTTTTTCATGTTGACCCAAACATAAAAATGTATAAAAGGAAGTGTTCTGAGAAGTAAAGATGGCTGGAATGATATTCCCCTTCATCACCACCAAGTGATGATTAATCTATACAAGTATGGGGCTTGCACCATATACCTCAAGGCATAAAATGGATCCTTTACTCTTTTTTCTTTTAAAACACAGTGCAGATCTGATAAGGAGAATTCTCTGTGGACCCAAGAAATGGTTCTTCTCATCAGAAATTCCTTTATCAGAAAAATTGCTGGGGATAAATAAATTGTGGAGAGCAAAATAAATTAAAACTAATACTAAACTTAAAATTTTTAATTCTTACGTCAAATCAGTATGGAGCGGAAACATGGAGAACAGCTAAAACAATACTAAAAAATGACAAACATTCATTAGCTGGTGCCTACACAGAACAGAGGGAATTAAATAATATGACAGAATCACTAATGTTGAGCTTTGGGAGAGAACTAAACAAGTTCAAGTGAACCAAGAGATAAAGAACAGACGGTGTTGGATCGTACACACATTGAGAAAACCTGAGAAACAATATAACTAGAATGTCTTTGCACTGGAACCCACATGGGCATAGAAATAAATGCAGACTAAAAAAAAAAAACAGCAAAGGACAGAACGACTTGATGTGAGTTAGTCGAGGGCTATGCTCCATTGGGGGTCAGAAAGCTTTGGGAGAGAACTAAACAAGTTCCAGTGGACCAAAAGGTGAAGAAAAAACACTGGCTTTAGATAGGACACACAGTGAGAAAACATGAGAACAATATAACTAGAATGTCTTTGCACTGGAACCCCTAGGGGCACAGAAATAAATGCAGACTAAAAAAAAAAACACGGAGAAGGGAGCAAGAGGGTGAAGTTAAGCAGATAGGGTGAGCAGCATGCAATAATGAAGGATAGAATGACTTGGCATAAGTTAGCTGGGAGCCTATGCTCCGTTTGGAGATAGAAGGAAAGAGGAATCATAGTCACATTTGTATACCATATATATCATCTGAGCTACAGACTAGATGTTTCAACACAATTGAAGATCTTGTCTCCCCTTTCTCACCAAAAAAAGAACACATTCTAGTCACAAAATAAGTTGTAGCATACTTTAGTTTAAATTTTTTTATTTTGATTAAATTTCTTTGATACAAGCTCACTCCATCTGAGTAAATGTGTAATCTTGGTGGTAAATCTCTGACTGGTTATATATTATTCACACATCTGCACTTCTTAGCTCAGCCCTGCTTAGAAGTTCAGTTTTCAAAGCTTTTTTGTTTAAATTTGTCTTCGCCTTAGTGTTCACCAGCTGGCAAAAAGTTCTGGCTATTCGCCCACTTCTGGATTTTGGACTTGTTTCAGAACTTGAGTTTTGTGTGCACATCCATTATACACATCCGGCTTACATGTATGCAGACAGTTGGTTTCTTGGGACTTCAAAGTTAACACCCCTAATTAGTGGGCTCTTTTGGCAGGCTTTTTAGGGGGCGGCTGGTATATTCATTTTACCCTAAAATGGGGTCGCAGAACCCACACATGAAGTTTAACTGTTTCACTATCAAGAAACTCATCATACTTCTTTGATTACTCTATACATAGCACAGATTTCTTCACTTCTCATTTCTGATTGGTTTGTTGCAATAACTCATGCTGTCCAGCAAGTACAAGTCTAGATTTGAAGACAATGCCCCGGGGATATTCTGACCTGGCCTCTCTCTGCAAAGCAGCTAGCTATGTGCCAGGAATGTTGCACAAAACATGAACTCTGTAGCTCAAGTAACAATCCAGGGATTTCCATTGAAAAAATGCACCTCTGAACTCATTAATATTCAAAGACTGGTACCCTAAAGTGCACACAGACGGCCTAAACAGGTTTTATAGTAATATCTGCCTAGGCCCAAACAGGTTTTTATAGTAACTGCCTGGGCCTGTACAGGTTTTATAGTAACAACCGCCCGGGTTTGAACAGGTTTTATAGTAACAACCACCCGGGGTCTGAACAGGTTTTATAGTAACAATCGCCTGGGTTTGAATAGGTTTTATAGAAACAACTGCCTGGGCCTGAAAGAGTCAGACATAAGAAAACGTATGTCTTTAGACTTCACAGATCACTTTCTGATACTTCACTTTTCTGATGGACCTACATGACATATGGGAGTTTATGCTAACAAAACAAAGTGACCACATATCCTTGGTGTCAACCACGCCTAATCTTGGACACTCTTTAGCCAAGTTACCAGTTAACATTTTATTCTTTAGCCCTTTATTCCCTAATATAGGGAAAACAAAAATAGACCCACTGCCTGCCCAAAATCAAGTTGTTGACTAATTGGGAGCTTTCTTCAGTCGGAGTGCATCTGCTTGAGAGGAAGGAACCAACAGTCTGCATACAAATGAGTCAGATCTGTAAAACGGATGCATACGCAACTCAGGTTCTGGAACTGGACTGCAGTCCAAAAGTAAATGAACAACCAGAACTTTCCGCCAAAATTTACAGCCAGTGAACACGAAGAAAAAGATTAGCCTTCAACCAACTCATGCGCAAGCCTCTTTAGACTTGTACATAATTAGCTGGCTACTGGTACAAAGATAACATATTTTATAGAGATAATATGTTAAAAATTAGTATCTGGAAGGACCGAATGTAAGATGTGCCTGTGTATCTAGTTTTTAACCCTTCAAAAACTGTTTGCTCATTCGTTCCTTCTTTTTTTTTTTTATTTCAGCATATTGTCTTATGGGTTCCGTCTTGCCTACTCTAATTTCCAGTTAGGCATTTATTTGATGTGACAATTTTCCAATTTCATTAGTTAGTCTTTCCTCTTAAGCTTAGTGTGGAGCAGAAGGCAGAGGTCATAGCTCTCCATGTATTGCGGTCGGTTGCTACCTGTTTTAGGTCTTGGATGCCCATTAGGCCCATGGTTGAGCCTTCCGTGATGATGGTCCTCTCTTGGTCTTCCCCATTTTCTTTTCACTTCCGGTGTCCACAATGTCCATTATTTTCACACAGCCAGCATTACTGAGTAGGCCATACTTTTCAATAAATATTTCAGATTCTCTGTAAACAACTGGAACTAACTACAGCCATTTGTGTTATTTTAACTATATTGCAATAAAAGTAAAAACAAAAATATCTTTATGAATCACTATTACATAGGATATAAAATCAGCATCCTACAAAAATGTAATACACATGTAATGATTTAAAAATACATAACAAAAACTTCACCCCCCCCCCCCCCACCTTTTCCTAAAAAAATACTGCAGCAGGCAAAAGTAAAACAGGTAATGAAATCACACCCCAAAAAAACAATGAGAGAAGATCTTAGCTTCCAAAGATCTGTAGTGACAAATGGAATAATACACTGTCGAGAATAAAAAGACCAAACATACTGAATAATATGAATATATTACTTATAAAAAAAAGTTTAGGTAATAATTTACATTTACAGTATGCCTGACAGAGAGTCGCATAAATTTACACTAATTATACCATGAAATGTTTTTTTTTCTTTTCTGGAAATCAATAATTGTAATATAAATTCAAAATGGAATTCAATTTTACTGATCTATTTCTTGACTGCTGCAGCAGGGGGTCTTGGCTGAAGGTTAGGCTTCATGAGATAGTGATAGTTTGGTAAAATCTTGGTCAGAAAATCTATCTGCAAAGTTTGTGCCTGAGGGAAAAAGAAGTAATATGACTAGAATGCATGTCTGTCATCCCAATGATTACTGGTGCAAATCCATTTTTAGGTAGATTAAAAAAAAATTTACATGAGATTCCAGGTTCCAGACTGTCAGAGTTGAGATAAGCTATGAGAGGAAGACAGACTGTCAGAGTTAAGGTGAGCTACAGGAAAGGAAGGCAGACTGACAGAGTTAAGGTAAGCTATGAGAGAGGAAGGCAGACTGTCAGAGTTAAGGTAGCTAGGAGAGAGGAAGGCAGACTGTCAGTTAAGGTAAGCTAGGAGAGAGGAAGGCAGACTGACAGAGTTAAGGTAAGCTAGGAGAGAGGAATGCAGACTGACAGAGTTAAGGGAAGCTAGGAGAGAGGAAGGCAGACTGTCAGATTTAAGGTAAGCTAGGAGAGAGGAAGGCAGACTGACAGAGTTAAGGCAAGCTAGGAGAGAGGAAGGCAGACTGTCAGAGTTAAGGTAAGCTAGGAGAGAGGAATGCAGACTGACAGAGTTAAAATAAGCTAGGAGAGAGGAAGGCAGACTGTCAGAGTTAAGGTAAGCTAGGAGAGAGGAAGGCAGACTGACAGAGTTAAGGCAAGCTAGGAGAGAGGAAGGCAGAATGTCATAGTTAAGGTAAGCTAGAAGAGAGGAAGACAGAGTTAGGGCAAGCTATGAGAGGAAGGCGGAACAGAGTTGAGGTAAGCTATGAGAGAGGAAGACGACAGAGTTGAGGTAAGCCATGAGAGGGAAAAGACTGTCAGAGTTAAGGTAAGCTATAAGAAAGGAATGCAGACTTATAGAGTTAAGGTAAGCTATGAGAGAGGAAAGCAGATTGTCAGAGTTTAGGTAAGCTATAAGAAAGGAAGGCAGACTGTCAGAGTTAAGGAAGCTATGAGAGACGAAGGCAGACTGTCAGAATTAAGGTAAGCTACACGAAAGAATGGCAATCAAAGTTACGGTAAGCTATGAGACGAGGAAGGGAGATTATCTGTCAGAGTTGAAGTAAGCTATAAGAAAGAAAGGCATACTATTAGAGTTAAGGAAGCTATGAGAGATGAAGGCAGACTGTCAGAATTAAGGTAAGTTATAAGAAAGAATGGCAATCAAAGTTTCGGTAAGCTACAAAATGAGGAAGGGAGATTAACTGTCAAAGTTAAGGTAAGCTACAGTCAAGTTCTGTATCCAGGTCTTTCTTTGTCTGCCTCTTCTCGTCTTCCCCTCTACTGAGCCATGTAGAATTGTTTTTGAGAAGTCGTTAGATCTTATTACATGTCCATACCATTGCATTTTCTGACTTTTCACTTTAGTTAAATGAGTTTCATTGTTACCAATGTGCTGGGTAATTATACTTGGATATACTTCTTCTTCAGCATTCCAAGCCCATGAAGTTCACTGCTGCAGATATCACCCGCCTCCATTCATCTCTCTGGTTGGCCTTCTTTTTTCAGTTGGTGACACCAAGTGTTTGCAGGTCTGTCTGGATATTATCTCTCCATCGTCTTCTTGGTCTGCCTCGTGGTCTTCGACCATTTATCTCCCTCGCGTATACAGTTTTCACTTCTCTGTTATCTGACATTCTTTCAGTATGCCCCAACTATTTCAGTCTATTAGCTCTTATGATGCCAGTGATCAGCGGTGATTTAAACAGATTATGAATTTTGTTGTTGCTTCTCACTCTCCATTCACCAAAAATTGAATCTTGGATGGGTTCAAAGATTCGTCATAAGATTCTGTTTTAGAAAACCTGTACCAAGGCTTCATCTCTTTTAGCTGTGCTCCAAGTTTCAGAGCCATATAGAATGGCTGGTGTTATCAATGTTATATTTTGATCTTGGTATTGCGAGATAAACACTTTGACTTTAGTAGATGTTAAAGGGCATAGTATACTTTATTTCCAGATCTTGGATATACGTAGGAAAGATAATATTTCTTCTGTGTCTCATCACTCAAAGAAGCACGGACCCTCAACCAAATAACACCAAAACCTTTATAGATTCTTCATGATTTATTAGATTCTGCAACTAAAATCTGTTATGTGATGAGGTAGCCAACTCCCCTTAGTTGCACCTTAGGTCAAGTATGGTAGGTTATTATTTCTATTCTTTGCTTCCTTTATTGACCCTGGTAACATCCTGTCAACTCTAGCAACTGGGTGAGGAAAAACAGACAAGAAATATTCCCAAACAGAAAATAAATTAACAACGTCTAGATAGCTCACAGGGGGATGCTAACCTTTTTTTTTTAAACTCTGTAATATTTTGGTCTAAGCCTTTGTCAGCAAGCACCACAAGAACAATCATCTTTGATATCAGCCAGTGTTTTTGCTTATTCATTTCCCAGTATACTGGCAGACCTTAGAGACTGAGTGAAAGCAATGTCCAATGTCTGCACAGTGATTAAAAAATATAACTAACCGCTGTTTGTTTCTGCAGTTTATTCCCCCCCCCCCCCCCAAGATTCTGAAACATTAAAAATCGAATTTATTTTTCGATAACAGCTTGACTACAATGACCCGTGTTTTAATCAAATTCACAGACTTACTGGAGGTCGTTCTCTCTGGATTCTCCTCTCACATTTGACGCCATACACAACTGTGTTCTCTGGCAACTGCTCACATGTGTTCAGGTTACAGCCAGCACCAATAATACACCCATTGGCAATCTCTACTTTTGACTCAACCTTTGCTGTGGATATTGACATTTTTTAATTACTATGAGCACTCCATAATACTTTAGCAGAGGATAGAAATAATAAATATGCCCTGAACTAGAACTAATATCAAGAAATGAACATGGTGACCAGTAAGAACCAGGACTATAACAACGGCAGACAAAATAACTTTGATGTCACGGAAACTCTTGAAATGGAAACACTGTAATTAATTATCTGTAACTATTATGTAGAAAATCTAAAGGTTAAATAAACATTCTTTTGCTTCTTCACGCCCTCTTTTACTGCTTCTGGTGTTTAGGGGGATATAAGATTCTGCTTCTTGCTCCTCTGGCCGCTTCGACCATAGACACATCATGCTGCCAAGGAATTCCTTTGATATTGTCTATCCATTTGTGCTTGATCTGGCTTGTGCTCTACGTCCTTCCTTTTTTTTTTTGGTGTACACTTGTTTGGCATGGCATCACAAGGTATTCTCTCTACATGTGCAATTTATTTAATCTGCCATCTCTGTATGAAATTTAAAATTGGCAGTGCTGACTTTTTTCACTCTCGATTTGATCTCTGATGGTCACTTCTGCAGCTCTTCTCAGATATCTCACGTAAGGTTAAACATTAAAAAGAGGTAAATGTAATCTTATGATGTCACTGAAGCATGAGGTAAGAGGACTTTATATATATATTATGTCACTCCTTTTATGAGGTTACAGGAAACAAATTAATTCAATAAATGCTTTATCCTTGCACTGGTTTCGACAGTGGTATCAAGAAGCCGACCACCCAGAAAGCAATGGCAAACTACTGGAACATAAATTTACCTAGAAAAACCACAACAGCCAAAAAATGCTGGGTTGCTTCTGCAACGTCCTGTAAAGGATAGGTAACTAACTTTATTGCTTTATAAGGGGGTCAACCAACTCCTTTCCCTAGCATTTTTTAACCCTCTAAAGGCTATTTTACAAAACTGGATCCCCATCACATATTTATTCTACTAGAGATTGAGCCAAAACTGTTGTGTCAGTAAGTCTATGTGTTATTCAGTGCAGCTCTGTTCAAATCCTCCACCGTATTATTTAGTTTTTGTCTTCTCTATTTTTTTTTTAAAGATCTCCTCTCTCTTCTAATCCGTGGTTTTTAGAGAAATCTTTCTTTAGCATATTACTGACAGATGTTCCAATGTGTATGATCCAGTTGTAAGGTCTTCTCTCCATCACAAATTTCTAGGAGACCCTCTTTTCATCTTAGTTATCTGAGTTCTTTACCCATCCTTTTCTTTTGATGTGTTCATGGTTGGCTGCATTTTGCAAATACAATCTCCACAGGACATTCTAACCTGTCCCATGCCAACTCCTTTTAGCTGGCTCTTATAGCATGTATAGTAGGATAGTGTTGCTAAACTTTAAGTCATTTAAGGGATCCAGATTAAAATAGAGGCAATCAATGATTTCACTGTCAGCAGAAAATCCCTCCAGGGTTTAGGAATGTTTCAACCCAAGCCACTAAGTGCCTAAAATGGATGCCGGATAGCCGTGAGAAGTAAAGTCGGCCTGAATGATGTTAACCACATCATCTATCGAGGACCAAGCGGTCTATACAAATATGAGGTTAGCATCATATGCCCAATGCTTCCCTGGCGGGAAAAGTGTCCTCTTCTTCTACACTGAATGAGTAACTCTGCGCACTTCCACTTCCAATAATACTAGTAACTTCTCCACCTACCTTTGCTTTCTATGACATTGTGGTCTCCAATCCTTAAAGCTTCAACAACTGTACAAATGGTTAAGGTAAACAGATAAATGCAAAGATTTTATTCTGTAGATAAAATAAAAGTAAGTAAAATAAAGGACTTTTTTCATGTTGTAGGCGTATTAAGCATACAGTACTACACTTATATTTTTAGAAACTAAACTGAATCCGATCGGTGGTTTGGTAAACTTTGTGCCAGCCAACTTTACTTCCCAAGACATTACCTAGTACACTTTAAGGCTGGGTCGACCTGGGAGCCAAGGTCAATTCTGACAACAACAAAATCTACCCGATGTGGATTTTAACCCTATACCTTTGGGTCAGCAAGTGAGCTTAGTTCTACTAGGCTACCATGCCCCCCCCCCCCCTCCCCAATTCTGTAAATACATGAAACACTGAGGATAGTTTGTTTTCTTCTGATAACTTTCTGTCTGTTTTTCAGCAATAATGTATCAACTTCTGGAACAAGCTTTATTATAATAGCATTTATTATGTTTGTTTTATCAGTTAGATTGCTTATCTATCTTTTGCAAGATTCAGCTTTGGTATTTTTTTCTAGATATGTGTGGCATAATTTTGCATAAAACCAGTACAGAGTCTGCTGGCAATTGGGGTGTGGTTAGGATTTTCCCCTTATACACAGCCTCAACTTCCCTTCAAATCTGTGATCGAAATCATCACACCTCATCCCATAAAATAAGTACCAGAAAATCTGGGAAGATCTACAGTTGTACACAATACTGGCCACATGACTACAGAACTGTCATGTAGTCACAAATTAGTCTTAATCAAGGTTTCAAATTTATTGCAATCGCGTCACCCCATACTTACTCCATTCTTGTGCCAGTGAACATCAAATGAAATGTGCCTCACTGTCCCATTTGACAAACTGGTGAACAATTAGTCCTGGCACAATACAAAAATATGTAAAGTAAAGTAAAAATCCCTTTTCACGCCTTTCAGCGCATCGGGCATATGGGCAGAGCGTCCCATATTTTTACAGACCATCAGCACTCGGTGGGTAATGTGGTCAGCATTATGCCAGCTGTCTTTACTTTCCCAGGACAGCCCATCCTGGTACCCATTTTAGGCTGGGTCGACCTGCGACGTCCCATACCACGACAAAAATCCACGCAGCCTGCAGTGGGTTTCGATCGCGGTATGCTGGCTTACGAGTCGGACTCGCAACGCCTTAGCCACGGACGCCGCCCAAAAATATGAGCACGCAGTAAATGCATATGGCCAAAGCCACCATCAGAAATGCAGTCTGCTGTTGATGGAAGTAGTCAAGCATGATAAGTTGGCTGTACACAGGTATACTTATTACACATAAGGTATTTCACCAGTCCACACATAATACAGCTACCGGCCATACTGTATACTACGACTTAACCACTGCACAGATGAAAGGCATTCCACACGAAAAAAACAGCTCACAGGGCTGCAGCAAGCACTAAACTCAGGCAGTGAAACTGTAGACTACAGTCCATATGTGGAAACTGCATTAACAAAGCGGTGTCGGGAAAATAATTTATTCAGAAGCTTAATGTTCTGCCATTCCCAGTCCTCCATTTTAGAATGGAAGTCACAAATATAGGGATCCAGCACCATATTCACAATCATTCCTAATAGCACTGACATACACACATACCATAGATATAAATACACTCATACATAAATAGATATACAGAACAGTTCAATGTGCAGTGCTGGTGATCTAAAGACTAATAAATTAGCATGAACGCTTGAATGAATAAAAGACTAACTAGCATGCATACATTAATAAATACAAACATGCATATAACATCCAACATAAACACATGTAATAACATACCTACACATAAAGACATGAGGAAAGAAACACACAAACTGGTTTAAAAGTCATTCTGGAAAAGAAAAAATAATGTAAGAAATTTTAAAGTTAAAGCTGTGTAATGCAGTTTCAAATGCAATAAGTATTAAATGATGAGAAAAATTCTTCCATTTTATTCTCTCCAAAGGATACCTGCACCAACTTCGAAAACATTATTGTTGCCTATGATCTGTACCTTTCCACTGTTCTCCTCTCCAGATGATCTAAAGAACACAACAGAACTGATCAGACAGTGCACACTTTCTTATATGGAAATCATGTTGAGTGTTAAACATACAAAGTTTTCTAGAGTTCCGTTCCTACATTTAAAAAGGAAACATTACTAGAAACCTTATGAAAGTATTACTGTCTATTTTCTAGTTCAAGTGGATGATGTCTGTTCCCTTCATCTACATATAATGTTTAGCATAGGAGATTAAAAGGGTAAAATAAAAGGTGAAAGTACATTTAGTTTAATTCACACTTGTTAGCTCTCCGCCGACTGACTGTTACAAATGTCAAACCAAGCATAAACTATGTAGCTCTAGCCAGGACTCCCTGGATATCCAAACAATTTCTAGTAAACAAATCTGCAGAGTGTGAGACAAATGGCCTTACCACTTCTTCATGAATATCCATGTGCAAAAAACCAAACCTTGTACTACCCTTGTTGTGGCAGAAATTCGCAGCTTGTCTTCCTGTCCATGCTGCTGAAAATACACAGCCACTTAATCCTTACTTCTAGGCACAAATTAATTTATTTATTTGTTATACTATCTGTTACAGGCTGGATTATGAAGGCAACAGTAACTATCCCCAGAAATGAAATAAAATGGACACTAACAGGGCAACTGAATGAACTGGACTTTACTGATTACACTGCTCTCCTGTTGGTACATGCAATCAGATACAAGATAAATGAAACACAGAAGTTCATAATAAGTTCTTGTAAAAATTCATGGGGAATTTGTAGGATTACGAGAGACAGAGAAAAAGAACTGGAGAAGAAAAGTAGAAATAAAGACTAAAGATCATACACATTTTGTATAGTCACAAGCTCCTCGATGATATTGTAATCTCCAATAATGATTGGTCCAGCCTCAGCCACAATCTTTGCCTTCGGGTGAATGACAGTTCTTGTGCCTGGCAAGTACCAGAAACAAAGATGTGTATTTTATTAATTTTTTGTGTGTTAAATGATGCTACAAAGTGAACAAGGGTTTAAATAAAGAGATTGTGCCAAAGGGTGAAAGCTCATGTGCCGCTGGATCAATAACAACAAATAAAGAGATCTTTTATGTAACAAGCAATTTAACTTCTTCACTTTAGTCCCTAACAATGCATGATGTGTTGATAGTTCTTTTCCTTTAACTCCTGCCATTAGACAATGTGTTCTTACTTTTTATGGACTTCCTTATTGGCTACTTGTGCTGTCTATTTGAACATTTTTCTGCCTTTTATCCTCAAGCGAAAATACACCTTAAACCCAGCTCACCTCAAACTGTCCGATCCTTTTGCCGTCATGTGCAGCTCACAGTCGTCTCATTTATTCTTATTATTTTTGTTCATTTTTTTTTAAAACTTGTTCATCACTGGTGGCTTTTGTCACTGTGTTTTTACTGGATTAAGTTAGCCAACTCTACCTTTAACTGCTTCTTAAGACATGTCCAAAGGCGTGCAGTGAGCTGGTGTAACTTGTAAAACTGATGTATATAAACGGTTCATTCTTTCATTACCAGCCCACATTTACTCTAACTCCTTCTACCTCAAGCTCTAGTATAAATCAGCCAGAAGAAGTGTTTGAGCAAAACAATGCTAAACATAATAACACACTGAGACAAAAGGAGTAAGGTAGACAATTCAAATATAATGAGTTAATATAACAACTATTTGTGACAGAAAAGAGTCACAACTGTGTACTGTCTTTGGACGACCTAGCAAATGTACAATGAGTTGCATTGCACGAAAAGAGTTGATGATTTAATCATCATAATCTGTATCAATTTTCAGTGACGAAGGATATTTATAGTTAATGTCAAATATTTCTGTCTCAAGCTACAGATAAGGACAAGGTGTGGATTAGAAGCTGAGAGCCTGCTATTAGTATGATTATGACCCTACACAAGTCTGACTGTTCAGGTGGCACTTAGACCCACTCCTCTCCTGTTCTCAAGGATGCAAACCTGTCTAATTGTGTCACATAATAATACATGGTTACTTAACAGAAGTGTGATCAAACAATGAGTGTGATTACTTTATGAAGATATGGTTACATTATCAGTGTGTGGATAAACAATGAGTGTGATTTCTTAATGGAAGTTTGTAACCCAATGAGTGTGTGGCCACTTAATGAAAGTGTGGCTACTTAATGAGTATTTGTTTCTTACCTATAGTGATATCACCAACAAGCTCACAGTCTTCACATACCATGGCACCTGCAGCAATCTTCAGGTGAGGGTTGCTAAACCAATCCAAACAAGTCATTAAGTAGTTAATAACGTCCATTTCAACCATATTAAGACACATAATATTTTCATAAAAACCACAATGATGGAAAAAATGTAAGAATGGAGAGAAGAGGCAGACAGTGGTACAAGTATATGGAAAACATCAACAGATGACCAACAGCAGATAAGAGAATGTTAAGCCACCGCAAGTGACAGTGGTGAAGATCTATTGCAAGACAGTGACACAAGTATATGAATAACATCAGGAGATGAACCAACAGCTGATAAGAGTGTTCAATCAGATAAAGTCACTGTGAGTGTTGGAGATCTATTGCAAGACACAGTATAGTATATGGATAACATTAGGAGATGAACCAACAACAGATAGGACAAGGTTGAATGGATTGTCAACACAGGTGTTTAGGACTAAAGTAGTTAAGAAATGTATGCGATACATACACTAACAATACACATATTTTCACGTATGGGTTGCTTGGTACTAAAAGAGTTAAAGTTAATTTAATTAGGTTTATAATTAATTAAACAACACTAATGATGGGGATGTCAAAGCACTAGGCGGCCATTAAATTGGCCTCTTCCAGCATGCGCGTAGGAACATATTGCAACCGTGAAAAACAGGGAAGCATTGCCCCTCAATGAGAAGTTGACCGGATTCTACTTCATAATTAACTAGATTTAACTGCCCTCTTTGCCCAGGATAGGGAAAAAAGTTTCATTCTCCTGTCCTCAACCTCAAATTGATCTCACATGTTTCAAGGGAGATAATAATTAAATATAATTTTCTTACATTTTTACTTTTCAAGGGATGTAAGCGGAGAAAAAATTCAACAGGATATAACCCCAGCAACAGTTTATTTTTTCTGATTGTTGTAATAATTAAAAAAAAAGAACTGTAGAATAACCTGCAAACGTGACTGTTTAATTAAAATTTGTAAAACGTGACTGTTTAATTAAAATTTGTAACCACAATGACAACTGAAAATTGAAATCATGTACTGCTCAAGGTTTCAGAGGAGTTAACAGTTCACTTAAAATAAAAACAAGAGAAATACTACTCTACTTTTCGTCCTTCTTAGGGCGTTATTTTTTGTTATTTGAAGCCCCACTCTGGCTTTTGCCAGGGGCCGCAATATAGGCAGGTCATCATTATGGCCAAAGCACGCGGTTTCTGGAATAGTATCCGCATGGTCACATGTGTCATGATCGCTTGTGTGATTTTTAAGTAATCAGTTTTGATTTAACTTAAAATGTAATCAGTTAAACTTAAAATGCTTACTAAATTAGTTTCATTTTGTGAGTTTTTTTTTTTTTTAAATCCACAACCATTGTAGCATCTTTTCATGCATGTGTCATTATCTAGAGTTCATATGATTTTCTGTTGGACATATTTTTACCTGATCACCCCCAAATCCTGATAATTAATTTCAGCCATCATGGTCGCAGTTTCTGAGGTTCTTTAGTAGTTAACTTATTAAAATGATTACCAAGTTACTGCAGTTGTATGAGTTATTTTTTAAACCTAGCGTTGCAATTTTTCATACATCTCTCCCTATTTAAAGTTGACAGAATTATCTGATAATTTTTTTACCTGAGCACTTACAGCCTTCGTTCATGAATTTCACCTGTCAGGCCACACTGACAGAGCATTTGTAGTAATTAAGTTTAAATACACACTAAAGTACTATTGTTAAATGAGTTATATTTTTTTTTTTAATCTGCACTATTAAAAAATTAGCAACACACAAATAGTATATATTCACTGACAAAGAGCAGCTTATCCATTTGTGTGCAGAGTGGCAATGATAATAATGTATATCAAATTTTAAATACAATCACATTTTTTTGGTGCATCTTTCTTTCTTTTGTCAAAAATCTGCTTGTGCCGCTAGGCGCCGCAAGTCTATCAGATGATCGGCAACCGAGCCAGGGCGCGCTCAGTCGCTTCATATGCCGTGATGTTATGAAGTCTCAAGTTGTCCGTGACTTCTTCAATCCATCTTCTTCTTGGTCTTCCCCTGCCTCTTGGTGTTTCGATTTTCATGTTGTATGCTCTTGATGCTGGCATCGTTGGTTCCATTCTCATTAGGTGACCAAACCATTTCATTCTTTGCTTCTCAATAAATTTAATGATGGGTATGGTTCCAAAAGTTCTTGTAATCACATCGTTTCTCACTCGATCTCTTCTGGTTTTATTCGCAGCCATTCTCAAACATCTCATTTCACAGGTGGTTAGTCTTCTCTCGTGTTCTTTTGTTAATGTCCAAGTCTGACATTGATAACATAATGTCGGTATAAAGATTGTATTTATAATTTGTCTTTTTATCTCAGCTGGGACAGCAGGGTGTTTTAAAATTGGGGCAAGCTGGTATGCGACATTGTTGGCTTGTTGGATTCTTGCTTCGATATCTCTGTCTATTTTACCACTGAATGTAAAGATACTTCCCAAGTATTTAAATTCTTGTTTTAGGCTGTGATCTAGAATCTTTATGTCGATGGTCTGTTGCTCTCTACTTATGCACATGACTTCTGTCTTTTCAGTATTGATCTTCATATGATGCTTGAGGCAACTGTCGTGTAGTAGGTTTATGTGGTCTTGCAGCTGTTTACTATCACTGTGAAATATGCATTGATCGTCGGCAAAGAGCAGCTCATTGAAGTCCTCCTGTTTATCGACATCTATTGGTGTTATGTTGATTTACTATTTGGTGCATAAATTCTGATTACTATAAGTTGAAATGAGATAGCATCCAAAATGTTTGAGACATTTTACAGTGCTCCCCTACAATATTTACAATCAAGTTAAAACTAAAGAGTAAAAGCAGAACACACAGTGGTTAAGTTGTTAAGCCATTTGCCTCATTGTCTGAAAGTTGTAGGCTCTCTGGAAATCATTGCTAGAGCTATGGAGGTTGTGCATCACTCTCAAGAGGTGGCTAGCCACTGTGTAGACTGTAGAGACAGAACCAGCCGTGTGGGATAAAACCAAGTGCAATTGAGTGGATATCTTTTTTACTTTAAACCTTTTTTAATCATTGATTCACATAGTGCTTAGTTAAAACTAGTCAGCTGGTGGCCATTTGTATATGTTAAATAGGCCCATATTGCATCATATGTATCTGAGATAGGCATGCACAGATAGGCCTCACTGCCCCGACTGTGATGATATATGGTTGCTAAGGGATTTGATAAGTAGCAAAACAGTTATTGGCATAAAATACCAACATTTCAACCCTTTATTTTACTGACTGACTGACTTTCCACCCCACCAGGACATCACACAAGCGACAAACACCCGATGACACAAAGTGCCATCACGCGGATGAGGATCGCCGTGGAGAGGTCCCAGAAACCGCGTTCAGACATTCGGCCACATGTATGGCCTGCCCACATTGCGGCCCCTGGCAAAAGCCAGAGTAGGGCTTCAAATGACAAAAAATTACGTCCTGAAAAGGACGTAAGGATATTTTACTAGGAGCAGCTAAGCATTCATCTTTTGTCAGAATCAACTGTAATTTGTCTTGTCTATGGTGGAATCCGCTACTAAAATGTAAAAAATTGTAATATCTCCACTTAGAATTGACTTAACGGCTTCATTGGGATATCGTTAGACTGGATATTTTAATCTCTAGCCGGTTGGTACAGGTCAGGTCTTAGTCAGATATGACTGGGCTACCGTATAACAGTAGCCGGTACCACCTGTCTTCTGTTACCCTGAATTTTGGGCGGCGTATACTGGCCCAAAATCCCATATTGTGCCAACGGCTTCTGGCGGAGGAGCGCATTGGGGAGGATACTAGCCTTATCCTAGGAAGAGGAAATGCAACCTGAAAACTATGTGTTATGGCAGGGCAGACCAGGCCCTTCGGCTTGGTTGGCAGCTGGTCTAGGAGGGAAGCTCTGACAGGCGGACAGATAGAGCACTGCTCTTCTGATCCGGCAGCTTCTGCAACCTGCCTCGTTCCAAACATACTGGTTTTACCTTTCATTTGGAGTAAACAAGGCAGGTCGAGGGAGAGATCATTATGCATGGGCAACATATGGTCTCTACAATACTGCCCAGGCTTTGTGCCTTTTCTTGACCCGGGCGGGTCTTGCTAGTCACACTCACCATCATGATGGGCTGTAAGTCTCATGCCTCCTCATAGCGCAATATAACACTATCGTCTGGTAAGACGGAAAGGTGCCAATGGAGCCGGTTGGTTGTGATAGCTTCTTTAACAGAAAACCAAAACGGCTCTTCTCCGAACTTTTACCCCCGTAGTATCGCGGCCTGAAATATCCATTCGGAGCACAGTCCAATTAAAAATACGGACTTGTCGGAGTTTCCGAAAAGAGAACAAATTGCGGCAAAACTAGGAGTACCTTACAATGTCACGAGACGCAACATTGCAGACGATAGTAGCAGACGATAAAAGCGACCGGTGACAATGTCGAGCGTTTTATGCAAATGATATTAGCAGACGATAAAAGCGACAGTTGACAATTTTGAGACATTATAGACGATGAAAGCGATATGGCGGGTAGACCACGCGCTCCCACGCAGATTAGTAATACTGTTCTTCCGATTTAGCAGCGGTAGATGTCAGACTTGTCGGCATGCGCAAAACGCGAATAAACTCACCGCCGAGCGTATCCTCAGCGCCGCTAAGCGCAGATGGGGGGCTAAACTAGGTGCCTGGGACTCACGAGCAAAGTATTTGGAGGAAGTTTCAGGAGATGCAGTAGCTGCCGCTTGCGAGTCCTAGCCATCTAGTTTAGCCCCTATCCGCATCGCTCGTAGCGCCGGATACGGTCGCGGTGAGGCATAGTCACAGAAACAGGTCCGCAAGTAACATATCGCTGAGACCCTGTTAGAGCATTTGTTTCGTTTTTCAGAGCCAATCCTAGATTTGCCGCGATTTGTTCGTCGGCAGAAAGTCCGACTATGGAAAGTGTCAACGGTTGCTATTATTATCGTTTGCTACTATCCTCTGCAGTGTTGCGTGTGTCTCTTAGAATTGTCAGGTAATCAGAAACAATTAAAACATGTCCGCGAGTAACATATCGCTGAGACCCTGTTAAAGCATTTGTTTCGTTATACGGAGCCGGCATATTTTTAATTAAACTGCGCCCCAAACGGATATTTCAGGTTGCAATACTGCGGCGGTAGAAGTTCGGATGAGAGCCACATATAATTAACTTCACTATAATAATAATTATTTAATAATAATAATATTAATAATATTCAAAAAAATATTAGTAAAAATTTAAATAATGTCAGTTATGAAAGTTACATCAGTTAGAACGTTTGAATACTAACTCATTAATCTGGCATATTTTTATGAAATGGTATGGTGCGCTCATTACTAATGCAATAAGGACAAACAAAAACAAATGAGCGAATTCGTCTTACTTCCCAGGTTTTGAGTGTGCCGCCATCTTGAAATAATCTACATAACATCCCAGACCAATTTTATGTGGTCCATACTTAGTATTCTGCTACAAAGTGACACGTTAATTGTTGGGGATCCTGGAAACGTGAGAAACAAAGACATGGCACGGCAGACACTCAGGAGTTGATAAAAGATATAGGTAATTGAGAGAACACGCTAGGCAACACGTAATTTTAAAACTTATACTAAAAGTCTGTCCCATAAAATGGCAAATATTTTGGCCATGTTAAATGTCATATGGCCTGAAAAGAGCAATGATGGAGGATAGTTTCCACAGAACGAGGCCTATGAAGACTTCTGCTAAGGTGGATACAAGACACTGAAAGATGCATTGGCTATGAAAGCACATAGGGCTGATGAATTGGCCAGAGAAAAGGAGACCTTTAGACATGTCGTTATGGGAGCGACGTTCTGTAAAGGATCTGCTGATTTATGAGGACGATAGTGCTATTTGTATATTATTATTCCGTACATTTCTCCAGCCTTGTCTATCTCTAACCTTGTCTATCTCCAATCTGGTCTAAGCAGAATATTTTTTAAATCTTCTTCTTCTTCTTCTTCTTCGATCCTTCTGTCAGAAAACTTATATCAGTAGGCCGATAGCCTTTATGAAAGCTATCGTGCAATCCATATCCTCTTGTGTACCATACAGTTTTGTCTTCATTGTGGTTGGAACAGGCCAGATTGCGTCTCTGTTGTCAGCATACAGTTGACAGTGTTGGAGCACATGCTCAGCATTTTCGGGTGCCACGCTGCACTCTATAATAAGCAGGTAGATTAATCATACATATGTTATTACTAATAATAAGTTACAGTGACCATTTGGGGATTCGAACTTCCTGTCTTCAAAGTGGAACATGAACGAATCAAGAACTGACATAACTGCACACCGGACATTCCCATACGTACTTCGTCCCCTTTATAAGCATCCTCTATTGTTAACAGTCATCAACTTGTGGGATGCAATTTTTCGTTACTTGAAGCCCCACCCTGGACATTGACAGGGGCCGCAATAAAAATGGTCAGATAACTGAAAGCAGTTTCTGGGACCTCTCCACGGTGATCTTCTCTCACATGGTGGCACTTTTGTGTCACCTGGTGTTTATCGCTTGTATGATGTCCATGTGGCTGATGTGGTCAACATCACGATGGCCCCTTTACTTCTCAAGACATTACTTTGTGTAATTATGTGGGAAACCCAATGACGTCATAAGTGATTCCCCACGGGAGCCATGGTTGATTTTTAAGAAAATAGTCCTCGATGCGGATTCGAACCCATAGCCTTCGGGCCATGAGACGGGTGTATAGCCAATACGCTATAACGGCTTTCATTACTTAAATGTGATTAGATCTTTTCATCCTAGATGGTTGCTCTATAAACTGACTCTACTGTAGTTATTACTTTAATTCCTTTTATCCCAAACTGTTTCGTAAACGCGCCCTACCACAGTTAGTACAACTCCTTTCTTTTTGGGCATTTATTATTTACAGCCACATAGTATGAAAAAATGTCAGTCATTACTGCATGTTAATTAGCGGCGTCCGTGGCAAAGGCGTTGCGAGTCTGACTCGTAATCCAACGTACCGCGATCGAAACCTGCGTGGGCTGCGTGGATTTTTATCGTGGGACGTCGCAGGTCGACCCAGGCTCTAATGGGTACCAGGATGGGCTGTCCTGGGAAAGTAAAGACGGCCGGCCTAATGCTGACCACAGAGTGCTGATGGTCTGTAAAAATATGGGTGTTCTTCATTGCCCGATGCGCTGCCTGTTTTTTTTTTTTTTTTGGCTGTTGTGGTTTTTCTAGGCAAAGTTGCGTTCAGTTGTTTGCTATTGGTATCTCAGCGGTCGGCTATCGATACCACTATCTACTGACAAATAGCTTGCAGGTGGAATCTCACTCGGTACTGCGGCATTATAAAGTGCATTACCAAATGATGAACTGAAGCCACAGATGCCGACCATTGCTGCGTGCATGTACCACTTTTTTTTAAATATATACGGCGGTACAGGATATGGAGGTCTTTTGCCTAAGGATATTGGAAGGCATGACTGGTGCAGTCGCCACGAACTGTGCATTTTACGTGTTTATCCCCACCCCCGTATTCCCGACTGTTTCACTCATCTATCTTCCCAAAATAGGACGCAATTTTTCTTTGTAAATCCCCGCCCAGTCTGTCGTCGGGGACCCTACCATCACTTAACGGTTGAAAGGGGTTTTCTGGGACGTGTGCCTAGGTGATTCTTACCCGAATATTAGTACAGCAGTACTTCGTGTCACCGGGTGTTGGACGCTCGCTGTCCAGTCCTGATGGGGTTAGATACCTCTTACTCACTCGACTCACCCCCCCCCCCCCCCCCAGTTATTTTCCATGAAAACTTCTACGCGCATTGAAAAGGGAGAGGGGGCGGCGGAGAAATCCGCCCCCCCCCCCCGACTTTTTTTCAATTAAGAAAAGGGGCACAATTTTGAGCCTGGTAACCCCTTAGAGCTGGGAGTGGGGTTGAAGCCACATCTTCCATCAATGTTCTCTTCATGGCGACCCAGGTGTTTTCAGTGCCCCAATGAAGAGTCTCTCTCTCTCTCTGATATATATATATATATATATATATATATATATATATATATATATATATATATATGTGTGTGTGTGTGTGTGTGTGTGTGTGTTGTGCATGTATGTGTCTCCGAGTGTAAAAAGGGCTTGCATTCCTAATGTGTAACCTTTTGGAAATGAAGTTTGTCCATTTACTGCTGAGAATACAGGCTTGATGGACACGACAAGAGGTTTTGTTTTAATCGTTAGCTATCTATTCTCACAAACACTTTTGTTTATCTGCTTGTTGTTGTTAATGCCTTACCTTATTGATTTCTTGGACCAGTAATAGGTAATTATTTGCTTTTTCTTCTTTTTCACTTCCTCTTTTACCGCTTCGGGTGTCGTGAGAGATATAAGGTTCTGCTTCTTGCTCTTCTGACTGCCTCAACCATAGACACATCAAGCTGTTGTAGAATTTCTCTTATGTTATCTTTCCAATGCTACCCACTGATGTTTATCATCGAGAATCCCATCTTTTCCATCTACAGTATTAAATAGACCACGAGGCAGACCAAGAAGACAATGGAGAGATAATATCCAGACAGACCTGCAAACACTTAGTGTCACCAACTGGAAAGAGAGGACCAACCAGAGAGATGAATGGAGGCAGGTGATATCTGCAGCAATGAATCTCAAAGGCCCGAAATGCTGAAGAAGAACAGTATTAAATAAGGTTAGTTGCGTATCCTTTACAGGGCGTTGCAGAACCAACCCCAACAGCCCCTGGCTGTTATGTGGTTTTTCTAGGCAAATTTACGTCCAGTAGTTTATCATTGCTTTCTGGACAATCGGCTTTCTTGATACTACTGTCCAAACCAACGCAAAGCACATGGCCCCCAGCTGGGATCGAACCCGGCATCCAGGCATTACGAAGCGTTAGCATCTACTTTGCCACAGAGCCGACACAGTATTAAAAAGCACAATCTTAAGGACAGAATATCAGGTTTCTGAATTAACTCAAAATTGTAACCTATTCTCTTTCTCCCGTTATCTCAGCGAAATGGTGGGGGTAAAAGTAAGGACTGTATGTGTGCTCTTTATAATGCATTGTGAAAGTTGGTCTTAACTTCTCTAATGCTGTTCTTGATGTCCTATTGCTTTGGCTTCATTATACTTCTTTAACATGCCTCTGGTAGTATGGCATTCACGTCAGATGGCCAACATTTTTCATTTCTCTCTTTTTTTTTTAAACTGTATGATCAGTTTCCGCTCGTCCTGCTTTTCTACCTTAACTTTTATTATCTTTTCTGGTTACTCCAGCAGCAGCTCTTCTAATAATTTTTATGTTCAAATGGCCAGAACAAATAAAAAGTCACAAACTTATTTCAAGGTAACATTTTATTTTGGCAAACATTTTTATTAAACATTATTCACCCACATTCTGCAAGTAAAAGACAATCAGAAACGCTGACTGACAGTTTGTGCTAGATTTATTCAAAACTAATATCCAATTCAAGTAATCTATGTAATCAAAAAAAAAAAAAACAGGCATATACATATGTATATTATCAGCAAAACACACCACAGTGTTAAAAACAATTATTTAAAATAATCACGATGTCAACGTTTTTAAAAAAAGATTAAAAAAAAACAATTCTCAAAGTCTAGGGGAGGAGAGATTTAACTCGTGCCTGTAACCGGGGTGAAAATAGAAGATGGGATTATGTTATCTAAAATAACAACCGTCTCAGCGCAAATAAATCATAGTAACACATTAGACAATAAATTGAAGTTACAACCACCTGGGATAATAAACTATGACAGGCTGGGCTAATGTAACAACTGTCTGAGAATGATGGACTAACAACTAGGACAGGGTGGGCTAATGTAACAACTGGCTGAGAATGATGGACTAACAACTAGGACAGGGTGGGCTAATGTAACAACTGTCTGAGAATGATAGACTAACAACTAGGACAGGGTGGGCTAATGTAATAACTGTCTGAGAATGATAGACTAACAACTAGAACAGGATGGGCTAATGTAACAACTGTCTGAGAATGATGGACTAACAACTAGGACAGGGTTGGCTAATGTAACAACTGGCTGAGAATGATGGACTAACAACTAGGACAGGGTGGGCTAATGTAACAACTGTCTGAGAATGATGGACTAACAACTAGGACAGGGTGGGCTAATGTAATAAATGGCTGAGAATGATAGACTAATACTAGGGCACAGTGTAACAAATATCTTAGAATAATGGCTAACAACCAGGATAGGGTTGGCTAATGTAACAACTTGCTGAAAATGATGAAGTAACAACTAGAGGCAGAGTAGGCTAATGTAACAACTGTCTGAGAATGATGAAATAATCAGGGGCAGAGTGGGCTAATGTAACAAGTTTTCAAGAATGATGATGGGCTAACAACTTGTGCAGAGAGGGCC